ATGGCGGAGCGAGAACGCGGTCGGACCACTGTGTCACGTGACCTTGTGACGTAAAGTGGTGGACACGAAGAGATGTTTTGATGTAATGTAGTAGTGAGTTTGATAAGGTTCATGACAGATAACAATCGTGAAAATTGTGATGAAAGCATGAAACTTGGTGAAAATATAGAATTCGGTATGCGCAACAAGATAGAATATAGAATCATTTTGGGAAAAAACCCTTGTGCTATTTTTAGCCTGGGGTACTTGTGCCCAGTACTCAGAATACGTTAGTATGGTAAATCTATTTCTGTTAACTATACAACCATGAAACTTGGCAAACCGACACAATTTGACTTGCTGAAAATGATAAGAATGGTCCCCATCCTCAGAAATACCCCTTGTGCTATTTTTAGACTGGGGTACTTGTGCCCAGTACTCAAAATACGTTAGTATGGTAAATCTATTTCTGTTAACTATACAACCATGAAACTTGGCAAACCGACACAATTTGACTTGCTGAAAATGATAAGAATGGTCCCCATCCTCAGAAATACCCCTTGTGCTATTTTTAGACTGGGGTACTTGTGCCCAGTACTCAAAATACGTTAGTATGGTAAATCTATTTCTGTTAACTATACAACCATGAAACTTGGCAAACCGACACAATTTGACTTGCTGAAAATGATAAGAATGGTCCCCATCCTCAGAAATACCCCTTGTGCTATTTTTAGACTGGGGTACTTGTGCCCAGTACTCAAAATACGTTAGTATGGTCAATCTATTTCTGTTAACTATACAGCCATGAAACTTGGCAAACTGACACAATTTGACTTGCTGAAAATGATAAGAATGGTCCCCACCTCAGAAATACCCCTTGTGCTATTTTTAGACTGGGGTACTTGTGCCCAGTACTCAAAATACGTTAGTATGGTCAATCTATTTCTGTTAACTATACAGCCATGAAACTTGGCAAACCGACACAATTTGACTTGCTGAAAATGATAAGAATGGTCCCCAACCTCAGAAATACCCCTTTAAACATGATTTCTCATGCTTTGTCTATAGAACATGATATCAAAGCATTTTCTGGTATAACTCCAGGCACAAAAAACATTCATACCAGGATGTACATAAAGGAGAAGGATTTAAAGCACAACCATTAAATGATGTATATGTTTCCAAGTTTATTAAAAGACCTTATCTTAACAAAAGATATGTCAGGGTTTCTATCTCATAACTGTTCTATGAAAAATGTTGAGTTGAAGCAAATTTCAGAAAAATATAACCATTGGGCACCAAAAAACTTCATTCTCAAAATTTGAAAACAGTGTATCTAAACAACAGGCAGTGACAGAATACATTAAAAGAACATTGTACTGTGTAGGTAAAACATTTTCTTCTGATCATGTATAAAAAATGTTACCAAGCAGGTGGTACAGGACCATTATTGTAAGAGAAAAACTTTATCAAATCCAAACTATTCTACACATTTTGATGTGAGTAAAATATCTTGAAAAATATACCTTAGGAATCTTGAAAATATCAAGCCTTGCTCAATTTCCACTAGTTTTAACAAATTTCTAACTTATAACATGACCCCACTGGTTCTAAATTTCTCTTCTTGCTATTATGAACTGAAAGTCTGGTCCCTTTGAATAACCCCTGTATATAACCCTGTACTCCACTGTATATGTAGTAGGTAGCTGAGTTTTGCATTTTCATTGTCTCTCTGCAGAATTTTGAAACCCTTGTCTTCTTTGACTAAAGTTCTTTTCTTTACATTTTGTGATAAATTCATACTTAAAGTTGTCCAGTTTTTCCAGCACAAATACCCAAAAACCAGCAAACCATCCATTGATCGGCCACTGTTTGTAGATACCTAGCAAAATGGATATAATTTTAGGTATTAATCTATTTTAGGCATATTTATGCAATTCTATTAAATATTTGACATTTTTGAATTATCAGTCCAAAAATCTTAATTGCAGTAAGATTTAATAATACTTGTCAATGTACAAAAACAAGCCAGTTTTAAAACCAAAGTGGATTAGGTCGACCTGTTCCGTGCTACACATCAAACTATGTATAAACGTTTTATATCAAAGGAAATATTTATTAAATTGTAACATGTAATAATCCTTATTATTTCAGATTTTAGAAATGGAAAGATTATAATATGTAGCTTACATTCTCAGTTGTATCTTACTTTTTATAAGGAAATAAGGAAATTGTGTTTGAGTTGTTCTTGCCTTCATTGTCAGAAAAGAAACAAAGATCGACGTACCATTGATTTACTTCCTCATTTCTACCGACAAAACGAGCACGTCGCGGGAGATAATTCCTCCTCAGCCTCTGGGATCTCAACGGGCCTAGGCTAATCATCATCGCCACTTTCGCAGTTCCCGTTCGCCCTTGGTAGGGCAAGTACTTCACCACCACATGCTCCAAATTCATCGTCGCTCGATCTTAAGTCTGTTGTCATTCCTGAAGAGCTGTCGTGAAAATTGCGAACTGAAATTCTAACCACTAACCGAATTCCCTCCCTCCGATTCACTCTACTACCTACTACAATGTTGTTTTCGTTGCGATCGGGGCACGTGTCCACGACTTTACGTCAGCGCCTGAAACTTGTCTCCAGACCTCTCCGCCACCGAAATGGAGAAATTTCACACTTCGCGTGGTGAATGCAGGAAAACGAAAAGAAAAACACTAATTTCGTGTCGATATTCGAAATCAGCACGATGAAAACTACTAAATAATTGATTTTCATTTTTCACTTCAGTTCCCCTTTAAGGATTTAACAAAAAAAGACTTCGGCAAAGTCGCTGTTACCCAGGTCAACTAGTTCTTGATCAACTAGTTCTTGGTTCTTGGAGACGGCTTCTTATAAAACATAATGCGCGCATGGCTTTGTCAGTGCCCTTATAATACGGTCGCAGTCATCGAGTACTTCCCTGTAGGCTGAACAGTAGTTCATTGTATATTCCTGGGCTTGGCAATGTCTTGCATCCTATATTTATGACGATAATCTTATCCATGGTCACTAAGGTTTAAGGAACATGCCATGTGCAATGAGCATTATTAAAGAAAAAAATATAAATTAGACAAAAGTGATATTCAATGAGTTATGATGTCTAACATTATGACAGAACTGCATTCATGTGAAATATGAGCATTTAGCTGTACTTGTCTTTGATATTGTGAAAATGACGGCAGTTAACAATAAAATCCTGATAATCTTTGTTTTAGAGTTCTGTATATATGTATTTAATGTTCTATCAGTGTGATATTCTTTTAATCAAGATTGAAATATTTTTTTATTTCAAAGTCGCTCTGGTAACGTAGACAATCAATGTTTCCCTTTCAGGTGACGCGCAGAATCTATGGTTGGAAATATAAACGTAGAAACTGGGGGGGGGGGATGGTTGGGGTCTCTGGAGGCACATGAAGTGCAGGAAATACGGGAAGTACAGAAGTTGAGTCAGTAGGTCATCAATTGCAAAGGGGTATCTATTGTGTCTACTCATGACCCCCATTTATAAAAGACATCTTGCGCCCTTGCGTCTATGGTCCGGAGACAACTGTTTTTTGGGAGGCAAATGTCGTCTCAAACATGAAGAAATCTTAACTTAAAGCAATGTTGTTCTTATAAAGAGCATTCTCGTTATTCATGACATTTTGTAGACATGTTTCGTTTCAGAAATAAACACTTTTAATTTAAATTAATGCAAATTAAAATTCTGGAATAGTCTTCAGAAACTGGTTCTACATTTCGTGCAACATATGCAGGATTGGAATCAGAGAATTCTGTCTCTCGTTTTGCATATTTGACATATACTCTATCTAACTAAGAACGTCAGATTTTGTCAGAAAAAAAGTTTCAGTTGAACAAATTGCGTAGTCATAAAGTTTTAGTGCGATAGCCAACAGTGGGCTAGGTATAAGTACCTCAGTCTAAATAAAGCCTTTGGTGAAGTTTTAAAACTAGGTCTACATTTCATTTTATCTAGCACTTCAGATTACACCAGGAAACAAAGTTTCAGTCGTATAACTTGCATAGCTACACGTTTCCACAGCCATAACCTTTTGCTTATAGGTCAGATCACATTGCTCTCTAAATTTCTTTTGCTCAATTCTGCAAGCTCTTTCTTTGAAAAATTCGAAAGTCGAAATTCTGCTGACCGTGCATTTTTTCATGCTTCCGGAAACACAACTTCCGGTCATTATTCGAAATGTTCCCAAGGCTTAAAATGATCCGGGTGGGCCTTTACTCTTATGATTTAAACTTTAAAAATATAGGTTAGGCTTATTGCTAGATGGTTATGCAAAATTCCCTGTCTAATTTCTTTACTTACAAAAAGTTTTCCAAATGAGTCGTTCATCTATTCATGAATTATTCAATGAATTGCTTTGAACTTGTATAGCCATGAATTAGAAAGTAGACTGTGGATGGCTTTTATAGCATTTTCCACCTTCTAGCATTTACCAAACCTCTAAGAGATTCCAACACAAAGACCAGATACCGACTACCCGTTATTATCCTATAACGAAGTCCCTAGTGCCAAAGCAACGATGCTGATTTAACTAACAGAACCCTAGAGAGGAGTACAGTGGCATCAGCTCGTTAATTGTCTCACCAATCCTCTCATGTTAGTAGATGGAATAATAAGTTACAAACTGTTTTGGAATCGACATTGCTGTGGAAAGTACTGAACTGCTGATGGTGTGCTTGCAGGAAATGATTTGATGAAACAATTCCAAGTCCTAGTTTCTGGAAATCGTCACCAAAAGGCAAATTCCCTTCCGCAACCAGCCCTTGGTTACATCACATCATAATAGTTTACTATGTTACATAATAACTACTTTTTTGCTGCCGTTTCATCCATTTCGCTACAAATCCCAATCTCTAGCATTTTACTTCCCTGTAAGGTGTAGTCAGCTTTGAGTGACGCTTCCTTTGGTTTGTCTCCACTGTCTTTTGAGTAGCACTTGTCAAGCTTGAATGACAGAGGGCCATCAAAGCAGTCCCGACTGACCTGATTACTCAGTAGCTTCAACGCAAGAGGAAAGTAAGGGTGAAGAGATTTGAAAAGAAACTTGAAATTCATTATATCAGTGTAAGAAGTACAAAACTGTCAAGAGTCTTCACAGGCGTAACAAATCAACTTCTTGATCAAGTATGAAGTTTTTTGCATTGCTTCTGCTCACAATCGCTTTTGGAGAGGCATCCCATTTTCGGGGTGCCTATATAACTTGGATCGTGAATGAAACTGATACCAACTTTTATCCAGCCAACCCATCTGCTCAAAATTATAAGGTATTGAAATTTCCGTTTTTCACTTTTTTGAATTCCATTTTCGATTTGAAACTTAAATAGCGGATTGATTTGGATTTGAAACTTATTTTGGAGTTGGAACATAAATAATACGAAGACGTGACCAGAGATTGCCTTCAGACGTTTTCGTACTTTGCAGCATCTGCTCTTCTTTTCCTAATAAAGGAAATGTTCTTTTTATGATTTCAACAACTGTATTACATGAAGTACGTAGCCATACAATTTCTCAGAAATTTTACGAAGCCGTTCCGTTCATACCAAAGATTTTATTATTGCACACAACCTGTTTCATTCTATCTTGATTCCAATAGCTAAAAGTACTGACAAATCGTCTTCCTATTCAAGACTGAGATCTAAACATTTCCATGACATGATCTAAATCGCAAGGATGTAGACATTATTTTACAAAAGTCTTTACTTGACTGGAAAGTGCTGTTGCTATAATTCCATTAAGCATTTCAAGTATAATAACATAAATTTAAAATGCTAAAATTTACTTAGGAACCGATTCTCGATTGCCAGAAAGCTTTTCAGTTTCAAAGATCTTCAACAAAGACTAGTTCATCTGCCGTTGCAAAGAGTTTCTGTCTGTTCATTCAGTTTTACCTTTTTACCGCTCTATCATCGCCACAAAATGGTAGCACTGCCGCAAAGGTTTTTTAGCTAGCTGAAATTCAAATAGCTATAGTAAGTTAATGTTTTAAAGTTACTGTTTGGATGGAAAATAACGGAAAATTTATCAAGAAATATTAATGAAAATGGAGAATAAGAAAATACGCTTTCTATTTTCTTATTTCCATGAGCTATGATGATAGCAGTACCTATAAAATAATTGCAATAGAAATGTTTTTTCAGCACAAACTGGTTTACTCACTTTCTGCTTGGGTGCCCAAAACTGCTAATTTCCCTGACTGATATTAGAGTATTTTTAAAAGTCTTGGTTGCACGACTTTTGTACTGCCACTGTATAAAGTTAGATCCTGGACAAAAATATCGAGTCGTGGTTTCGACCTTAACACTGTGTTTCGTGGATTCTATGGGTCGTTTTAGTACTTCGATGCACTAATTTCTTAATCTCTGGTGGGATGTAATTACAGATCACTTGTGCTAAAATATATAATAGCCTATCCATGTGGATAATAAAAATCACAGCCTTCTGGATTCTCGTAAATTCCTTGCTCCATTCGATCCAATACTAACTGTATACTAACTCATTTTTCTCCTCCGCGAGTCTGCGCGCAGGCTACCAACCATTTCATTAGTGATGAAAATATGCCTGACTCCTTACTAGAACATAATGTTTTCTGATGAAGTGCTTCGCAATTTTCACGTATTGATTACGACAGAGAACATTCAAATTCAAATTGAGCGTTTAAACTAATGCATTCAAATGTTTTTGTTATTTAAGTCTTCTTTAAAGCTAATGTTTTCACCTTATATAAAGCTAATATTATGTTTGATATAGAAAGTTGAAATAAATAGTTTTATGCTAAATATATTATAGATGTTATGTTAAGGGTAAAGGGTTACTTCAATCATCAAGTCTATAACCAACCCAAGTTTCTAAGGGAATATATTTTTGCAAGAATTTGTTTTTGACAAATTTTTTTGCAAATTTCGTGGATATTAATTTTTAGAATATTTTACGGGAAATTATAAAAAACTCTCGATATTAAAAAATTTTAGGCTGGAGCGTTTGTATACCAATTTGATTTTAGATATCTGTGACATCCTTGTAAATTGAATAAAAATTTCTATAACGATATAGATATGCATTAGAGGAGAATCTAATTGTCATGTGCCATATCTTTCATAACTAGGTGGTTGCTCACAGACCATATCCAGTCGTTTAACGCTCATTTCAATGATGTTGTGAATGCTATTAAGAAAGACATGCTTTCATCCAAGAAACATCTTTTTGAGAAGCTTCTTAGGGGCTCTTATTTTTTTGGGTTACGTCACTGGACTCAGTGTTCCCTGTTTGTGAAACAACTAAACCATCATTTGGTTGGCATCCAATAATTCAATTTCATTCTTCAAATAAAGGCTGTGTAGACAGTTTTGATGTTGATTTTAAAACTATCGATAATTTTTCTGGAGTAAGGAGAAAACTTTCACTTAACAAGCATCATTCGAATATTTATGGTTACAATGTGTTAAATGGGGTCTATTGGTTTTAACTGATTGTTTTCCTTGAAAAAAAGGTTCATGTGAAGTATGGAACATCCTGGAGAAGGAGTGACGGAGCTCCATGTACCTTAGCAACAATTGCATCGTGCCAGACATACAGCCATGGCCATTGGGCAGTTTTCTACGGATTAACAACAAGTTCAATGACAAATTCACATTCCAGCTTCCCAATGTCATATTTCTGCGAGAAGTTTACAACAGCTTATGACTTCAATGTTGGATCAAATGTGTATACAATTTCTTTGCCAAAGCAATATGTATACAAATTTCAGTAAGTGTAACTTCATTAGTCGAGAGGGCTAAACTATTGTTGTGCTTGGTAATTTCAAGGTATTCTGACATATTGAGACTTATCCAGAAAATTTTCAAAGTTTTATTTTCTCTTTGTAGTCACCCTAATAGCTCCAAAAAGTTGCAAGAGTGCTATTGCATCAGAATTTCTAAAAAATATCAAAAAAGTTCAATTTTAATTCAAAATTAATCAATTCAAGCAACTTCAAATGCAGCTTCAGCTATAAAGTGGCAATTTCAGTCTTTACTGCGTGAAATTTATCTATTGAATACCTAATTAACGATATAATGTTCAAGGGCAAATATCTAGTTGTATTTTTATGTTAAAGTTAATATGCCTTTGAATAAGACACAATCCTGGTCAAAATCATGAAAGCAAAACAATACATTCTATAACTGTATCCAAAGAAATAATTAATCTTTTGAATACCTACTTTAGAAGATCGGTTTCCCTGTTACCTTTTCCTAGCAATTGATTTCACGTCGGAGCCGAAAATGCAGAAAAGCGGGCAGGATTCAAAACGAAATTCGTTCTCCTCAAATTTTGGTTTTGGATACTTTAATTCAATTTCCCAAGCGAAAAAAGTATCAAACGGAAAAATGGAAATATATAAAACAGAATTAGCTTTGATGCTCTATGCCTAGAATTCTGTGCTGATTAGTGATCCTATGATCATGTAGATCGTCCCCTATCGTTTTTAAATGACAAGTCATGATGCATAAAATTGTTTTTATTACAACAGGACCCTGTCATGTTGCTGGGTAAGCGACCTTGCGGCGTTAGGAGATTCTGCCTGGGGAGTTGAAACAACCGTTACATTTCAAACCAATCCCTCGACAGGAAAAATAAACAGGCCGCCTCAGGTTCAACACCTGCCTGTTATAGAGCATTATTACAACAGCGCAGGAACATACGTCATACCACTTTATGACCTTGATGGCGACACTCTGAGGTGCAGATGGGCTGCCAGTTCTGCAGAAGGCGGCGGTGTGTGGAATTATCGAATTGGAACACTGAATGGGGTTTGTCTTGCATTTCCATAATGCTGCTGACATATCAAAGAAAGCTGTTATAACGGCTGTCTATTTAAAGATACTCAACCAAGCATACATTTTTTTTCTTGTATCACATTTTAAATAACCTGCATAAAACCCGACGAGAGCCGGAGATATGTGCGAGTGTCTTGCTTGTCTCTGTCTCAAAAAGTAAACCATCCAGACCACTATTTCCTACGTAACAGTCTATTCTGCAAGGGCAGAGAATTGTCTAATTTCATACAGATATGTTCCTAGCACAAGCTGCTATGAATTTTGTGAATTATTATGCTATGTAGACGACTACGTCATATATTCCAATTATCGTTTGGCTGAGATTTGCTGTATTCCAGCAAAGACGAGTATGTGGATTTATACAGGCATTTATTGATTTCAGAATACCTGTGCACTATCACTGCCTTCAGGACTTGCCCCTGGCTGGTACCCGGTTGCAATTATGGTTGAGGATTATGCAATGGCTAGCACTGGTATTTTGCAGCTGCAAAACACAATACCAATACAATTCACCGTCTATATCTACTGTAAGTAAGGGTCCAGATAGTTCTATTTATGTCTTCTTGCTGCATCAATTTGAAAATGAAGATAATGAATTTTTAAAGCCATAGCTAATCGCCCTAGCATTGGTGATACCAAAAAGTTGGGAATGCTGGGCCTGTTTGTGCAGCAGGATCCAATGGTAAACAGTTTAGGGTTGGGGTTTTATTGCTATCATGTGTATCAAAAAGTGCATAACGAGAGCTTTTTATTGAATTCGTGTCAAAGATATAATAAATAACGATTTTCATTATTATCTTTCTTTTTCATACTGTTGCGGGGGAGTCACAGGCTAGGAGGAGTGTGCTTGAACGTAAAAGCCACTACACAAGTGAATACTGTATTAGATACGTTGATGTGGTATATGATGTGACCTTAGCCTTGAAGAAATTTCAAAACTGAGCAAATGTGGTAGGTAACTCAACTGCAAAAGCAAGTTAACTGAATCCGTACAGGCCACAGCATGCAGCTTCGACACGCATTTTCAAAGATACTGGCCAAAACAATATGATTGTTCCTATGTGTCTTTACTGACACTTCAAAAAACGCAATCTTGTTATTTAGTATAGCTTGCTTCTTTGATAATCAAACGTAATTCATTAAGAGGACAGGTTACTTTTGCCAAGTTTAATAAAAATAAACCTAGCTATCATTGATAGCCTGTAGCCAATCTGGCTCAAATCTGGCTCTGATAGTCTTTATGAGGCATCTACCACAAAATGCTGAATAAAGTTGATGAATCTTGTTTCTTGTTTCCTTTTTCAAGCAACTACAAGAGCTGGTTTGTTGGGTACCAACCTTACTAGCTGTTACCCATCTTATCCAGTACGATGTATCTTCTGTCAGCAAAGCACAATTCCTCCAACAACAATAGCTCCAACAACACCAGGAGCCTACCTAGTTGATGGTTGCAGAAGCTATCAAATTCTTGCGAATCCAGATCGAGCCTCTACCTACAGTGATTGGAGCTCGTTCAGATGTGACATTGAGGTGTATGGTTGGTATAGGTTTAGGGGGGATGCTGGCCATAGTATGCTTGATTATTGTCCAAACACGTTTGGAAATGCCTACAGATGTGGATCTTTTTACCAAGGCTGGATATCCTCAGGATCACGACCGACTACAACTCAAGGTTAGTTTTATGAGTTGATAGATCATATAATCTTCGACTTATATTCAGAAGTGTCTATTTTGTCCCCCAAACTCAGCACCTTTCGTCTAAATATCAAGAGGTTTACTAAATATAAACCGCATCTCCTCATCTTAAAGGGTAATTGTTCCAATTTAATCGTCTTAAGTCAATACAAATGCTTGAGCTAGAACACTATTTTAATTTTAAAACACAACAGGGGTATGGCCAATGACTGTTGAATTCATTCAGCAACTAAGGGAAACTTTGAGGGGGTCTTAAAAGCTGATTGTACCACGATTGTACCAGCTTAACCATCTTAAATAAACAAAACGGTGTTTGTTGCTTTACAAATAAACATAACCGAAAATCAAGTTTGGCCATTGACTGTTGTAGTTTTCAACAATTTGGGAAACTTTGAAGCCACGCCCTGACCTGACTTCATCCTGCCGTTAAGAATTTAGTTTTTGTTGTCAGAAGGTCGATTTTTATAGAAATTACCATTCAGACCTTTTGGCCTCCGACTGTTTAAATCTTGGACGTCAGAGGCCTGACTTTTAGGAATTGTTGTAAGTTCCCTCAGTCCCCAAGTTTTCCCTAGGACTATCTAAGTCTTTAGAGTTTCCAGATAGAAAATTTATGTATGCAACTAGCTAGTTCGCGTTTTTAAGCTAAATATTGTTTATAAAAACATCTTGAATTGAGAAAGACTTTTTTTCAAGGAATATTTGCTCAACGTTGTTTTGTTCACTTCCAGGTGTTGTTCAGAGGACAGTTTGCTTTTCAAGATATGGGACCTGCTCTTGTGCGCATACAAAAGATATCTACATAAAAAACTGCGGCAATTTTTTCGTCTACTGGCTGAGTGGGGTTCATGTCTGCAATTCAAGATACTGTGGATTGAAAGGTAATACAATAGTAACGTTGTTGGTGGAACCAGCGAATCCGGACAGGATAATCCGACTACTCTCGTGTCATATATGTCAAAGAGCTTTTGAATGTATTGGTGAATAACAAGTCTCCTAGGACCAGGGAAGGCTCTCCTGCTAATGTGAATATCCGGATTCGCCATGATTTAGTAATTGCCCTTTACAGTCACTTTCTTCTTCAAGCTATGGGACGTTAGTTGCCTTAGTAGTAAGCACTTTTATACAATGGAGTGAAAAGATTAAAACGTATCAAGATTATTCGAAGACTGGGCTGCTGTAATAACCCTGCACCACTCTCAAAGTTTGGTCGTCTTGCCAATTTACAGACAGTAACCTTTCCTTTCGATAAATTAACCTTTTTCATAAACCTGTGTACACATATGTGAGAAACAAGTATTCATATTTGTCAGTACCTATTGATTTTTGTGCTATTTGTTTATAGCTTGTTCTTGAAAGTAAAAGCTTATTACCTTTAGTAAAAGCTTACTTTCCTTTTGCCCAAATAACCTTGAAAGGATTCTCACCCTTGCTTCTAGATACTAAGCCAGCCGTGACGTGCACTCTTAGTAAGATGAACATTGAACTTGTGCGTGCAAGATACAACACATCCTTATACTCCAGCATAACCCTACGAGACAAATCCTGTCCTGCCTCTATTTCGTCAGCCAAAATAACCTTGGGAGGCACCCTTGGAATTTGCGGGGCCACAAAATACACGACTGGTTCCCATATTGTCTACGAAAATGAAGTAATTTTCAAGGCCAAAGAGGTGAATGGAGTTATTAGAGACAATGACATAATAGTGAAGTTTTCGTGCAAGTATGCAAAGAACGGCACAGTTAGTTTAATTGGTTACACACCGCAGTACAATATCACTGTTGTAGAAGGTGAGATACCTTTAAAAGGAAAATCTGACCTGTTTTATTAATTTCCTCTACAAGCACAACTTTAATTGCAGTGAAATAAGGAAAACGTATTTCTGACAGAGTTAGAGCTCAACCTGCTAACTTTGAAAGAAGTGGAGAAAGGTTTTCACATTTTTACCTTGCTACATCGCCGTTTTCATGAATTTACCTTCCACATAAGTTTGCACAGTCTTATTTTCATCTAGATCAAAACTTGATAATGCTAGAAGAAAATGATTGCTGTTAGTTGCAACTTTACATATCAGTGTAAAATCTTTAATACAGGACTCAAATTTGATACCTCCCGATGTGATATATTAGATGCATATCATAGACACTTTTTCGTTGCCCCCTGACATGTTTTCATGAAATAATCTCTGGTTAGATTTCTAATTTCTTATTTTCTCCTGTCCTGTTATCCTAACAGCACTATCGAGACAGCTAGCTTAGCTACAATTTTCCTGTTGTACTTTATAGATGGCTTTGGAAACTTCTCGACTTTTTTCCAAATGTTCACGAATGCAATGTATAGCCAAATACATTCAATATATCCCGTCAGAGTGCAGCTAAGAGATTGGGTTTATCTTGAACTTTTTGCCAACACAAACGGAAATGATATCGTCCTTGTTGCTGACGAATGCTTTGCGACTCCGACGATGGACCTGAATCATCCACAAAAGCTGACATTCATTCGAAATGGGTATAATCACGACTTCTAAAGTTTCATAGTATTATGTAATGCTAGCCGTACAGACAACCACTTCTAAGGCCCCGTTCACACGGGAACGCAATCGTTCCGTTCCGTTCTTCTCCGTTCCGAAAAGCGGAACGCTCAGGGGTTGTGTTCACACGGGAACGCTTCAAACGACATCGTTCCGTTCCAAAAAGTGGAACGATAAAATAAGTGATACGAAAAGTGGAACGGTACGCAATCGTTCTGTTCCGTTCTCGTGTGAACGCGCAGAACTGGTCCAGAAAATGGAACGATAAGAGTTTTCCCTTGGCGCATGCGTCTGTGTTGTTGTTGAGGGAAGGAAAAGGTGACAATAATAAACTCAGCGAAGAAAATGGAGGATTTCAAAAACACCATTGGCTGAATCTCGCCGTTAGTCCATTTAAAAGATTCAACACCATTCTGCAAACATTGAAATTCCTTCATTTTAGGGTTGGCTTAAATTTTCCCACGAGCTTGCTTATTTTGGGGCGCTTTTGTATTCTCCATTCATTCAAATTGTTTAAAAAATTCAGAGATAGCTCAGAGATAAATCGAAATGATGAAATCTATCTCCATTATGGACATGCGCATTAAAAATCATTTGCTTATTTTGTCGCGCAAATTGTAGAACGGGACGATTGCGTTCCCGTCTGAACATAAAAAAATCGATCGTTCCTGTGTGAAAAAAAACGCAATCGTTCCGTTACCGTGTGAACAGTATACTGTTGTTATGTTATACTCCGTTATCGTGTAAACAGTATGTTCCAGAAACTGGAACAAAAATGGAACGGAACGATTGTGTTCCCTTGTGAACTGAAGAAAAAATTGGTACGAAATCGTTCCGTTCCTGTGTGTACAATTCATTTATTTATTCCAAAATTTGGAACGGTACGCAATCGTTCTCATGTGACAGGGCCTAGGTTTTGAAGACAAGGGCTGTGGTGGATTGTTCCCAGATGTTGAGCAGATAATGAACATAATGCTTCCTTTTTAAATAGAAGTTTCTTCAAAACAATTCAAATTAAAATAACACTGCTTGCAAACTTTGACATAAAATAGGGCGTTGACTTCGAATGGGCTGCTTCTCCGTATAGAAGAGGGCAGTTAATATTTGGCATGTAAACAGATGCAAATTTTATTATTACTTTGCTCCTTCCTCTGTGCAGAGAAAGAAAGTATAACTATTTATTCTTTCATTGTTTTTATTACAGTCAAGGAGTTGCGGCAGAAGGGGTAATGTTCTACCGTGCACCAAACAACAAAAACAGGTTTAGCGTTCCGGCAATCAGGTTTCTGCAGAACAGTACTGCTGTATTCTTTCACTGTCGCTTCTTTTTGTGTTTCACAAGTTCGACCAATCTTCGATGCACCAGAGGGTCTCCAAACAACAACGTCAACAAAAATCGAATCAACAGAGGCAGGAGAGATGTCGAAGAACCTGAGACGAAACCTCCCTCCCAGTATTATAATTTAGATCTTGAAATACGGTTGGATGACAAAAAACAAGGTGAGAAGGCTTTTTATTAATTAGGGAATCAGTTGAATTCACCAGAATCTATTTTTTTGACGATCTGAAAGAAGAATACACCATTATTGTTTGTAATCTAGCAGAATTATAGCAAAACCTCAAAACTTCAAATGTAGAGCACTTGAAGAGATTTGTTTGGATAATTATAAACTATATGTAGTTGTCATCATTGAACGGTTCCTCTAAATCAAACGAAAATTTAAGCCTTTGTCGACACATTTCTAGTAGCATTCCACTGTTATGTTCCTTAGATACCAAGACTGAACCTGGTCCAAACAATCTGGTTTATATCGTCGGAGGATTCGGTACAGGGATTATTCTACTGATTGTCATTGTTGCTGTCGTTTTCTACCGAATGCAACGTAGAAGACAGGACACAGCTGAAGGCCCTCTTGAAAAAAGTGACTACCAAGTTGACTTGGGCGAAATTGGCCTTGAAAACGAGGCTATTCAAGGCGACCAGGTAAAATGAAAGGACCCTGTGACAGTTGCCCGATGTGTATTGTGTGTTAATTGCACGATTATTGTATTATTATGATTCTCGTAGCTTAAATTCGTAATTTTTAATCTGGCAGATGTAGATAAAACAGTTGTTTAACGTAGTATGTAGCTAGGATGTATTTCTGAAGAGACGGCAAGGATCAGGAAAAACCAGATCTGCTTGAGCTGCGGCATTTTATTTTTTCAACCACTTTCGAAACTAATTTTTAAGAAAGCACCTGACTTTGGACCGTGTAACTTAACAAACCAAAAAACCACTAAAAGTTCAAAGTTACCTTGGCTGAAATATTGCAACATTATAACAACTTCAATCCCTACCTACTTACAAGCTACCAAAGCTATTGTCCTGCAGTCCCTGTGATATTTACTTGCTTCAATCAATAGATTACTGCTAATTTTTTACAAGAGCAATGGCTGACTCCGCCCCCCCCCCCTCCGCTTGAGGTCTCTTGAAATGACTATGATTAGAAGTGACAAGATATAAATGTTAACGTCTAAATGTAAAACCAAAAGAACTAAGACAATTGCTTGCAGTTTTTAAAGTTAAACGTTAATTATCGGCCTCTTACTGCCCATTGCTTAGCCAATTTGGAGTACTCTAATACAATCGTTTGCAAAATGCAGTTTAAATTTGTTTTTACATTTTCTTAAGGTATTTCTAGGTATTCTTTCAGGCTGTATCGTCCAAATGAAAAGCTCTAAGAATATACTTTTATGACATCATAATTTAGTCACTGAAGTAATAACGGTTTAAAGCAAAAGTTTGAACAAATCTTTGCATCTAGCAGTGAGTTGTTTTTTTCCTTAGCACTGTTATCTATTTTATTAGTCAATAATGATAGACTGACATCCAGTCATTCATATTAATCCGATGTACGTGTTTTTGTTTTGAAAAAGCAACCTATATGTCTGTTTGTATTGCTTAAAGGCTGTGCTTATGTAACAATAAATAGCCATTGCTATATGTTTTAATCCCTCTTATTAGAACCTTGATGAATACCAATCTTTTCCTGCTTTTTTTACTCTAGGAAACTTGGGAGACGAAAAACTGATTAGGGATTTTTCATCGTACTAACTACCATTTATGAAGGCACAGGACAATGTGTCATAGAACAAAGACCGTTTCCCTGAATTCCTGCGATGACATATACTTGTTTTAGCCGATAGATAATTGTCTCCTTTCTACAAGAACAAAAGTTGACCACCAACCAGAAGCATCTTGTCTATGATTAAAAATGACAGCATGTTAACGTTTCGTGCATAAATACAGAACCCATATAAATGCAGCATTTGTTTGGAAGTCTTTTAAGCCAAACATTTTCATTTTTGTATAAAACGCAAGAAATTTCAGTTGAAAATTTTAACTTTGGTTGTGCATATCTGAAAGGTACGGTGGCCCAGAGGGTCACGGCACATATTCATAATATCCACAGTAAACATTCTATTTCATATAAACTTTCTCGCACATTCACGGCAAACACTCCCTCACATTCACGGCACACTTTGTTTAATATTCACGACACACTTTGCTTCATATTCACAGCAAACCATCTCCTATATTCGGTTTCCTTTTAAATATTCGGGTTCATGCTCAGGGACATAAAAAGCATTTATAACTTGGGAAGACACAGCTTTTGACACCGCTATTAAAAAGATGATTGTGAAGGTAAAAGGTAGCTACTCTTTCCGAAAAGACACTTGCAGGTCCTACGCCTAGGGTGGCCATGGCCCCCGCTTTTTTGCGAAGCAAGTAGGTGTAAAGCTGCAGTAAAAGGGGAAAAAACCTTGACCCCCTACTTTTGCTAGCCTTGGTCCCCCACTTTCAAATTCGTGACGTGGGCCCTGACTTGCAAAAACGTTGGAGGCCCCTCATTTTGCCATCTTCTTTGCTCTACTTATATAAAGAGTGTATGTAATCTTTGCATTTGAGCACTTAAAGTATTTTGAGGAACTGTATACAATCAATAACTTTGCTGAACGAATTTAGAATAAACTGCCATAACCATCAGCTAAAACTTTTGCTTGTGAGCAAGAGCATTAAATTATCTAATTATCTTTATTATCTTTTGTGAAGTGCGGTGAGTGTACGCAGCAGGTGGTGAACTCATTAGGTGAACTTTGTTAGCCTCATAATGGAAGGAGGGGCAAAATGAGAAATCTGAAAGGAGGTTGTGTTGTTGCCTCGAAGACGAAGTCATAATAATCTAAAAATGTCTTGGTGAGGTTTTCCGCAGCCTACTTAAACTGTGTATGTTTAATTCGATTTACCGAGTAACATCAAAGTATTTGTGCAGATTAAAGATAAGACAACACTTATTTCAAGGATAATCTTCTGAAGAAAAAGGCGATTAAGCATTCAATGGGCAAAATTTAACCCGTGAATGCTAAATAGCAAAGCTCACGGCTTCGCCATGACAAGAACAGCAGTGTTGTTGAATGTTTATGACATGGTATGGAAGTTTTTAGTTTTTAAAATACCCAGGATAAAAGGAGTCACAATTTTATTTAGATTTGAAAGAAATTGGAAAATGACTTAGATATAAAAGTAACGACTTTAAAACTTCTTGACGACGGTGCGATCTCCACTTTTTCCAGACGACCTGCAATCCTGAAGGTCAGGTGAACATTTTTGTGGAAACCTGTTGGCATTCACAGTATCATCTGCAGACTTTTCGGGCTATTTTCAACAAAGTCTTTGTTTCTGCTGCTTCAGTCCCTGCATTTTTGTTATGCCATTAAGTTAAAGTTAATCGAGAACGCAGGCCGTCAGAAAATAATAATACTACTAGCACTACATAGTAGAAAACACCATAATTGCCTCCATTTTCATTTTAGGGTAAAAGTGAAGTACAGTTTCCATTGATGTTTATGTAAAAGCTGTTTTGGATAAAGCTTATAGGAATATGATTCTATTCTTTTTATCTTTGCTAACATCAAGCATTTTTCTTTTTTAACAATACATCGCCATATAATTTAGTTAAATTCTACTTACCCTTGGTCTAACAAGTTTAAATATGGAAAAGGATCTTTATGCTTTTTAAATTTTTACATTTGTATATATATGGCCCTTTGTTTGTAAATGTGTACAAAATTTGCAGAGTGGTATTAAATATATGTTCATATAACTTAAAGTAGCCTCAAAATAATGTTAATTTTATATTTTTGAAAGGATTGTTCATCTTTTTCAGTATTGGTTAAATGAATATACATCATCTCTTGGTTTGGGTGTTTATCACTCAGGAATAGAAATTCATGGGAAGGGTGAGTAGCATATTCAAATGAATGAAAGAAAGTTCAAATACTGGATGCATTATATTTTTATTTTTTGTGAATCAAGCTTTTCTCTTGGTTGCGACATCATCTTGGGTGTCTACCATTGCAAAGCAAATAGGGACAGAATCAAACTATATACAATTAACATTAATTTGAAAATACTAGCTTCAGCAAGACTCCAGAGCTTATAGCATGTCCATATCACCACAATTTGACATAACAACAGCTCCGTATTCAACAGCTTCTTACAGCATGAACGGCATGTAATTAATCATAATGTGACTTCTGGGTCTGGTCATGAGTGAAACGATCTACTGGATGTTTCTCCTTCACAACAAAGACTAAGTAAGGGAAATTTTATAAGTGATTTTCCCAGTAACACACGTGTACATTTCCTACAAAGGTTTTTAGAAAGAGCATTCAGATTCAAAGTGTTTGACAAAAATGTCATTAATGTCAAACGGGTCAAAGAGAGTCCTTGGCATATCATGTATTTTGAAAATGTTTGTACTGCATATTGCTTGTTTTTGAAATACCTAGGAACTTATGCTGTTGATGATGCCTCTGTTGTAGATCAATACTTTTTCGTTAAAGTTTCATGTTATTTTGGGTATTTGGACAGTTGTGTAAGATAGTTGTTAAATCTACAGAGTATGCTTTTGGTGGCCATCCGTTTCCTTTTACTGGAATATTTGATATGATGCCCAGAGACCTAGCAGAGCTTGGGGAAGGATTTCAGTTTAAGTAAGTACATGTTAACAATTTCTTGGTGGTACAGAACTTGAAAATGGCTGCGAAAAAAGCAAACATTTCACAACATACTACTAAATGTTGAGAATTGTTTGCTTTTTCAAAGCCATTTTTAAGTACATGTTATTTTTTGCATTTAAAAATTATTTTATCTACAAATGTAATTCTGTCAATGTAAATAAACCCTCAAAACTTGTTAGACTTGCCACCAAACTATCAATTTTTGCCCATTTTCAAGGTATTTGGGTATTTGTTGCAATTTTTGTTTACGATCTTCAGCTTACTGTGAGGACTCTGAAGGATTTTTAAAACAAATAAAAACAAAAAATTTTTACTAACAGTTTTATGGAATACCAGAAAAGATAAGTCACATAGATTCAAACATTTAACAAATTAGATAATGAACATTTCATTTAAGAAATAATCTTTTTAGTAAACTCTGTTATTGTTTATTTTCAACATTTTTTTCTTAGTGCTAACTGATGACAAAGCATGATGCAAAAAGTATTATAAATTTAGGAGGAAGTTGGATTTGTCTCAATTACAAGATAGATAGGTAATAGATAGGACAGGAGTCTGAGCTCTGGCTCTAAATCTTCAAAGTTTGACATACCTTATACTAACTTTTTTTAAATATGCAGAACTGAGGTTCTAATTAGGGGGCAGGGCTCATCTCAGCAGATTTCCTTTTTTCCCCAATAATTCAAGCCACAGCAGACCTATTATCAAGTTGCATGCATTTTGCTTGATTCTGACACATTTTGGTCAGTTTTTATCCATTTAGATTGGGGTGGTTGACAAAAGAAGTAAATAGGCATGATTCAGTAGAAAAATAGATCATTAATGTTATGGAACTTACGCTTTAAGACTGTTCTCATGCAAAAGGGTTCATTTGACTTATGGTGGAATATGTATTTTTCTTGCCATTCATACGAGTAGAAAATTTGAAGGCCACATGTATTTGTAAATTCCCAAGTGGCATGTTATAAGCAAATTATTATCAGAACGTATTCTGTTTTTTTGCAGGGAAGCAATTGTTTTAGGCTTCACAGATTTTTCAGAAAATGATGTATGCGATATAGTAGAGGACCTTGGAAATAAGTTTCAAGGTCCAGCTTATCATTTGATAAAAAAGTAAGGTTAAAGACATTGATGCTATGTTTATACTTTGACTATGTTTTACTTCACTTCACAATTTTTTACCCAACCAGTTTACAAATTCTAACAACAAACATGGAAATGATGCGTAGGTCTCTTCCTGATAGAGTCTCTAAATTGTGTTCAGGGTTGGCATTATATGGTTAAACCATTCAACAAAATTTCTTAAATGTCCCCAAGGCCTCCTTAATAAATCATATGCCTGACCAAAATTTTATTGCCTTTAATAAGATAAGTTATAGATAACAGGCCTCTAAGTTTGATGTGCGTGATTGTGGGCCCAATCTTTTCATTCACCTGCTTCTCAAAAAGATGAGATATTATACCCCTCTAGCCATTATTTTGCATTTTGTAAGGCTTACTTTTCTATCAGAATCTTTGTTGGAATCATTTTTAAATTACAGCATTCGCAATGTAGGGAATCGCAGGACATAAAGTGCATGTCAAACCATCTTACCCATTGAGTGTGAGGAAAGAACTAAATGTGTACTCTAAATTTGCATGGCCACTATTATATATAAATTTGAAAAATGTATTAATAGTTCAATACATTACTGTTATGAATTCATGTTGGAGTAAAAAAATAGAAGTTTCTTTTGTTGGTGTCTATAACACTTGCAAAAATAATAGTTTTTTTAGTTCTTTGGTACCACAAAGCTTAACAATCACACAGAAAAGCTGACCATCCAGTGATCAGCTGTGCAACTGCTAAAATGTTTACATAGAAGCCCGGTGTAATCCTTCAAAGATAAATCCAGCTAATTGACTAGTTAACCTTGACAAAGACAAAAATTTTCGAAAAAAATTTTCATGTTAGCAATTATACATTTTGATGATCAGGGAAAATTTAATGCTGATTATCAGACCAGGCCTTGTTTCTTCCATGATCATTTTCCCCAGGGAGGCCTGATTTGGAAAATTAGCTTTTTTATTCCTTTGGTCAGAGAGCTTAAAGAAAGCATCTATTATATAGACCTTGATTTCTCAATTTTTGTTTAAGACACTCATCATTAATTAGGACTCCCATTTAGTTCTTGTGATTTTTCCAGTTTTTTTTTCACCTCCAGAGGCAATAAAGAGAGTTTTCCCTACTTACATAAATCCAGTTAAAAATCTCATTTTTTATGATCTTTTCAAACAATGAAATAACTGACTATAAGATAATTTTAGATTTATTGGCTGATATCTTGTTATTGTAGTTCTTTTATCAAATCTCAAATTAATGATTGTTGTCTCTTGTAGCAACTGCAATCACTTTACAATGGAATTTGCAAAGGTAGGCTTTAGTCTTGAATATTTCATCTGTTCTTTTTATTTGCCATTATAAGCTTGTGAATTCTTCAATTTTTGCTACATTTTTGTAGTAACTGAATGGTCAATGTCAGAATGCTCTAAAAATGGGAAAGTGCTCCTTTTATGGGTATAAAACGTTTTTCCATAATAATAATATAAAAAGACGAATATTTATACACTTCAACGAGTTAAACCTGCTGTTATTAATGTGTGTCCTGTGTCCTATGCCTTAATTCTAATTCCCTAAATATATATAGTTAAAAATGAATCCAATAAAAGTAAGAATACAGATGTAAAAAGAGCAGGTCTACCTTATTACATTCAAAGTTTCAGTTAAAATATTAAGATAAATGTCATTGAAAATGTTCCTTAAGTAGTTTCTCAAATTCCTTATTGTTCTTCATCTTACAAAGTTCCAGTGGTAGATCATTGTACACCTTCGCACCCATTAATACAAACAATTTTTGTGCGTACTCAGTTTTGATCCTTAGTTGGTAGTTTTAATGTGCAATTGTTGTTTCGAGTGTGCTTTTCATGCTCTTGCAGAGTGAAATGATTGTGCAACTGTTCACAACTGTTCACACCTTGCCTATCATCGATTATTTGTTTATTTAATAGAAGCAGCATTAATAATGCACTTAATTTTTTTCTGTGCTATTCTAAACATTTTGCAATTTTTTAGATCTTTTAACATTTCCCTTCATTTATCTAATCATTATTTCTCAAGCTTGATGTCTGAAAATGATCCCTATTAGATGATCTACTTTATCCCTTTTTTGTATTTCAAATCTTTCTGGCCTTGGAATACCCTGTCACAAATTCATAAGACTTGGCGGCCTTAGTTGCTTTTTGTCTAGTTTGATGTTTATTTTATTTTTTACCTATTGCAACAGGGCTGCAGTCTGACCTTAGGCCTTGTAGGACTTAGGCATTCAGAGATAAAAAAGTAGGGGTACAGGTGTGTGATCATACCCAAAGATGAAGCTATGTATGTGAAAATACAGCAGCAAGTACCTAATTTGTATGGCAAAACTGTTGAGAAAAAAGACTGGCAATACAATCAAACAATAGAAATCGGAGAAAATACCGAATATTTTTGAGAAAAATTTGAGAACTGTGATACTTGCAAACTGTGAAAAATATGTAAGATCCTTGCCACGTAACTTTCAGAAAAATAGCCGACCATGAAAAACATGACTCTAATAGGATTTTTGATTTGAAATATTTATGCCAGCAAAATCATGAACACCTGTTGTAGACTTGCATGTAACTTTTTCTGCATTTTTCAGAAAAACTTTCTAAAAAAAGAAGAAAATTTGTTTGACTAAACTACTGCCTACCAAATATTTTCAAGGGTAAAAACTCCTCATTTTGTCCACTAAGAAAACATTTAATCCTGCAAAGTTTTTTATTACAAAGACAGTCTTTCAAAAGTTGCTATATTTATAGATAGTTTATAATTTTTTAAATTTTAAACTTGTATGTGATACTTGTTTGTATGAAGTTTTTTGGCACATTAAAATATCATACTCTACAAAAAATTTTTTGTTTAACCCCTATTAATGTTTATATTGGTTGTCAATAGCCTGTGCCATGATTTGGCAAGTGCATTGGTGAGGGCAATCAACCATGTAAAACGGGAATACCTGGTCTGACATATTATTTTCTTGAAATTTACCAGAGGTGATTTTTCACCATAATGCCAATGAAGTAGTTTCGGGTGGTGTTATCTTTCAGATTCTTTGTGGTAAAGAGATACCAAAGTGGGTAAACCGCTTAGCATCTATTGGGGCAAGGTTTCCTTTCCTCTGTGCCTGCATACCTAAAGAGTGGCTTGCGCCAGAACCAGTTCCCTCATCAGCAGATGTTGATCTCATGGAATGGGTCAATATAGAAGGACCTTGTGATGGTAGTTGCAATTTTTTCTGTTTTAATAAGATTTTATAAAAAAATCTAAGTTTAACAGAAAAGTATATGTTTCTTTAACATTATGAGATAATTTACATATTTATCATTTGTGAATAAAGGTTTTGTTGCATTTTGTCTATTTTTAGTGATAATAGTTCATCACACTTGTGATTTCTTATATTCATGGGCCAATTTGCACCCCTTTAACAACATTTTAAGTAGCTTTTTCCAAATGTATATACAGGTTGCTAATATCTCATTTTATAACAGATCTTAAGTCTCTACCCTTTGATAATTATGCTACTGTACAAAGCAATTTGAAAGAAATAGAATTTGTACTTTTTGCAATTAGTTTTTTGCAAATATTTTTTTAAAAAAAGTCCAATTTACTTTGTTTAATCTATGCTTATCATTTTCTTAGACATTTTATAGCAGCTTTAATGGCATTAAGAGCAGGCTGAACTTTTGATACCTAGATTTAAAGGTAATTTCATTTCTGTTTCTTGATACAGAGGAAATGTCACCTTTTACACGAGAAACCCACACACCAAAGAGAACTGTTGCAAAGTTAGCTGAAACACACCAACACACCTCAAGCTGAAGTCTCCACCTTAAATTCATGCCTCAACACTTATGAATCAAATGACTTTTGAAAGTCATTTGGCTCATTTATTAGGAAATCAATGGCCTTTTGTTGTTACCTCTAATCAATGTTGGAGTGGAATTAGAATAAGGTAATTGTTCAAAATAGTTTAAAAATTAATAGGGTGTTTAGTTGTATTTACAAAAAGTTTCTCGGTCAAAAGTTGATTTCAACAAATTGACTTCTTATGAAAGGCTAAAGAGGCAAAACATCTCATCACAAAATCGAAACTAAAATAAACTTTTGAATTGAAGAATTTTTTCCAAAGCCCATATGAACTTGTTTATATCAACACCCCTTTTAAAATCTACTTAAAATACCATCTACTCACCCACATGCCACAGTGTCTAGAATATCAAGTTTTTCCTATGTTTGCCTGATCCTTGTTTCTTTTTTTCTGCTTAGCCCACCTCATAAAGCCTTAAAAGACTGTCCTAAGCTGAATCACATTAATTTTCGTAAAGTACTGGCAAATTAGGGCTACATTGGTTTGATATGGTTTTATAGATGCATCAATTTGTTAAGGTATTGTAAATATAATTGATAAATCAAGTAGGTCACTTAGTTTTTGGAAATTTTGAATGGATTTTAGCTTGTTGAAAGATTAGGTTTTTGATTTTTTACTCTTCTGGCACTGGCAAACTTTATTACCAGAATTGATAGAAGATATTTGAAATGTCATCTTATTGTTGTAGGGTGATTATTCAGAAACTTTCTTATTAACTTGGCATTAATAACAAGAAATGCACCTGTCTTGTTTAGTGACTGAAATGGTTCCCTTTCCATTTACAGAAGTTGATTGATTTCCCAGGCTATCTGGCTGGTGTTTGGGATCTTTTCCTCTCATGCCCTTAACATCCCATTACCTACAGATTGCCAGTCTACCATTTCACAAAAGTCTAGCAGTCACTCCTTATTCTTAGTGCTAGTGCCATTAAATGCCTGTGTAATAGGTTTGCAATCTCAAAATGTATTATTTCATGCATAGGATTCTTTTCTTGTTAACAGGATGCCAAATATAGATAACCACCACTACTCAGCCCCCCTCCCACCAATGACTTTTCCATTTATCCAAGGCTTTTATTTCTATGACCCTTTAACTTTTAAATACCCCTTAAACTAACTCTGATGTTGATCTTAATTGAACAACACAGTACAAGACTAGAATGAACCTAAAAAGTACATGATCTATGTACAATCACATGATATGCCATCTAACCCAATTTAGTTCTATTTAGCTGCATAAAAACAAAGGAATCAGTGTTGTGTTTCTTGATAATAATTTATTTGTATTTAGTAGCATTTTACATATATTATGAATAAATATTGAAGATATACTAGTTTGCTTATTTAATAAAGTGATCACTTTGCCTTAGGAGTTTTTTCTAATTTAGAGTTTATGAGGCCTAGTATAGACTATAGTAACTGTTTTCTTTATCAATCTTGTTTTTGCCAATATTTAGATATTGATTGAATCTAGAGAATTAATAAATACCTAATAGTGTTCTAAGATTAAAATCAACACTTATCACAATCGTTTATTTCATGTTCCCCATCCTTCTTTGGCAACATAAAATCCCAAAATTAAATTCTTCATGGAAACTAGATTGTTTTTTTACAGACTAGAATAGACGTTTTGCAGACACAGTTTAAAAGTATTTCTTTAAAGTTGGCTTTTATTGCTGTTAAACCAATCTGTTTACTGTTACAAAAGCCCTTAAAGCCTGTAATGTTCAGTGTCGTTTGAGCATGCACATTACAACAACCATTTTACACAGCAACTGCTTAAATGGCCTTGTCATTTTTCGCAATATTTTGATTTCAAAAACTTTGATTGCCCACTAGGTCTCAATATTCCCTGGTTGCAGAATCATTGAGAGTGTAAAAAAAATATATTACAAGAAGCAAAAAAAATCAAAAAATGTTTCACCTCAGAATTTTTCTTATATTATGGCTTAAAGTAAGCTTAACATCCTCTTCTGATTATGGGCAAAAAAGTCAGTATTTTATAAGAAGCCACTGGTTTTTGTAGTTTATTATTATGTGTTATTTATCATCAAAATCCGACAGCAAAAAGGGGGATTTTTTTTATTTCTAATGGAAATTAACATAATGAGAGTGGCTAAGTTAGTCATCAATTATCTACAGGATTCTTCAATATTTTCTTAGGAGTGAATATTTAAGAGCACTGCTTGCCCCCTCTGCCTTTCATGGAAGAGAGCAGGAGGTACAGCTGCCCCCTGCAGCCCCTCCAGGTTAGGCTCCCCTAACAGTGTACATTATTCTGCTATGAAATTGTTTAACATGGGGGTAGGCTGTGTTTTAGCACTGAAATTGCACAAAAGGGCGTGGCTCGTCAGACCTGCTGTACTAGCAGCTAGAGCTCTCTCTGGTTATACTGGAACAAACACATTCTGCTTTGTAGTTGATGAATGCATGCATGCAATCATCACCCAGATATGAATCCACTGCGACGGAGTACAGAGGAAGGAATTGAGGACGTCACTATCAGAGGCAGTATAGCTGATACCGAGGAAAGGAACGGGGTCATTCGCGTTAAAACCTTTTGCAAAATCATGTTTGAGACCCATTAGCCCCCTGGTTCCTAAGTCTATGGTTTCACTTCTCAGCAACCCTTTATCAGCATCCTGTCTTTCAACTTCTTCCTCTCTGCCTTTTTTTTTGAGCATTGCTAAAGTTCTGGCACTATTTAGCATATTTTCAATACATCTAAGATTTTCAATGGAACATTTGAAAGATTGGAGTAGTTTTAAGATTGCAATAGGATTTGTAAGGATTTTCAGATTTCTAAAGCATTTCTTGCTTATTTCCCCCCCTCCCCCCAGATTTTCAGAGGGGGTGTATGGGATTTTTGAAGTGAAATTCCCCTCATATAGAGTGACAGATTTCCAACCACATTTAATGCTTGACAGGTTCTTGAACTGATTATGTAAAATATCAATAAAAGCAAATTTCAATTGAAGTAAAAGGTCTTAGCTATATGGAAAATTCTTAAAATCATGAGACTCCCTAAAAGCTGTTCATTCTCTTTAAAGTTCTATAATCAACCTCTATAACCCTATTAGCTAGGTTTTGCATAAAATATTTCATATTGAAAAACATAAAAATGACAGTATGTTGAGTTACACAAGTACATTTCATTGAGCAATCATGAAAAATCTCGGTCTTGCATATTTGAATTATGGCTTACGATGCGTAACACAGTGTTCAGCTAATTAATTCCAATATACATGTTAACTGTTCTTTTCAAACACAAGCTAGCCAAGAAGAACTACAACTTTAATATTACATCTATCTGCAATAAAAAAAATATCTTCAAATTTAAACTAACTACAGACGACTCTCCTGGTATTGTTTATATTTATTCTCTAAAACTTGATTCAGTACTTTTTCACAGCTAGCAATTCTTCTTTTGAAGTGAGATCGATCACATGCATATCTTTCCCAGTGTCCCTTTCGTGCTTTTCTGTAGGCAAAGTTCCATTGTATCATGTGGTGAACTTTTACAAGCTCACTTTCTGCTGCAAAAGAAACAGTTTTTCTAGGAGGCTTTACTTTGATGCTATCTTGTATATTACATATTTCCACCACATTCAATCTAATATGTTCTTTGAATAAATTTCTGTCTTTGAAAGTTTCTTTGGTAACAATTTGCTTTTCACCACCAGTAATTCTTTGGCTTGGTGAGTTAAAAACATCATTTGCCTTCAAAGAAATGCACTCTTTCGTTACACAAGGCAGTATCTTATCTAACAAAATATCTTGCATCTCATTATATCCAGAGTTCAACTCTCTAATATACTGTGAACAGCCAGTGTTTTGCAAATGAAAAGAAAAACAACCATTTTCCTCTTCTAGACCATCAACAATATCACAGTCTTCATCAAAGACTATTTCCATATCTCTCTCAAAATCATCTAACGTAGAACAGACATCAGAACTTCCTTCAGAACCATCCTCAAACTCAAAATCAAATTCATCATCGGTGTCTGTACTTCTGTCTGAATGCATTGTCAAATGCTGCTTCCAAAATATTGAGAGTGGTTTGCAGAAATTTCGATTGTCCATCACCTTGTCAAACAAAACATGCCAGCATGCCCAGTTGGTAGATGATTTAATTTCAGTTACGAAAAGGGCTGATTCATCTGGAACTGTGAAGTTGTTCCTTTCAGAGATCTCAGTAGCAGTTTTCTGTTCATCATAAGATGGATCTGAGAAAAAAAGAAAGAAATTCTCAACATCACACATAACCAATGGTCAATCAAATTTCATCTTAGATGTCAATCAAATTTCTAACTCCCTTCAGATAAAAAATTCTACCAGCAAAATGAGCAAATCAACAAGATAGAAGGAACTGTTATTGACTGGTGTCTAGTTACGCCCAATTTGGAAACATTTGGAAGCAAATTTCCACTTGCAGAATAATCAAATCTCTGTTTTTCCTTGGAGTTTCACATATCAAGGTTCAAGTGTAATTTACTGCCGTCTTAAATAATTTTGTCTGGGGTAGCTAGGGATCTCTTGGATACTAAGGAATTTCTGGGGGGAGCTTAGGGACATCTGAACATCTAAACATGAGAGGAGGTAAGAAATCCAGAAAATAAACTTCTTAGATAATAATTCAAATTATCTAAATGCATATAGGAAGCAGTTGTTGGTGCAGAACCTACAAATTGTCCTAAATCGTGCCATGTACCACGTGCTATAGTTTAACCTGTGTGCTTTTTTTACATTTTTGTAACCGAATGTAGTCGTAAAGGTTTGGAATTGCGAAGTTCAATAGTTACCCTAATTCATTGAAAATAAATTATTGCACAGAGATCATGATGGAGTGTTTGAATATGAAAATGAAGAATCTAGTGTTCCTGTCGTCAGTGTCTTTTCGGGACATTGAAGAACTTCTGAAATATTCCAAAAAGTTCTGCAAATCAATGTTCAAAGTTGTGAGATAAAAACTATACAAAAGATGAACAGGAGTTTTTAGTCTATTTGAAGCAATAAAATTGTTATTCACTGACCATCTTTTCGTAATGCACGTCGAACGTTGTTAGTCTGTTTCTCCCAGAGACTGTTCATCCCAAAGAATTTTAGGACTTCTTTGGCAGAGTATATCAGTAGTTGTAATCCGTCCTTCAACACAGCTCTCACATAATCGAAACCCTTCCTCGTATACATATTTGCCAAAGTGTTGGAAAATTTTCCAACTGCAGCTAGATTTAAATACAAGTTGACTATCATGAAATAACGGTATCTTCGAAATATTTCCCTTCCAATATTCTACTTTCTCTTGCTAGTTCGTTGTGTATAACAGTACGTTGGCAAAAATTCCGCTGCCAGTTCAAACCGCTGACTTTCTGTGGAAATGTTTCTGATGGATAAAATGGTTTGATCTTATGCGTTGCTTTATAAACACACGTACAAAGATACTTTTCCAGATCGTTTCTTCCTCTTAGGCCCTTAGTTGGTGCTACTAGCGGGCAGGTATGAATGGCTGTCGTTAATACTTCGCTTTGTAAGTGAATACTCTCTGACAAAAACTCTTCAGGATTAGAAGACATACTGCTTCTTATAGCGATACTTTACTCTGTGCTTTCTGAGTAACCGTTCGAATAACTTTCTCAAAAATCGCGATCACTTTCTCTTCTTTTCTTTACTTTGTCTAGTTTCATAATTTTCAGGTGTTGTACGCGCAGTTAGCTTTATTGAATTTACTCCAGCACTGATCACGTGAAACGATTACATCAGCTAAGCTATAGGAGACTGGGCCGAGTGAGTCAGGGTTTTACGTCAGCATTAGGTATCTACACTACAAACATAACTACAATGCCTGCCAAAAGTCTTGGAAACTGACATCAATTTCCAAGGTCAAAACCAATCATCCCCCTCTCCCCCACGGAAAAATGTTGGTCTACTATCAAACAGGTTAGGATTTTAGGAAGCACTTTCTTTTGCGCTTTTTTCATGATATTTCTCTAAATCATCAACATTGTTTGAGGGGGAAGGGGGCGGAAGTAGCAATTTTTTTCATGAAAGGAATGAAAGATATCAAATGCAGCGTAAATTGGTGGGTGTTCAAAGTATTTTTGGCAGGCATTGTAGCAATACAAGCTACTGGTTTGTCTTGCCATAAATTTTTCTGCATAAAACCATTAATCTGTGTTTAAAACATAAATTAAGCCATAAAATGCCATATCTTTTGTCTTTGTTATTTACTTGTTTCAAAAGAAATGCAGTACCAAATTAGAAATAAGAAAACCACAAATTTTGTCGGTTGGAAGAATGAATAAAAGTAATATGGATAAAAAGATCTCATAGCAACATAATGATTGTAAAGAAGAAAATTATAAAATCAAGAGCTACACCAAAGGATTGGGTCATGTAGCAATATAGAATCAATATACAAAAGGATGTGAAGAAGGAACACCTCGCCAACAAGAGAGGGTTATTTATCACAAGTGCAGTACAAAGGTTTTAGAGAAAATTGCTTATAACAGGAACATTAGGACTAATGTTTATGAATGGCATAATTGGAATTTGATCAAAGGCATTTCTGGTAATTTAAAGGAGAACAATATCTTACCATTCATGAAAAATTGTGTTTCTGAAAGTTGAAAGAAAAACGGCAGAAAGACCACTGGAAGAGAGGATGAGTTAAACATTGATATAGAAAAAGGAAATAACAGAGCAGTTTAAAAAAACAATACGTCAAAGAATTATTATATGAGAATGGAGATAAAAAACAAAAACACAAAAGATATTAAGTAAAATACCTTACTTGATGCAAACCTCAAAAATATAATGATTTGTGCGCAAAAATTAAAAATTTTGTTTTTAAATGCTATCAAGGGGGTCCCACAAAACTGTGGGTGTTTTCAATTTCAGTCATCAGTGACGATTGAAACATAGTAAGGAGGCTATGTCGTCTGTAAATAGAAATACTTGGCTTTTTCTAACGCTTTCCCGCAGATTTGATATAAAGAGTGAACAATTAAGGTCCTAATATTGCTGAGCCAAGTTGTCTAATCTCAAACTTTAAAAGTCGGTATAATTGCTCTGGCCGTGGAAAGATCAATTTTAGTAGAAAATGGGCTTATTACTTGATATAGATATCAGAAAATTGGCATATTTATTATTATTCAAGGTTAGATTTGAAAGCTACTGTACAAACTTACTTAAATAAACTAACGGGTAAGGGTAATCTTGCAATGGCATTCCTGACTATTCTGATGTGACCGATTTCACATGTGACCAAATATTTATTCTTAAGTTTACAGATTTTCTTATTAAACGTTACAACATGAAAACATCATTGAATTCCCACTATCATGGTTCTCCTAGCATGAATGTTTTTTTTGCAAAATTAAAGTAAGTAACCTTTGAAACTTTGCAAGTCATTCGCAGAGCTTGTTCTAAGGAAAATTTCCAGCTCTACAAATCATCACTATATTATTGAGCATTATTCACTAATAAAAACCAATACAAACTAATCCAATCAATATTTTCATCGATCTGCTACAGGTGTAGGAAGGATCGCTGAATATTTCCCTTGCGAGCAAAGTGAGCAGAAATTTTTTGCGACAACGCCCTTTTTTAAGCTTAGTATACATTTCAGAATATATTTTGCAGTCTTTTTCTTTTAATCGTATAAATTATTTTTAAAATAATAATAAACTGCACACACATTTATAATTAAAAACAGTAGATTTATAGATAGTATTTGATTTTTGAATTTCTTTCTGGCAAAAAAATTTCTTCAACTTTTGCAAGTTTCCAAATTTTTGTCACCTTCCTCAATTTCTTTATGTTTCTAGAGCCTGCCTCCGGCAAGCGGCCGTGGGGCCGTGATTTTTACCTGACTCTGTCGCAAAGTAATGGCTAGCGTTGACCCTATAACTTAATTTTAAAATCCCACAACATACAAAATTCAAATGAATGACAACAAATGCATCTAAAATTAACTAACATAAATTATAGTAATACTATGCAATTAACGTATATATATAGAATTGTGTATGGGGAGGAAATTCTTAAGGCATTGTATGGCAGGTGGGACAAGGAGGGTAATTGCCCACTTGCTGGTCAAATATCAGGGGCGCCAAATGAATTTTGACCTTACAGGGGCACCATAGCCAAATAACAAGGACATGAAGACAATTTACGTAGAATAACTCAACAATACTAAAGTTGGAGACTGTATTACAATCCATGAAAAAAAGGTTCAAACAGGACAATGAATCACCTTGCAACATACCAATTCTTCTTCTTCTGCTTATCGTTAGAGGCGCCATTTAAAAAATTATTGGGAGGGTACAATGAGTTTTGATTTCCTGAAATGATAAGAAGATGCTAGAAAATTTATTAAAACCATCAATGCTTTTAGCTTGTGGCGATTAAAACCTCCCTCCATATTTCACAAATAAATACATACTCTATTGGAAAATTTTCTATCACAACATGCCGGTAATTGACCCCCCCCCCTCATTTGAAGATATAAATCAACGTGCTTTAGGCAAACTACAAAGAATTCTTCTTACTCCAGTAAGGGATTACTAAAATTACCTTTGTTTATGAAGAATTCTATATCGTCTTCTGTCTGCAGCAGATTGGCAAGCACAGAACACACTGCCTTTGAAATAAAACTGTACGGTCCATCTTTCTTCGCAATGTATGATAAAATCTCTTCCAATAACCTTTGTCTGTCTTCCGAGTGGCGAGCGAGGCTGATGAGAAGTCGGTGTAAGCTCTGGACGACGTCGTGGAACTCTGAAGCGTCTTTGTAAATTTCAGAACGAGGTAGAAAGCAAGCAGGAAAATTTGATCTTGAATCGTGTTGTATAGGCGGTTTGCCAATCAAGAAGAGAACTTCAAATAAATCTTGTAACACGGCCGACTCTTGGCAATGAAGAATTTCGTTTGGTCGACTAGGAGTATAAAGTAGTATAAATTAACATGATTTCATCAATTAAACAACTTTCTCCCTCTTAACTTTCAAATGTTATATCTTCCATTAAGATTTTATTTTCATATGCCAGATATGCAAGATTGCACTCCCTCTCCGTCTTCATAGAGCGTCGCTGAGGGGAATCTATCCTTATTGATGCAGAAAACAAGCATTCTACACGTGTTGAAGTGAAGTCTGCAGTAACTGCAACTTTAAGCAAATTTGTGAGAATGGGTGCACTTTCTTCATGTTCCTGTGCAAAAATTCTTGCGATAGTCGCTAGATCTATCTTTCCGAGCTCGTTTTAGGCCATTTAACATCTTTGAGCACCCCTAGAATAGACTCTGCATTCTGCTTGCAGATCCATTGAAGAAAAACCAAGCCTAATTTTCTTAAGAACAGGAATTGTTGCTGCATATCTATACAGAGGCACCAGTGCCTTGTACTCTAGAAAATTAGACGAGCGTGGCGACAGCGCCTCCATAGCCTGCCATAAAGCTGTGTTGGCTGATGCAAACCTTCTGCTGAACTCCGCCTCAATCAGCTGCAGCGATTCTTTAAAGACTTGAAGCTTTGACCTTGGTCGACTCTCTGAAGGAATGTTCTCGGTGATGACAAATTAGCCAAAGCGCTTGGGAACAGATGCACTTCTTCGCTAAACGTTGCTGACCTCAGAGCATCTTATTGCTTTTCTGAATTCAGCAACCATTTTACTTTCGCATCGTTCCTTAAGGTCTTCTCTCACTGCTTTAATTACAGACAGCGCTATGACAATACTTTCACTAGAAGATTGAAGCTACTTCACTATGATGTTAATTGGAGTTAGAATGTTCATCAGCATGCAGTTTACAAAAATAAACATCCCATTGTCTTCATCACCCTCTAGCTGATGCAGCAATCCTATAGCCAAACTATGATCTTTGCTTCTTAAACTCCTTGATTTTGATTTAGTGACAATTTTCAGCGCTTGGATTATGTCCCCAAAATTGAGATTCACGCGACTTGTGCTTCCGAAATGTCCTGACCGTGTTGAAAGCAGTCGTTTCAGAGCTGAACCCCCATAAGCCTCCAAAACAGCATATTTCTTGAAGAAGTTATACAAGTTATACAACTGGAAACAATCCCAAAGTAGTCAGCTATTTCCTCAATGTTCTCCATAACCTACACAACAACTAACGATATTTTGTGAAGGAAGCAGTGAACGTGTTGAAAGCTTCAGAGTGGATCTAATAAATTTGAACACACCTTGCATTGACCGATCGGTTACTCGTTCTATGTTTAAAGACTTACTGTCGTTATTTAACGCCCTCGCTGAATTTTTGGCTGCCAATAATTCACTTGACAAATCAAGCTCAAGAGCGCGGTTTTCCATTTGCGCGGTGTTCTATGATCTCTGAACAGTTCGATTCTACTGTAATGGCTGGTCGGCCTCAAAAGGAGGAGTCGTATTCGGCAAGGCTTACGTTGCTTGTTCAAAGGAAACGAAAGAGCGATATATCAATTGTCAAGCGCGATGCCATCAAGCCAGAAATGGGGAATTTTTACAACGTTTGCTTGATATTTTCGAAGACATTTGTGACGAAGCTATCCAACAAGCCAATGATCATGATAGCCAGCCCGAAGATAAAGCGAATGTCGAAAGCAGGTCTATCGAAGGGATGCCAGAAACTGACAGAATACAAGGCATAGAATATGTTAATGCTATTCACAACACCAGTAGGAAAGTTATGTCTGATTCTGACAGGTAGATTTTATGACATACTTGTTGGGCCTAAACATTCGTTTGGGCTTACTTGTGTTTAATAGGTCAAATCAATCAGTTGCAATGTGTTCAGGCATGTTCCAGGCTACGCAAACAGTTTCCCTTCTATCAAAGTTGTTATTTTTCTTCTTGAATGAGTTTTTTTACATTGTCAGTAACTGGTATCAAACAGAAAAGCGCTTCTAGTGTGTGACCCCCCAGGAAGGTTCCTTGCAACAAATGATCAAAACGAGGCTATCGGGCAATTTTTAACGACAGTAAGACTTTAAGCAGTGCTCTCTGATTTCACCGCTGGATAAAAGGAATCGGCACACCAGTCCCTAAATTTCCTGCCGGTTTTTGCCTGTGATGCCCTCTGCCATTATCGTGTAACGCTTTGCTTTGCTTATGGCCTCAGCTATTGATCTCTTTACAAGTGTCGCTAAAACTGAAATAACCTCGTTCTGAATATATGACGAAGTGTACTTAGCATTTTGTGGAAGTCGCTTGAAAATATCGCTCCATTTTGGTTTGGTTCCAAAGGAAAAATCAATTGAGAAAATATTCTCAGATAAAATCTATCACAGTCTTTAATATTTCTTTCAGAATCACCACGAGGTGCCAAGCCGTTTCCAGCAAGAAATCGTGCGACATGAAACACTGTATACAACCATTTCATTCCTGTTGCTCTGATGTTATCTGTGAGACAGCATGAAGAATCGTTTTGTTGTCACGTTTGCGGCGTTCCATTTCCGCCCATAGAGCCTTGGCACTATGATGATTCTAGAATTGCTCGTGTTTTGCCAAGCCTTTTTTGTTGCCACTTGATTTTGCATTTTTCCAATCACGAAATCCAGTCTTTGTGAATGTCTTCTCTGATGAACTTGGCAAGAACAATCTGCATGGATAGCAAAAACAGGAATCCATGTCTTGGTTGTACTCCAACTATTTGTAAGAAGCAAACCAACTCTTGTTGAATCTCGTATTAGTACCCCCTATATTGCGTTCCGGATAGAATGGAAGTAAAGGTTGGTTTAGAAATCAAACGTTGTTAGTATGTTGTCAAAAAATGATACAGTAGCAGTGTTAGACGAAGATACAGATGGAATGCCGAGCATATTGTCAAAGTCAACAGAATCAGCTGCAGGTTGGGATGCAGAGGAAGGCGTTATTACACTTCAAATTGATTCACCTTTCTCCTCCGAACTATAGTCGCGCGAATTAATTTCTTATGTTGTATGTGTTGTTGGAGTTGGTGATGGGTGCCTTGGGCGTTTTCTTTTAGGAAAGTAGTCGTACATGGTTGCCAAACTGGTTGCCACATTACCAAACTTGTCTGGGCACTCTATCTCGGAGGCCCTATAATGGGGGATGGCATTGTTTAATTTTTTCATGATGATATCTTGCAATTATTTCATATTTCAAAATTAACAAAGCAAAGTATTTCGAAATTGTCGAATGTTCCATTCTGCCTTCAGGTGTCACGAAAAATTGGACCGACTCACATACAAAATGGACCGAGTCTTCAAAACCAATCTTTGCAGCTACAAATATTGAAAATTCAAATTCCGTACTTAGGTAAAAAAATGGAAATAATTATCTTTGAACTGTGGAATCATTTGGTACTTTTAAGGGGAATCTAAGGACACTTGATGAAATATTTATCTTTGTTTTCTCAACTTATTTTTTGGGAACAACTAAATAAGAAACTCGAAAAACATACATGTACCAAAACTGATAGCCTTAAGTCTTTTGCGTGGAGGGTACAACCTAAAGGGGCCAGTTATATAGACAGGCCTGGAAGAGACAATGAACTTGGAGGATTTTTGAACTTTGAATTTTAGGACATTTTCTTTGGCTCTACTAACCCCTAAGAGCCCTAACAATAAGCAAAGTCAGTTGTTTAATGGATTTTTCATACTACAGTCATACTGTTATTTCTGGTCACTTACAGTCTTAGGTGCATTCAATAGAAAGAAATAATGCTAAAATAATGTTAATGCGAAGCTAAGGCTAAGTGAAATCAACTCTTACGATGTTCTCAAGAAGAAATCATGATAAATGCTGCAGATTGACTACATGATTCTAAGGAATAGATATTTTATAGACAGGGAATTTTGCATAACCATCACCAACCAGCCTAACCGAAATTGTTAAGGTTTAAATCATTAAGCCTTGGGAACTTTCTGGCAGAAGACCGGAAGTCACGTCCACGTTACAAGCTTTTTTGATGGTATCATCAGATTCGAAAAATTCGAATGTCGCAATTTTGCTGTCCGTGCATTTTTCATGCCTCCAGTAAAGCGACTACTGGTCAATTACCAGAATGTTTCCAAGGCTTAAAAAGATCAGTGGCCTTTACTTTTATGATTTAAACTTCCATCGAGTTTGAAAAAAAAACAGTTGGAGTGGACCAAATTCTCTTCACTGTTGCATTTTCGTGGCTTTTCATAATATTGCCTTATAGTTTTATCTTTTTGCGCAACTTTTAATCACTTTTAGCTTACTTATTGCCGCCATACTGAATTCAAAGATATGGTCAGAAACAATATTTTCAAGATAAGAATAATTTTTCGGTGAACATGTTAGCTTCCGGTAAAAAAATTAAGAATGAGCAATAGCTTTTTGAACATTATTATCAGTAAATAAATCCTGCATCTTAAATGGCTTACAAAACAATGGTTTGATGGTCTTAGGAAGAATTCCTTGTAAGAATATGTGGAACAAAACAAGCAATGTAGATAAAAACATGTTTATATCTATTTCGTTGAGATAATATAAGCCAAAAATATTTGCGGTAGATTTTATGCTATTGGTATTTTTCCTAAACGTGAAGAAGTATGAAAAGCATTTTAAACCCCAAAAAGATTGAAAAAACTAGAAGAACAACTCAGGTGTAATATGGTTGGTATCTTAACCGGTCTACAGATCAATAGTCACTTGAGTCAATGCTGATATCAAGTAGATAATTCTCACACAACATTTAAAGAGGTATTCAGTTATTTTGCTATTTCATATTTCATACTGGGAACCAAAGTTATTTATGTTTCAAGACTTAAGAACCTAAATATTTATATTTTCATTCCAAAAATCTCAATCACTTGTTGCTGTTAAACTGACGTGTCTAGCCAGCAAGCAGGTATCAATTATCAGAGAAGGAACGTGAAGCACACGAGGAAATCAGTGAAGACACCTTTAACCCTTCAAGGGGCATTGTAGCAGATTTGCAACAAATTGTGGAAATGATTCCAACAAATCACTGGCCCGTAAATTACTAGTGATTTGTGTGTTTTTACATGGAGGTATTCATAATGGCGTCCTAGAACAGTTGGTTTGGGCTTCCATTTGCTGAAAGACAAAAAAACCGTGTTTTCGAAGACGCTGTCTTCCATTTCGGAAATTTTGGGCTAAGTTGGCCTAAGTGGGATATTGAAAGATGCATTTTCTTGAAGTTGTAATAACTTAAAAGCAGGGAAGTAGTTGATTTTTCTAATGGTTTTTTGTGTATTTTCGGTAGGCCACATTTTGTGAATTATTTAAATTGTCACTACGGGTACTACGGCCAAAATTCGTAGGAAGTAATTCATTCATAAAAAATCGCCTCGACCCCCCACATAAATTTTTTAGTGTTTTTCAGTTTTTAATGGTAATTTCTATTATTTCTGAAAGTTTGGATTACGTGGGTGAAGTAAATCTTTGAATGCTTTGTCAAAAGATAACACGGGGGTTAAAAACGCATGTGAGTCATAAAAGTTTTCGCTTAGCACATATCCTATTTCCTTTAGCTGATTTGCAGGCACATCCCCGGCTAGCAAGTGTATTAAGTAAGCCCCCCTGTCATGACAATCCAATAAAAACGATGAAAAGACTCCAATCTCGGGGTGGCAGCTTGTATTCTCTTGCTCCAGGGGTGGCATTGGCTACAGGTACTATATACCTGCGGGCTGCGTGCCTGGCTTCTGTTATCCATGGAAATTACAACAACAACCATAACAATTACAACAGCGATAAGATCGTCCATATCAGATGTCATGATTGGGCTACCCGCGAAGGTGCCGCAGCATTTCTTTGCTGATTACAGCATGCTTGAGTATTAAAAATCCAATATTTTCTGTACCGCTAAGTAAGGTCACGAAGATAGGCTATTTGCTTCAAGCGAAGAGTATCGTCATCAACAGAAAGACACATTTGACTTTTGACCGCGCAGTCAGTGACACGAGAAGAGGGCGTTCTTCAAACTTGTTGTAAAAGTCAGGAGGATGGAGAAGGCACAAAAATATTAATGGTGGAAAAAAGAAGTAAGTGTTAATGTTAAAAGAATTAAAAAGAACGTTTTTAAAATCATCCTGGATGTATATATGTACTTTAATAGGCCCGGAATTGACTTATATAGGCCTGGCGATTCGGACGATTCGCTTTGACGATTCGCACACGAACTACCCTCCAGTTTTCCTTTAATAACATTGACTAACTAAGTCTGTAGGACTGATTTGATTTTTAAACATCACAAATACCATAGTTTTACTGTTTTTTCATATTTCCATAGTTAAATAAAAGTTCCAGTTAATATAGAGGTCTCCGAAACTTAGACAAAAGTGTGCAATTTGTGAAAACAGCCCTCCGGTTTTCCTTTAATAACTTTCGGTTTTTCCTCGCAGAAAAAGGTAAAAATACCATTTAAAGTTTGATCGATAGAACACAATCTGATGCACTGTTTTTTTTATAGTTTGCAAGAAGTTGAAGTTGTTTCAAGAACATTTTCAGCCCTTTTGGAACAAAAAGGGCTGAACTTCAAGAACAAAATTGACTATGAATTTAGCTCTATGATAAGCCCTTTTATTTCCTTTTCAGAGCTTTGGTATCATTTAAGTGAAATACTCCCTTAGAGTAAAGCTTGCCTTGATAATGCCAAATGGAGCTTACTTCTTGGACCAAGTTGCAGAATTTATATCTGGATGGATTGCTGGTGAAGTTTTACATTGCATTTAATTTACATTTAGCAGCAGAATGGACAAATTATGAGTGTCCTGAACATTAAAATCCTCTTTTGTTTTACCAAGGCAAATTTTTTTATTCTTACCGATGCCTTTCTAGAAATTTTGCCCTTGGGCTAATAACTACTTTTTTCAAAATTATATCATCATGTGACTTACCACAAAGTCAAGGTCTGCCAGTCCAAATGGGTCAGGCTGTTGATTACAAGCAGAAGTTCATCAGCATTGATATTTTTATCGAATCAAAATTTTCTGCAAGCAAAATGTGTGTTTAGAGAATGGGAAGATGATATTGTTTCCTCATAATTTTTTACTTTTTATGAGATAAAAAACTGAAAGAAAGCAGTAGATTGATAAAATTTTGTTTCCTGTGTTTCATCAATTAATGATAGTAATTGATGATGAAATAAGACAATGGGGTTTTATGCCTTGTGAATGAAAGCTTTTCCTCTAACTGTCTCAACAACAGTTAAAGGTTTTGTTGTGTTTAGCACTCAGAATTCCCTTTTGTTGCTCCATTGACACTTGTTTCAATTGTTTGTTAAAAGATCTGTTGCACTGATCATAACTCCCAAGGGGTGGGGGGCACTTGACTAGGAAAGTAACAGGGGGTGCAAAAGACCTGTTTGCACCCTGTCCATGCTCCATAAAAAATTGCCAAAAGCATATACCCGGCTCCATAAAAAGTATGCCAAAGTGGGGTACAGTTATGCCAAATTATACCAGATCCAAAATATTTACCTCTAGCAAAAGTAACTGCAACATGCTCATTCAGAGAAAACTCTAGAAAACAGAGCAAGCTTTTCTAATATATATCTTGTTTGATAATTTCCTCAATTTTATGTTCCGGAGTTCAGATGCAATTTAAAAGTCTCTTCCCCACAATTTTTATCAGAAAAGGACCCTTTTCTGCAGCACATCCCATCAGGTCAAGTATGGGAGTGCCCCTGGGTTTTAACGAAATGATAATCTTCCAAAACATTATTTATATGCTTGTATGCTTTTGCTAGAAACTTTAGAATTGTAGCTGACTCTATTTATAATCTTCAAAGTGAAATTCCTAATGCAAATGACTGGTTTGAATATTCCTCTCAGAGCATATGACATAATCTTTATCTCACTTTATGCTTGTTCTGACAGGTTGTGCAGGAGTTTTGGTTAGTCATCCATTTGACACAGTAAGGGTATGTTTCTAGTTTCTTTTGCTTGCAGCTTTGGAGCTATTAAAAAGATATTCATGTTGTACATAAAAATGGTAGTAACTTTTGAAAAAACATGTCGACTTAGTACAAAATGTACATTATTGTTTAAGGTAGAGGATTGTCAGTCTTACTGGCCTGGTTTCCAAAATTAGTTTTTGTAGATACCCATATACATTGTTATAACAGAACCTAATGTTACATAGGAAGCTTGTATGACCTTGTGTGAAACCCTTTAATTGTTATTAGTTACTGCAATCAGATGAAATTTAAATTCCATCCCTGTTACTCAAAAGGTGACCGGACTCTTTATGCAATTGCTTGAAAATTTGAATGCAACATGTTTCTTCTCATAGTTCGTGAAATGCATTCTGGTAATGTGATCAAGGCCAAAAAATTACCAGTTATAACTTCAGTGACTGTTCCATAGGATATTGTCACTTTTCTTATATTTTAGGAAGTTTTTATTGTTGACTTTAACAATTGTCTTCTATTTGTAAAATTATTGTCTTTACTTTAAGTTCATGATTTATTTTGATTTCCTACTGCAATCTAAAGGTTATCTTTTCTTCTTTTCAGATCCGTCTTCAGAGTCAAGGAGTTGTTCCTGATTCTCCACTCAAATACAATGGCACTATACATTGTCTCGTTGAAACAGTAAAGAAAGAGAAGGTACAGTTCAAGTTACCCTTTGTTATCCATTCTTCTTAATGTTATAATTTCTTGGCTTCTTATCCCATGGGCTAACTTGTTTTTCTTTTTCTTAGGTATATGGCCTGTTTAAGGGCATCACCCCTCCTTTGCTGGGAACAGCTGCCTGGAATGCAGTAGTGTTTGGAGTTTATGGCAATGTTATGAGGGTTTTATCTGAAGGAAAAGAACAAGAAAGACCCTCATTCAAGAATACAATCATAGCTAGTGTTGCAGTAGCATTTGCACAGAGTCTAATCATCTGTCCAATGGAATTAGTGAAGTGTAGGCTGCAAGTTCAAACAAATTCTTCAAACAGACTTTACAAAGGTATTTGACATTTTGTTGTTGTTATTCACTCTCCAACAACATTGATGGGTTTGCCCTAGCCACAGCAGTAGTCCTTTAACGAAAACCTTTTCCATGAATTCAAGTTTCTTTTTATGAGAGCTTGGGGTACAATGTGTTTGGATTTCTTATTCTTTATCGCTTTATCTTCCGATCGCTGTGGAGAGTTTTAGACTGAACACTCCAAGAACAGGCTGAACACCTAAGAACACCCTAAAAACAAGCCATAAAATCCCCATTGAGCGGCTGAACACCCTTTAAAACATATCAAAATCGGCATATCATTCGAAAAATAATTTGGTCAATCAATCAAAATTAATTTTTGGGCAGGAAAGGGCCTGATAAGTCTAATGCTGTTAGTGTTGTTACAACCAACTGATGTTTTGCGCGCCAAAGGTGTGAACGGGGGTTAATACAGTCAACTGAAGCCACAGAATAGGGATTCTATGCTTGACTGATCTTTCTAGGGTTTTCAAATTCGCTCTGCACAGAGCGCGACAGACGATTGCACCAACAAACTAACTATTTTGTGAGCCAACTGAAGATTTACCAACCAAATCATGCAAATTTTAGGAAAAGGTACCCATCTACACCCCAATCGAAGAAAAGTGCCTTGCATTTTTATTAATGTATCAATGTGTAATTTTTTGGTACCACATTTTTGAACATGGCACGAAATAGCGAAAACATAGCGTACTTAAGTACTTTTCGAACACTCTTCAGTGTATAAACGAGGGTTTATAACCAAAAGGAAGCTGAAAATTTATATCCAGGTGTGGATTGAATGTAACGTGAGAGGAAGAAATCAGAAGTTTATATTCTGAAGAGTGTCAGACGAAAAGTACTAAAGTTAGCTTTGTTTCCGCTATTTCATGCCATCTCTGAATTAACTTATCTTGGTTGGACGTAAGATGATTTTTACTAACATGAAGCGTTCTTTCTGTCGCTTCGTACGTCATTAAATCTCTTTTACACAATTCTAGGAACGTTGGATTGCATATCTAAAATCTATCGCAGTAATGGATTTCGGGGCCTCTACCGTGGAATGCCTGCAACAATTATTCGTGATATACCAGGCTTCGTGTCATATTTCCTTTCCTTCGAATATTTATGCAGAGTGATAGCTGGGGAAGAAGGAGCTTACTTAGGCCCTGTTGCTTTGATGCTTGCTGGTGGAACGGCAGGATCAATATCCTGGACCCTAGCTTTCCCTCCTGACGTCATTAAGACTCGTATTCAAATTGACACAAGTAAGAGATATACTGGATTTCTTCAATGTCTTAGATCGTCTTTTAAAGAGGAGCAATGGAGGCTGTTCGTGAGAGGGCTGACACCAACTATCCTCAGGGCATTCCCAATGAACGCAGCAATTTTCACTGTTCACACTATGCTTAGCAGAATGTATGCCAAGTATGCAATGAATGATGAGCTAAATTCATAGTAATTTTCAGTTCTAGTGTTATTCCCAAATTTTACAAACCAAATCTAATATATCATTTGAAAGAAATTTTGCTAGTCGAGCATTAGATTAAGCTCCTCAAATAGTTTGGATATTAGGAAAACTTTTCCTTAAACTAATTATTTTACCTGGAATCGTCAGAGAACAGTTTTTGTTGTCTTTTTTATATTCTTGTTAAATAATTTATTGTATGGTTTTAATCGGTTCGTTGAGTTGACCTTCATATTTTGTGACAGTTGTGTGATATTTTTAATTAAGAATGGTTTTGATACAATTTTTAGTTGTTTTCTTGCTGTTGTTGTAAAAAAACTTGTAATCGGTTGTTTTGAGATGCCTGCAGTTTTGCCTAAAGAAGGATGCAAAGACTTTTCCTGGCAGGGCTGAATTTTTGGACAAAGAAAGTAATGTTTTCATTGAAAGGTGACATCTTTGGAAACAAGATAATCTATGCTTTCGATCTCAGTTTTCTGGAGAATTTAGAGGAAACGTAGAGTCACCAAAAGCCCCCGATAATCGAAAAGGAGGCCAATATAAAGCATTTGTTATGACTGCAAATGTCTTCAACACGAGTTTTTGCCATTTCGATAACCTGACAGAAAGAAGATCTAAAAATAATAAAAAAAACAGATAAACAATACGATATGTCTTGCTAATTTGAAATTAATATGAAAAATAAATAACATTACGAAAATTCTGAAAAGTCTAAAACACAAATTTAAGGGATGATTTGATATAGGCATGAAAAGTTCTCAATCAGTTGGAATTGGAGATTGATAAGATCTGATCCCAGAACAGGCAGTTCTATAAATTTGCTAATGAAAAAGTATAACGCACGCAAACTGGTGCGTATCCACTCTACATAGCCATATAGACCCGATTCTCACTACTTTTCTACGATTAGAAAAAGGAAAACACTGGAAAGTGGCCCAAAAATGTTCCAGGTTTTCTGGCAAAAATATATATTGATCTCTGTGGTACTAAGATTTGTGATCAAAAGTTGGCTGGTCATAAAAAACTTACGAATTTCCTTTTTGGAATTGAAATAAGAGCCCGTTCACACTACTCCGTTTTTGCCTTGCATTCACACTGCTCTGCTATAAAAGCGGAGCAATATGAATACACAAATGAAAACGGATACTTTTTTAATACGGTGTGTATCGAATACGCTCCGTTTCCAGTGTGAACACCAAAAACGGAGACATTTGAATACGCTAACAACGGAACAAAATACGTGCTTTCTAGCACGCTAAATCTAAAAAAGTTTTGAAATTTAAAATTCACAATGGACTGGTAGCTGTTGCAAAAAAGTTTTTCACTACATTAACTTCAAGAAATTTCGTCATGACAAAATTTTGGGCAAATATTTTGACGAAATTTTCATCGACGAAATTCAAAATGAGACGAAATTTGGTCACGACGAAATTTTTTGTATTTAAGATTTTTGTCTTCATAATTATCTTTACCGTCGGCATCATGATCATCATCATTGTCAATTCCTGAACTAACTTCGGTATCACCATTGTTCAATAAAATAGTTCTTAGTTGCGTAGTAGGAGAGAGGCAAAAGGGGCGGGTGTCCCCATGGCAAAAAATGTATTTAAAATAGGACGTTTTGAAGGTCACTATAGGCGTTCTAAAGGGTGTGGACTCCAATTTTCGCTTGATCAACTCATTTTGCCCCCCCCAACTTTACCACCCTGGCTACCTACTCTAACTGTCTTTTTCGCCGGTTTCGAAGATGCCATCTCTGTCTTTTTATACTCAACTGTATTATTTCTTTCATTCGCTCAAGGTTTGCATTTTTCAACCCAAATTTTGAACTCAACAGGAAGCAAACATTCCAGACCAATATTTCCTGTTGGAGATGGTCTTTTGCTTTCCGATTCTTATACTTTTAATTATGCTCTGTTTATAAACTTTCATACTATATAGATATAGAGTTGAGACTCGAGCGTTGAGACTGAAAGTTGAATTCTAAAAGCATCACTGTTGACCCCACCTTTGCATAAACTGAGTAAATATACCGCTTATATTTGGTTTTTCTGACATGCTGCCTGGGTGTTGAGCCAGATTCCGAACAGGTGCTGAAGTCTCCACGAAGTCGGTACCCCATGGGATTGAGTATAAAGCAACCTGTATGGTTTTACTTCTGAAGGTTTTAGTAATATGTTGCTATCTTTGTGTTAAAAATCCAAGACGAAATTTTGTGACGACGAAATTATGAAAAGAAATTTACCCGTCGAAAATTTATCAAACGAAATTTTATTGATGTTAATGCACTATTTACTTTTATTCAATTTTATTTATAATAACGCCAATTTGACGAGGATTCGTGAAAGCCTCTGCAAAAAAATGAGGCCATCAATAGCGTTTTTGTTGGAGCAGTGTAAACACCTACCGTATTCAAAAAAGTATTCATTTGAAAACGGATAAGTGTGAACGGACAGCGTTTTCATCAACGAAAACGGAGCAAAATGAATACGGAGCAGTGTGAACATAGCCTAAGTTTGGCTAGAAAACACAACATAGAAAATAAATCAGCCATCTTATTAATTTTTACCACTCAATTCCCTTGCCCTTACAAATTCAAAAAACGAAAACTCTAAATTTCCACTAGATCCTTATCACAAAAATTTAATATTGGTCTACTGATAAAACCTAAACGCCTATTTATTATGCCGAAAATTTTGCGAAAACATTTCAAAATTTGCCTTCTCAAAATGAAAATTAAAATCATCAATAAGAGTATATATATGACAATCGTTCTCTTTCGTTCGCTCTTTACTAAATCATTCTTCCATTGGATGAGCTCTTCGATTTTAAGAAATTTGTTTCTATAGGTTGGCGGTAGCTCAAATTGAGATCTTTCAGGGAACTGTGACTCCAAGAAGTCCTTCAAAATTGTTCGAATTAACTTTGATTGTGGGAGTTCATGATTTATATTGTCATTAAGGCAAACAAATTTTCTGCGATTTTTCCGAATCCAGTCAAGTTGGTGAATCAGATATGAAACATTGTTCCGTATCATTTTGAATGTCACGTCTTCATCGCCAAGCACTTCGAACTTATATTTTGCTTTCGACTTGGATTCTTCAAAGACCCTTTTTATTGGTTCGCACTTAACAAACATATTCCTGGTGACAACAATTGATAGAAGCGGTGTACTGCTATCGCGCAAAGACCCGTTTGCAATGCCTGAGCAATTCATCAGCATCTCTTCAAGATTCTTTATATCTGTTGATTGAAGAGGCAACGAGAACATTTTTGCAGCCAAAGTACGCAACTCTCTGTCGTTTAGTACGCCTAGAAAAAGAAAATGACGAATAATGAAAAATGGAGTTTAAACTTTCAACCGTACGATTATTTTTCAATTCCAATTCTATGATCCATTTTTACCAAATGTGAAGACAAAAATCGCCTGGATCAGAGAATATAAAACATGGAAGGGGTAGGCCACCAACATGCTGGCACAGATCGTTTCAAAAGATAATGGCAGACAGTAGCGGCGCCACGGGGGGGACTGGGGGGACACGTCCCCCCCCAGTTCTCAGCAGAACCGATTTCGTATTTCGTCCAAATTCGATGAGAATATTTTGGGGGAGGGTGATATTTTGACACCGTACTTTGTGATGTAATCCTATGATTTTCAAACTGCCAATTTTTAAACAAAAGTTAGTCTTAGGCGTTCTCTTTGGATAAAATTGGCGTTCCCTGTTGGTAAAAGGGCGTTTTCTGGTTGTTAAAAGGGCGTGGCTTAAATTTTTTTGGTTTGTCCCCCCCCCCCAGAGCTTAATGGCTGGCGCCGCCATTGATGGCAGAGAAGGGACTACTCAAAGAAAATGCACTAAACAGGATAAAATGGAGACGGGGGATCAAGAAGGGGAACACCAAAGGACACACTGACACTAGCCAGTATCCTACTGGAAGGAGAAACACCTCCTAGTAGGCATTCTGATGATTATGATGATGATTATGTTTCAGCATCGGAATTTCACTATGCAGTCAAAGAAAGAGTTTTAGCAGTTGAAAATACCATCATCTTGGAATACAGGGCTATGTAGTGGTCCAATTGTCACCAGAACTCACAGAAGGGAAACCAAACAGCATATTTCAGTCATAAAGGACAGTAGGATAGTAGGCATTTGAAAAGGAATCATTACAAGTGTTTTAATCTCTTCACCCTCTTATTAAATAGATAGCTTCTTATCAAACTTATTTAATACGCCAATAATCACCCTACCCAAGATATTTGTAAGTGACAACATTGTGTGACAGTGTTCTTTTGAAATAAAAAAAACCGAAAATTCCTACCTGACATATCTGCATCCAGTTCTTGAAAAATCGAAGACATATTGATTGAGGCAGGTAGATCCATCAAGTAATAGGAATATGAAAAAGCAAATTGCATATCCTGTGGGCTCCTTATCTTGTGTGATGACGTCTCATCAAAAGATTTCCAGAATCGTCTTTGCATTTCATTAACCACATCAACATCAACGAAATGGGGCATATGCGCTGGCACCTTCCTTGCTTTGTAGCCAAACTGCCTATTGTAAATTCTACTCACATGCAAAAGTGAGCTAGCAAATGTATCAAGAAGCTTCCTGGAAGGCTTCCTGCTTGACTTGTATTTCTGCTGATTCTGCAGACGCTCCTTCAAAGAAATAACTTCCAAGAAGAACTTCTGCCTCTCCCAGCGGAATGGACTGGTTGAAGAAGGGCTGTCAATAGGATCCCAGTTACCATATCGAGCAAGCCACTGCCAAATGTTCTTTATTGTACCTTTTCTCTTTTCATTTTTTTTATATTCTCTTGCATTGTTAATATGGTTATTTGTAGACATCACCAAATCATTGAGTATACTGATTGATCTTGAATGAGATTGCCTACCTACAGAAAACTGTCTCCCATTTTCAGTATGTCTGGCAGGGTCCACTACCATTTGGCTGTGTAGCTGATCCTCTGCAGACAACAAATGTCTTCTTGATCTGTGATGGACTCGCTAATAAAAGAAAACAATGAAAAGTGAATACTTTCTTCTTTATTGTGACTGGCAGTCGCATGATTCCAGGGGTATGTTCTTTATCAATACATTAAACAAACCAAAAAATTGTATTTCAAGGATGAGGCTGGTACCACAAACATGTGTTTTAAACGGTAACATCTTTTTTAAATTTAAGTACTGTATTACAGGGCATATACTCTCAGAAATTGAGTCACACAACCAAAGATAGGTGTCAAACATCTTTGCTCGATTTAGTGTGATTTCTGAATTAGAAAATAACCACTGCCTTTACAATTAACAAAAACATCCTTCCAACAAACATTACACATTTTTAAGAACATTCGACAAGTCTAGGTGAGAATTATTTTTCAGCAGGAAACAAAGCCATATTTGGATAGAAAAATATTTTCATTGCACATTTGTTTTTCTTTATATGTCTAAACTTAGAACTATAAAAGAAAGAGATTAACAAAATTGATGAAGAAATCTTCAAAAAGCTACAGTTTCATGAACTAAAAACTTAACCACTGACCTCTGGCTTGGTTCTGTCAGTCTGGTTCTGCAACTGACCATATATTGATTTTATAATCTGTAGCTTGCTTCTGTTGTATCCCAATTCAGTTAAGTATCCCTCCCTCAACTCTCTTTCTTCCTGATTCAATTGTTTTAAAAAAATAGCAGGAATGTCTTTCTCGTTCATTTTAAACCACTCTAACATTTCATGTCTTGTTTTATTTCCAAAAGTCAATCTAGACTTGTCAATGGAAGCTCCTGATTTAAGAAGTTCCTTGTTTGCTGCATCATAAACAGTATATGGAAACAATGTTTGTTTTGCATCCTTAGTATAACTAACACTTGTGGGTGTTACTAATGTGGTTGCGATTGGCTTGCTATAGGTATCTACAGTAATATTAAACTGTAGTTTGATTGGCATAGTTTTGTTTAAATCTTTATATCCACTGACTGTAAATGCAACAGTTTCAGTAAAGTTAGCATAGAGCATAACAGTTAGTATTTTGAACTTCTTTGAGAATATTGCTGTTCTGATTACTGAAGTTTCTATAAATTCACCCTCTGTTAAAATCCCCTCTCCTAAAAGACTTGTAAAGTTAACATAGAAAGATTTCAATCCAGGTGTTATTGCCATGACTGTTTTGAGATTTGTTGCTTCAATCGAAGACAATTGATTAAATTTTGTAAGTCCACAGTCACCTGCATCAAAACCGCAGTTAAATACATTGCAGTTGGCATCACAATAACGATCTCCTATCCAACTGTTTGCACATCCACCATTGCAATATTCTCCAACTGCACTGTAAGCACTACCCAGAAATGACTGGGGTGAATAAGAGAATCCTCTGCTTGGGTTCCCTTTAAGACAATCGCCTCCATCCCAGTCACACTCAGATACATTGCATGGCTTATCGCAATATTTGTCATTTATCCATGTTGCTGGACATCCTTCATTACAGTTTGGAACTGGCCAAGTAAGATAAACTTTCTGTCCCTTTGAATGCGTATAAAAATCATCAGGCCAAACATAGTCACCAAAGAAAACATCATCATTCATGTAAATAAACTGCTTAGATAACCCAGGAATTCTATGTATATGTGTCTCAATGGCAGGAGATGAAAACGTTGGCAAGTGAGTTTTATTCAAAAAAAGCTCCTGGTGTGTGACAAGTTTCACTCTTGGGTGATCTAAGTTTAACCATGAGGGGATCTGCCCATTTGTCACAATGAAGATTTTTCTGATCCATGGTGCATATTTTTCAATTGATCTTAACGAATATTTCAATTCCTCATTGTCAGCAAATCTGCTTGATGACACATCTTCTTCAAGGCTGTCTCTTCCCTCTTCCAGACTAGTGAGCGGCTTCCAAAGAAAGGTGGCAGGCAAAATTTTGAACTTTTTACCTTTTAAAATTATTTGACCTCTTAAATGCAAAATAAACTGTTTTGCTTTGTTTTTATCTTGAAATTTTATGACTGCTGTACTATTTTCAATGGACAACTTTGCTCCATAAAGTTTCTCATCTCTAAGTGCAGCTTCAATTATTTTTGGGGTTATTTCATCAGGTACATAATTTATAATTCCAATTCCATCTAACTTTTTAGCTCCAAGGCGAATTGTGCTGGATACAAATGCTTTAGTAAATTTCATTTCTTTACCATTCAATATAATCGTCTTATTACCTAGGTTTCCAATGTCAAAGCTTTCATCAAAAGTGAGTACTTTGACAGACGGATCAAACACGTTTTCAAGATTACTGAATTCAAAGTCTGAGAGGAATTTGTTTTGAGATGACAGTTCTAGCACAGTAACATTTGCTGGAAGACCTGAGACAGCAATCGCATTATATGCTACACAGTTAGGGTATGGGCATACATTCTTGTCCTTCCATTTAAACCGTTCATGTGAACTGCTTGCCACTTTGCTGCTTTTTAATTTGCCCTTCTCAAAAGGTTTTCTTGGATTCTCATTCGGGATGTCTTTTTTGCTATCACTTCTGGCTAACACAGTGGCATTAAGCTCCATTACCAACCTCCCCTTCAACTCTGTCAATTGCATGACAAGTTGAGGGTCACTTCCGTTTACCCATGTGTATACTACGTCTATTGGCCTTGGTAAGCAAAGCCTTTCCTCAAAAGTCCTTCCAGCAATGTTATCATGATGCGAACTAAATGTCACTTTATATTTCTGCATGCTCCATTCTAGGAAAAGTTCTCCGAACTGTATGATTGATATCCCAAGTAAAAGTAGACCCCCAAGGCAAAACCAAGTTCCTGCCTTTGTGGACAGACAACTGTAAGTTTGACGCTGAAGAAGCTTTAGGCAAATTTGTAGTGGGCGCATCTTCAACTATGTGTTTTTATTTTCTCTAACCTGTCTTCCATTATCTAAACTCTCAAGCATATCAATTTTCCAAATATCGTGTGAATATCTCGTGCTCAATATAAGTTGTTGGCCACACGACGCAGCCTCCAATTCGGATTTCAAATCGAGGCCTCGTGGCGCGAAGTTGGATTTGCGTGAAGAAGAAGCAGTTACGATTATACGTAGTTGATTAGAGACTCCAGTAAATTATGGTAGGCCTAGTTAGAAATGCCGAAAAAATCTAGAAGCCAAACCCAGTGCGTGAATCCCCTCTTTCTCAGTTGGTTGGAAGGATGGAGGGATGACGCGAAAGAGAAAGGACTGAATGCGCAATGGACTTACGAAAAGGCAAACCAAAGTTTTTTTAGAGCTACTCATTTAGAGCTTCGAATTAAGCATCAACAACTCATAACCTTATTCGTCATTGGCACCTATTTTCACATGCCAAAGTCCTTGTGGTTTTGATTGTATTAGGTTAAGAATTTCGGGACTCTAGAATTGATTTGGCTCTAAAATGTGGCTTAGGTGAATGCGGATTCAGTTTTAAAAAAGTAAAACAACAAATCAAGCTATGCAAAGACTGTCGATAAATTTGCAAAGAATCTCATTAAGCTAGATTTTGGAATTTTAATTTTACTTTATGGCAGCTACATATGCTTACATAAATTTAGGCTTTAGCATTGCGACTCCCATTTCCACTACTAGTGTTACATAAAACCAACATCTGATACATTTTTGATGTGAGTGTATCCTTCCCAATCAAAGGAAGTATTAACAAAAATCTTGAATTTAATTGAGGGTTTACCTTTCTTGGATAAGTGTGCAACCTATTGGCCCAATCATTTTGACCTTGGGTTATTTTCTTTCTCAGGCAATATCATCCTTAAAGAAATACCCGCTACCTTTGAAAGATGGAAAAGAGGCAAAGATCCTTGAAAACATTGGTGAGCAAGCCAAGTTTTCTATTTAACCGTGTTATTCTGTGTACACTGTTCATCATATATACAAAATCCTTATTCAGCAGATAATGTAGCCCTTTGTTCACTTTAAAGTAGCCGTAACAATGAAAAATCTATATATATTCTGTTACCTACACCATTGTTATATTATATTTTATATTATTGTTTACATATTTTATAGGCACAAATTAACAAAATAGTTTTCATTGCTTAATAATAGTAGCTCTATTGAATGATAATTAGCAACACAATCATGCAGGAGGGGGGGGGGGCCACTTTGTAAGAGGTTCAATACTTCAAAGTTCTAAGTTTTGAGAAAACACTCATTGGATAACCTAAGTGTGATGTAAAAGCAGCAAAGTTTAATAGTCTGTCTATGGCAGTTTTAGTGCTGTTTGGTGTTTTCATGAATGATTAGACACATTTTGCAATGGCCAATGAACCAAACTAAATGCAACATTTTGTAGAAATCAACAAGCTGGAGCGCTGGGTGGAAATGGTATTAATCCTACCCCTAAGTTAATTTCCCTTTTTTTAATGCTCCTTGAGTAAATGCTCCAGATTGGTTGTATAGCCTTTAGGAGTTAACGATTGAAGATTGAAGATTGAAGATGGCAAAATTTATGCTATGAAATCTTAGGTGTGCCGGATATCTGGTAGGCTGGATAATCCGGCACCGGATCCCTGATTTTTTGAAAATCCGGTTCCGGCCGGCTTCTGAAAATACTGATCTGGTACATCCCTAATGAAATAAGGAAGGAAGTAATTTCTCTTGTTCTTATTGTTTTGTAGGTGATGGCATTGCAAAGAAGTTAGACAAGGCTCTGGATGAGTTTATACGGAATGGTGGAGGTTAGTTATAACATCATATTGATGAGTCCTTTCAATCTCACAAATTATTCTCACAAATTTTGGCACTGCACTAAAGCTGGCATTGCATGGCATGACTAATTTTACTCATAAGAGCAGAAAACAGTTTTTGTTTGATCTGTTTTAGAATAGATAAAATTTGGTAGATTTCCATTTTTTAAACTGTAACATGTTTTTGTGGTCAAAAGGTCATTACTTTCACCCATTCAGGATGGATCTCCCAGTTTACTTCAACCCTTGACAGGTTCAAATCCTCTTTAAGTATATGCAGAATATAAGCTTCTCAAGCAGCAACATTGATGAATTTCTACACTAGTTGCCTGATGATTACATTAAGTGTGAAACTCAGAGGAGCAACTTAGAAGCATCCTGTTCTATCCACCAATCCTGTTCTGTACGGCTCTGCCCATGTGCCATCAAACACTTCATTACAGGCCAATAAACAGTGATTTTCATTGGTGTATTTCTATATGGACAAGTTTAGAGCTGTGCTCCGTATTGAAAGAATCTAATTTTCTGAGTTATCAGGGGCAGTCTGGGAGATTCTTGTGTTGTGGATTTTTGTCTCATATTTTTGATATTATATGGAAAAGCCTGCAGTAATGGGTTAAACAACAATTTTGTAATTTTCCCAGGATCTCTATGCATAAAACCATCCTGAAAATCTTAGTCTAAATATTGTTGAAAAATTGTACCATATCATCCTTCAATAGTACTAAGCTATAAAATTGTGAAGGTAAAACTAATAAAGGCAGACATGTAAATTAATATTTGATGTATTGATGTGTTAGGCAGCAATAAGTACACAGAATATCTAATGGAACTGAACAATTGTTTATCTTTTAGACATTAATGCAATGCATGCTTTACCAACACAGTCTGCATCAGAAAGCAAATCAGGAAGTAAAGGAGCTGCCGCATCGGTAAGAAAATCAGGAAGTAAAGGTGCTGCTCCACCAGCAAGGAAAAAAGTATCCCAGGATAATGATAAAAGTGTTGAAGACCAGCTGAATTTACCAGAACCAGAGGTAAAGATACCAAATAAAGTATTGGTTATCAATGATTTAGCTTCAGGACAGGTGAAACAGGGTCATACCCCCCATTATTTCTGCAGAGAAAAATAAAATTTTAAGGCAAAAATGGAAGGAAATGTATTCTACCATTCTTTAAGTTATTGTTTTTAATATTCTCTTAAACATGCCTTAAGCCTAAATTTTGTAAAACATTTGGGATTTGATCAAAAAAACCAGAACATTATCCAAGTTTGGTGTTATACATTACACTCCACGGGTAACAGCTTTTCAAGGATGATTTTTTACCATAAACCATGGTATCATCTTTGGAATGCATGCTTTGTTTAGGAAATAGATGAAGTGGTGCTTAAGCCATATGATGGGTTTTTGTTTTTTCCTTTGGCCTCTAAAAGGCTAAAAAAGAAACAGTGGAAAGAAACTGCTTGGAAGAAAATTATTGAGAATATTTGAAAACAGCAGACTTGTTTTATGTCTGATATTATCAAGGATCCTGTTTTACCAAGCATGAGAAAAAACACTAATTATGGAATTGCAGGCGAATCTTTCGTATTCGAGGCAGATTCAAATAAGGGCAAAGCATGCTATCATTTCCCACTAAAAAACACTATTGAGCAATCTACTGTGAACACCTAGACTTTATGATAAATTTTATTTAAAAAATAACTTCAACCAACCCAGTTTGAGAGTTTGAAAATCAAGAGTTGTTTTTTATTAAAAGTACTTACAAAATTGCTGAACTGTTGATATTTAGTTGATGCAATTCTTTTCTTGATGTTTTATGTTCATATTTTATCCCCAAAAAGTGTTTTTCTATTATTTCCCTTCTCCATTGTTTGTCTTTATTTAATGTAAGAAGATGTTTACTCGCTACACTAATGAGATTATTTTAAGACTTTGCAAAACCTTTCCTATTTCATGTCAACATTAAAGCAGATTAAGCAATATGGGAAATAACAATGGGTGAAAGCTTGAAAATTTTGATTCTGATTTTCCTTCGGTCAAAACATTTCTTTAGTTGCAGTTCCTGGCCGTCCTTAGAATATTGGTGGCGGCCCTTACTAAACCATTTTGTAATCTTATCATTTTGGTCTATCCACTCTCTACGTTTTGCTGGCTCAGAACTGAATGCTGCCAATTCTCAGCAGTAACATTAGCCAAAGCTTAAAAACATTTGATCTTCATAGAAAATTTTGTTTTGCATGATCTTTTTTTTACAATCTGTGTAAGTTTGCAGTTGAAAGAAATTCCTCTAAAATAGGAATTTAGCAGATAAGATAATTAGCTAGTGACATTATGTGTTTTCTGAAAGTATTTTTAGAAAAAGTCTTTTTACCCTTGTATTTTATTTTAGTCCAAAAAGAGAAGAAAGGAGTACATGCCTAAACAAAGGACCGGACCATTTGCACTGGTGTTGACATTGTACAGAGAAAGCCAGGTGATTTATGTATTAGTTTTTAAAGTCCAGACCTTTTTGTTACATGGTATAAATTGTTGCTTTATAGATATTAAGTAACCTAAGTCAGATGGAAAATGTTAGAATTTCATCATTTTTCATTTTGAAATTTCAGGATGCAACTTACAAAGGGTATTTAATGAAGGAAGAGTTACAAAGAAAGGCAGAATTACTGACAGAAAAGTCATTCTTTGTGGTAAATATTGGTTTATATTTACTGCAAATGCAACTGTTTGACAGAGAAATATATTTGCAGAGAAGAACTAGATGCAGGAGAGGAAATGTTTTCTGCTTGTTCTGATTCAAATTCGTCTACAGATAGTGTGGGTCCTGTTTTGCTTGCTGTTCTTAACTGAAATCTTGTCAAACTTCTGAAAAATATTTTATACAAGCCTGTTTGTATGGAAATGTACAGGACAATCAGTGCTTGAACAGGATGCTCTCTACCATCAATGTTCTGTTTCAAAGTTTCAGCATGCTTTATTCGAGTCAGAGAAACCTGATAACTGAGAAAAGTTTGCTGCTGGACTAACTAAGAAAGTTCATAATACTACTTCCCTTTTGGGGTCATTATTTTGAAAATATAAGAAAGTATATGCTCTTCCACTTCTTACCCAGCCATGTTTGAGATCTAAGCGTGTGTTTGTATAACTTTCATAACCCGGAAGCTGATGAGAAGGTATATATGTGTATCTATATGTGCAATATTTCAAGGGAACAGCAAATACGATTTAAAATTTGGAATTCTTCCCATGTGTCAGATTTGTTTAAGTAAGAGCTCTATCTCAATTTCTTGTTAAACTTGGGTAACTTACTCGTTTTCTCACAATTTTTAGGCAGAACCAGGGACTCATTATACACCTTGGTCATCCATGTCGACTTTGATTGCCAAAGGTCTAGTAATGAAGACCAACAACCCTGCAAAGTATACCTTCGTTTCAACCCTTCTTTTTACTTTAACCTTCAGAACAGAGAATGACACAAAATATATTCCTATAAGTGATCTTTTATTTTCATTTCGCATAAATTTTGCAAATATCAACATCGTATAATACAATTATCAGCCCATCCTATTTGAGACATCAATATCTTTTATTCTTTCTCAATACATGAACTTAATTCAGTAATCAATTTGCTCTCTAATGTACGAATCATTTTTAAATATCAACTGCTATACGTAAAAAGCTTTCTCCCACATAGACACCAACCTTATGTTAGGATCAAATTCATCCATTCAGATATTCAATCACTGACGACGGTAAAATACTTGGTGAAAAGTTGGATGCATTTGAAAAAGCAAATCCTTCGCTCAGAGCTGCTGTAATATCTCCATCTTCCTTAAATGCGTCGCCACATTCGACGTCCCCGTCAGTTTCTAATTTTGTGATCCCTGCGGAAACAACAGGCTCTAGAATTCAATCAAAAGCCAAATCCTTATCACAGTCACATTTTGACACTCCTGGAACATCAAGTAGTAACGGGTAAGCGACTGAGATTGTTTAATAACTTTTGATTAATTTAAGCCTTCATAAATTTCGGTATTTTCTTAAAAACTGTTGTTGAAAAAGGGGCGTTTATTTAATTTATCTGATGTAAAGGAGGTTACATCAGAAGGGTTTGTTAAAAACAGTAAGGCTATTAGCGATCAGAAGGATTTACCACACTTAGATTTAATCATATCTTCTTAGCCTCCATAGAGAAGTACAAGATGATCTGTGCAGATATATAATTTCTGCCTTTGTTAATTTTTTATTCTTTTCCCTTCACTCGTTTTTCTGTTCAAATTATTTCTTTTTCTCTCTTATCCATCTCTTCAGGGGCATTTGCCTTTGTTTCAAGCTTTTTCATTGTACGTCACAGTTTATTTTCAGTTTTCTCTATATTTCAATGATCATTCCTCAATTTGCTTTGAAGCCAATTTGAATTTAGTTTTTGGAAATTCATTGCAGAAATCTCCTGTATTGGTATGTCGATGAAAGTGGCAAAATTTCCAGCAGAAAGGACGACGCCCTGGTCAAAGTTGAAGGTTTTTCTTAAATTAAACTTTTATTCTTTCCGTTCTTTAATATGTGGATAGAAGTATCTAAACTTTTCGCGATACAGCTCCTTCAAAATCTCTTTCTGCTGCTGTCTGGTTGGAACAAGCCAGGCGAAAGTTTGCTCATTTTGGCAAAGGATTATGAATTGTAAAAAGGAATGATATAAAACTTTTGTACTGCATGAAAGTCTTTGGGATGTTTCGGATTTTTTTAGAAATACTCTTTGTTGTTGGTTCTTATTATAAGTTATGGCTTGCAGAATCCAAAATATGTCAGTTTGATCGTTGTTTTTTGTTAATCGTTACAAATCTCACTTCAGTTGTAAGTTTTGTCTCGTTATTCAGCTCGAAATCTCATATCTTCGAACTTTGCTCGTGTTTTCGAACTTTGCTCATGCTTTCGAACTTTGCTCATATTTTCTTTCAGATCTTCAATTTTTTAAAGTTCACTTTTATATGAATTTCCTATGCTGCATTTACTTCCCACCTCTTTCCTGTTCTAGTTAGTCGGCATTGTGTTATATGTTGGAAACATATTTTGCTTCAAGCTTACTTGCTGACAAAAATAAACTTATCTTATGGTTTCGCGGATTTGCAGCACTGTATGCTGTGTTTCTGTCGCTAATGTTGTTTCCTTCACTGGCAGCACCCTGCTCTGAGCTGGCAAACAGCACCGGAACATATCAAGCACATACGCACGCGTCCTTCTGCTCCCACGAATAATTATGCATGCATTAAGGCTTGCATTGCTCAACACTATTGTGTATGACCACATAACAAATATACTGAGATTCACAGATGGATTCACTTTCTGCCCAAATTTGTAATATGTCCAGTAGGTTGAAGCAATATTGTAAGGCCCATAGAGGATGAATATTGCAATGATAAGCATTTTAATCGTCTTCATTGTTGAACTTTGGTTATTCGAGTCGTTTGCAGCTAGGCTTGCCTCTCCCTTCTTTTGCTCTTGCAAATTTCGCATTTGGGTTGGTCTTTCACTGCTCACTCTGCTAGGTTCTGGTCCTGTACTTTGTCTTGTGAGTATCTTCAACTTCATGTTATGTATTTTAAGCTTGCGCATTATGTACCAATAAAGCAGCGATACGAGTATCATCGTTGTAAGATTTGCTACGTTGAATAAAACTTGGATCTTGAATGAAGGAGCCAATAACAAAATGACTGCAAGGCAGTTTGCTATCGTTAGACTTATGAGTACTAGAATCTTCATTCGAAATGAATTCATGAATTTATTATAGCGCTTTAGTTTGGTAATCAGAAGGTAGCGATCGATTGAGATACAAATCAGCATAAACCAGGAGAAATTTGCACTTGTGAAAACGATGTATTCCGTGACCTTTTCCAAGACGCAGCTCCTGAAAGTCTCTTTTATAAAGAACACTGTAACTATCAACGGCTGACCGATTAACCCCATGCACAAGTCTGAGAGGTTCATCATGAGCACAAACTTGTTTGTTATTGTGCCTAGCTGTCCCGTTTTGTACAGTGAGTAAATAAGAATTGTGTTTGTAGCAATCGTTAAGGGGAAGCAAATTGCCTGTGATACGGCAAAAGTCAACGTATGTTTTCTTGGAACGTCTAATGGCCATATGGATGGGCAGAATGGAATTGTTTGGTTTGATCCAGAAGTCATTTTGCCGTGAACGAGTCTTGTCAGTTTTGATTCCTGATTCTACTTGAGCTATCCACGGAGCAATTGATGCAGAAGTTGTTTTTAATTCAAATCATTATCGAGCTTATTTTATTTTTTTTACCGCCAAAAATGAATTCTATTACCATGTCTCAAGTGAAAGCCAAGCGCGAGCAAAATCTATGATGCCAGATACTCGGAAACAACCTCAAATGTGATAGCTTTTGGTTATCCGTAACCTAACTCCAGATCCTTTGGTGTCTGTCCAAAAGAAGTTTTTGTCGCATAGTTTTCTGCACCGGTGTCGTTCCAGGATGTTGATGAAAACGCTTCCTATTCGATTCTCCTCTCCTGTTATACACGAATGACTTTCGAATATTTCTTCTGAAATTGGCCGTGACTTCCTCTAAAACTTCATATCAAACGCACTTGATCTGAAACGTATATTGTATAGCAATCCATAAGTGTTATGCAGCTAACCAAACTTTAGTTAAAAATGGTGTTTCGCTTTCTTTGACAATTTAATTCCTTCACTATGATGATATCATTTGTTTATGTAAATTCGGAAAAGTTACTTTCGAGCTGATTTTATATCAAGTCAAAACATTTTCTTAATCCATTTGCTTGAAAATTTTGCTTTAGTTTATTTCTGCGTCTTAATATTTCCCCGTTATTGTATCTAGCCACCTGTTTCTTCAGTCAATAGACCCATTCTGTTGCATTGATCAGCCGGCAATACCTAACACAATATTTGTATTTGGAAGGCAAGAACCCTATTCTTGTTTTGTACAGCATTCAGCCTTGCCTTTATAGATGGTTATCGATTTACAATTATTCTGATAGAACGAAAAGCTATGAAAATTTTGAAGTGATTGTTTTGGACATCTATGTGTACCGTGTAGTCATTTAAGAAGCTATGATATATAAAATGTGCAATAAGAAAATGTTTGATCTAGCAGGACTCACTTTTCACTTGGGATGGTTTGAATTTTAATTCTGCAGCCTGGTCAATCCAGAGATTCATTCTTGTGTAAACAGGAAAAATAATTTTGCACAAAGACTCTTAAGGCACGTTAGGGAATCAGAAGAGTAACAGCTCAGTTACAAGTTGGCATGCTTCATTTTCTTCATTGTCATGAAGCCGAAAGCTAGCGCATTTAAGATAACTATGCCTTCAAGGCTGGACAACATTAAAATTTCTATTTCCTAATCACATACCTGATCATAAACCTATAATCGCAGTAGTATATTTTGTTCTATTGATAAGGCAATAAAATGTCACTCATTTATTTCCATCAACAGTTCATATTGAGCTATTTTTAGTGCCAACGATTATTGCTTAACGTACATTTTAAAGCTATATACAGTTTAAAATTTTTCTCCTCTTTCTTCACATCGAAACATAATTATATATATTGTTTAGCCAGTTGTGAAAATGCCACTACACGTAGAAGGTTTCTCGTACCAGTTTCCTCATTTATCTTTTGTCCCCATCCACTTGGACTCTTCTTTTGCTAAATGTTATTTTAGTTTCCACCCTTAAAATGCTGAATGTGGAGGCAAGTTTAACGAACTAACTTAACATGAATTACGTCTTGACATGCATTTATGCTTAGAACGATAAATCATGAGAACATCTAAGAAAAATGCATTTCTGTTCTTTCAAACTTTGAACATCTTTAATTAATTTTACAAATCATTATATTAGAGATTTGCTTAATTTGACCTTCATCGTCAGTTGTATAGTCAATCACGGTCATGCATTTTCTCAGCAATGGCACCTGATCTGATTTGTTCAAAATTTGGTGTCTTTCTATTTGCCATCGTTTTTGGGCGTATGCATTGTATTTATTATCTTTGCAAAACTAAGAGAGCAAAGAATTATTTAGTGGTACGAAGTATACAGACAATCCAGTCCTAATATGAGCTGGGCTCTCGAAATCAGCCATTTGTTTGTGTGCTCTGCATCTCTATCGAAATGTGATTTAATCTTCAAAATGGCTTTTGTTTTGGTTATTACTTCACCGATCAAGTTTTGCTTGTCATGTCTGTTTTTAGCAGTCTCGTTTCTCTTTTAAATATGCCCGGTATTTTGCTATACTCACATATAAGTAATGCTTTGCATACGTAAAGAAACCAATTACTTGATATATGAAACGTGTAAAAATGTCTTCGATGGTTCGACTTTTAGTCTTCTACTTCTACTTATAATCTTAACCTTCCTGAAATTGTTGATTTTTCATGCATTACAGAAAATGGAATTTGGTTCCTTATAAAATGCGAAGAATGTGCCTTACAGCGTTGTGATGCAGTTTACCAGTTAGATAGTGCCAGGTAGAGTTACACGATATATTCTGTCTTATTAAGTGCTGCCTACGGGAATTTATGATAATGGAAGAGTGGATTTTCATTCTTCTTGTTTAAATTTACAGCTTACTCGTCAATTTGCATTGTAAACATTGTTACATGAATGTTTATACAAAGGCTATTACAAGGCTAAAACCACCTGCGTGTGCAATTTGAGATGATTCTATGTTTTTTCTGTATCTCGCAAAATCAAGATTCAAAGGTTCAAAGGAAATTTGTCTGTCTTTGCTCATGCAGTTCGCGAGACGCCTAGATGTTTGCACAAAACGTACTTCGGTCACAAGTCAAATTTTATCAAGTTTTGTTGCAATCATTGCTTATATGAAGCTTCCTCTGTGTTTCATATCTTGTTTCTAAATTTTAATTTGTTTCTCTTACCTTCGACTTGTAGGCCCAAGGAAGAGCCTTACGTTTTTGCATTTCTCTCTGACGAACATGCCAAGAATATTTCTACTCCACCAGGTTAATTTCCATGTTATCGTTATAGTTATCCCCAGCTAACAAATGCTTAGTGACACCCCTTTAAGCTCGAGTTGTCTTTATCTTTCACAATAATTTCGAATTTCATTCCAAGCACTTTGTGTATGTTAGACATTGTGGCTCGGTGCCAGTTAGATGTTCGAGATGACATGTTCCTATGCACTTGTCGATTCTTATGGAACAGTCTTGGCAAATTCAAATGAGCATTCCTGTTTGTTGTGACACACGTCCTTTATGAAATATTTAGTTTTTACCAATTGATCTTTTACTTTTCTTTGATCTTTTACTTTTCTTTGAATTTCGTATTTAAGTTTTGTTTCCTTCGTCTCCTCTAAAATTTGTTAAGCCTAATTTTCTTTTGCGAAAATTTTTATTTCATCTGCAGACATTCAACAATGGGCAGCCAAGCAGCCAATAAAAAGTACAAACATAGTGAAATATCAGGATCCTAGTCTTCCACAAATTCGAGAAAGCTCAAGGTAGTTTTTTTGTCATCCAAAACTACTATGATTTTAATCAATTTTTTATATAAAAGAAATACCTTCTACATCAGAAATCTGTTATACAGATTAGGAAGAGGCATTAATTTTGTTGCTATCCATGGCTTAAGTAAGGGTGATTCCCAGTACCCATAAGAAGCCAAGTTTGCACGCTACCCATAGGGAGGCTAAGTTATATCTCAAATGTATAGGCCTGTCGACACTTAGGGGAGCAGTTGAAAGGTCTAAAATCACCATTATCGAGTTTATCTTTAAAGATCATCCTTCAATGATCAAGCGAGTCACTTTGAGAAGCACCGGTGCCAGTTATTCTGATTGATTCAGAAGTATCAGGTTGTGATTCTGATTGGCTTATACACTAAATCTTTATTTGATTGGTTGATTGGTAACGTTTTTGACCAATCAAATTTAGTTAGTATCTTTGTCCATGTCATATCCATGTCAGTCAGCTACAATTTTTCTTTCTTTTAAGTGCTAAAGATGAAGACCAAGCATCGCCACTGTTCGTTATGAAGCCAGGTTTGTAAAACCACGCTCATTTGAAGCAATTTGTAAAACGTTTTTGAAATGTAGAGCTTAGTGGAATTACCATTCCGCTTCAGGGAATACACTTGCCTGTCCAAAATCAGCAGTCAGTGTCCATCCATTTTGGGTCCCCCACTGGCTGTCCACTCAAACATTATTGATAAGTAGTTTTAGTGAATGGAACAGTGACAAAGATTGAAAGCCTTGGTAATAGATCTTGCAATACCAAACGTCAATATTAGGGACTAGAAATAAGGTTTTCAGTTTAATAAATGAAAATCTTCAGATCATTTCAGAGAAAGTCAAGAAAGTCAGGTAAATTTTCAAGAAACGTGTACATTCTACCATGTGTAGACGTCCCCTGAGCGGGACCTTAAGTTTCTGAATTCAAAATTTAAAAATTTCGTCATTATTTGCTGGCAATATAGATTTCTTCTTTGTAATTGTCCTCCAGATTTGCTGAATAAATTTTTCTATCGTAGGAACGTTTGAAATAATTTTGTGCGTTGATCAAATGGAAGTCACTGGAGGGTAAGTGTGGCTGTTGCCTTTTTTGTAATTTTCAGTTCAGATCTCGATAATTTAGTATTAGTTAAAATGAATTTCAAGGTGCTTTTCTGTTTATTTGTTTTAAATAGATTTAGCCTTCTAGCTTGATATCTTTGTAGCTACTTTCTTGGCCTGAGATTTCGTTTGTTGAATATCAGAGTGTTCAATGTATGATCTTTGTGTTACGATTGGTCTTTCCTAGTTTCACTGTTATTGAGATCATCGGGCATATGTACCCATTCAGATATCAATATACAGTTCAATTAGATATCAATGCATTTCAAATTCATGACTACTGTCTTAGAAGAAACCAGATAAAAATGTTCAGGCAAATGTTTGTCCGTTCTTGGTTGGTATCCGTTAATGGGAAGTCTCTTCATGGAAATTTAATCGCACATAAATTTTTTTAAGAATCTGTTTAACTTTCTTTGCATAGCAAAGGCTAAAAATTCTTCTCTCGTTGCGTTGCATGTTAAAAAAGGTTTTTCCACCGATGCTGGTAAGATTTCTTTATTTAAGATGATAATTATGAAAAGGTCTGTAGAAAATTTCTTCAGCTTTATCTTTACGTCCAAGGAAATAATCATTTACAATGTAGCTTCATTAAATCTAATACGTATTAGTAGTTTTATTGATTTAAATTTAACAGAGCAAATACAAACAGTAAAAGGATGATGCTGGAACAGTTGAAGAGGATAAGTAAGTTGTACAATATTGCGCTATGTTTTGATTTTATTAATCAATACAACTTTTATCAACTTACGTTTTGATTATTCGAAGAAAATAAACCTCACGAGGTTTTGATTGAGAAGACTCGGTACTCTCTATCCGGCTACGCTACGAATATATGTCAAAGAGATTTGTCCTTTTTGCATATAAAAAATCAAAACCTTTGATATTTTGAAGAATTGTGTTTGTAAAAGGTATAAAGCGCAAGGATAAATTCAGTGTGTTGTTATTGCCTTGTTTATGTGTTGGTGTTCGTTTGCTAGCTCATGTATCTTCTATTTCTGTGATGGCTCACAAAATATTTGCTATATGTTCAGTCAATGCTAAGCTGAAAAGGCGTATTAACGCTTAATCGTTATATGTTAAAATTTTGTCGATGAGATGGCTTTTCTAGATTACTTGGCTATCGGTAAAGTGTCAAAAATAATGTTTGTGTTAAAGTAAAACGAAAAGAAATAATAAAAATTATAAATTTCTTGTATGATTATGAATTCTTAGCTTTACAAAAATATGGTAAAAATACGCTAACGTTCTATTTACACTCCCATTGTTACAACACCGTTTAGACCCGACAGCATCTTCCAGCAAAATCCTATCTTGCAATGACGTAATCGCTGTCATTTTGAAGTCTCAGTGCATTTCCATATTGGCAAGCAGCTCTTCTAAGAAGCTCATATACTTAATAGCAGATCTAAGGATCGCGTACTTCGAGAGTTTTGTGTCTTTATTGGAAAGTGGAATGACGGTTCTTAACAGCTGAAATGCTTCATTCAGACTTTGCTGCCGGCATCTCTCCCTTGAATTTGTAAGAAGCCTTTTGTATTCTGGGTCCTTGAGTAGCTGTCGCTCTTTTCGTCGCTTCACTTTTGAGACCTTTCTTGAATTTTGACCATCGAGTGTGTATGATTTTAAGGAGGAAGCTGCTGAAAACGAAGAAGGTTAGTAGCATTCTTAGATGATGCTGCTTAGATTATGCCACACACAAGGCATGCAATTCAAACTAATGAACAAGGAATACACTGAAACCAAAATGAGGACGTAAATTTTTGTCCGATTTGACATGATCATGTACCAATTCATGCAAGTAACCTTGGGAACATGTCCTTGTTGGACCTTCTTTAGTAACTGAGTACCAAAGTTAGCTAATTATAATATATGGTTTGTTTTGAGAAGTTACCATAGAAAGACCACCAAAGACCTAGAATAACGTGGAAAACAATCCACCAATCAGCACTGTATTTTCATTAAAGCTGTTCATTATTTTCCTTGTACTGTTACCGAGATTAACCTTAAAGTAAAATTAGGCCTGTAAGTGTGACTCAATGTTTTTGACCTTTTACAGTAAAATATTTTTTTGCAAGAAAGGAGGAGTCAACATATAGATTTAACTCCTAGCATGTCAACTGTAAAACCTCATACTGGCTTGGCAAAAATAAAGGCTTGTGTTTAAAAGTATTAAATACCCTTAACTTTTTTCGTTGGGTACAATGCACAGTACTTTCGAGTGTACTGTGCAGTGGAAAACACTGACACCGTTAATACCTTAAACTTTTGGAAGGAAAACAATTATAAACGTTAACTTTATAATTTAGAAAGTATTTGACACCTACATTTTTCCTGATTTTTTTGGGCGATCGAGCACCTCTTTACTTCAGGGCTAGCCTTGGCTTGTTGTTCTGTGTAGATACGTGCATGAAATTCCCCTTCATACCTCTGCGCTATTGGTATTTCAATCATCTTCGGAGATTTGACTTGCAAAACTTGAAGCCTCTCAATCAACGCTTGCTGGACTGATGTATTTCTTGATTGCACTACTTTCCCAAGGTTATCATCTACTCAAACAAAATATCTCAATTTTTTCCAAAACAGTCCTTGTAGATGTTTCCTCAACCACGTGTATTATAAATGACCTTACAGCCAAACCTGTGTGTGTTTTTCATCGGTTCTCTTCTGTCTGTGGTCAATACTTAAAACTTTGTTTCGCAATAATGCACATTACATAACTTCTTTTCATGTTTGTGGAAATCCTGCGTATAACATTCTTTTCACTGTGCATGAAAGGTCTATCCTGTCGATTATGTTTAAAGCCATTAAAAAAATCGAATGTTTGCGAAATATATCTACTCCTGATCTCCTGATTTTTTGCTTTGCTTTTTCTAGATGTGAAAATGGATGTGCGAAAGCTGCAGCTAGGAGATTTCCTTTGGGTAGCAAGGGATAAATTTCAGGGTTACTATGACAACAATTTTAATTATTCAAAATTAAGTCTCTGCCATTATTGCCAGATCCAACATAATCGAACATTTTTTAAATGACACCAACATTTAAGCTCATTTCAGCACATTAAACCTTATTTTGGAAAATTATTAATGTTTTTCTTAAAATAACTTACACTGCATATTCTTTCGCCCAACACAATGTTTTCAAGTTTACAGTCATAAATAAATAATAGGAGTCGATTGCGCAACGTTGCAGTTCCGAAAATTATATAAAGAAAGATCATTTAGAGGAGAAAAGGGAGATACAAGTGTACCAAATGTTCCTAGCTCGTTATGGTTTATTGACGTAATTTCGTTCAATTACTACTTAACATACTGTCCTTGAACGTTGTTCGTATGAACCATACTCGTATCATACTCACTGAGTCCTTGGGACTTCCTTTTTTTGTTTAGTTTCTTCAAGCAATTTACAAATGAAAATTACCTGTAATTTAAAACTCCGACACATTTTGACGCAGATGGATTGTTTAAGATTTTGATAGTATTGGCTAGTAGGAAGCAATCCCTGCTTGCTGTCACATCGATCACTTTTTCCCAGTATTTCTACCTGGACAATTGAATAAAGCCTTTTCTTACAACAAAAACTGCTATTTAATGTTACCCTAGAGAATCTCTTGAACAACTTTCCAATACTTTTAAGGAAACACACTAAAGGGATAAGAGATGTTTTCTAGGCCTGTAAAATTAGGGACCGGTCATGATTTCGCCAAACCTTTTTGTTTCCATTCTAGGGAGATTACTGCAGCTTACCAGTCTGCTTTTTAAGATTGATGCTAAATGTAGCTGATTTTTCCTAATCGTGATATTTTTTCTAAATTATCTGTGACAGGTTCGAAAAAGGAAGTGGTCCTGGATTTTGTCATTGAGCGAAAAAGGATGGATGACCTGGCTGGTAGTATTGTTGATGGAAGATTCAAAGAGCAGAAGGTATCCAATCATCTGCAGTGTAAACCAATTCCCTTAGACCTTAATTCTGTTAATTGCTTACTGTCGTTTAAAGCAGGGTTCTGGCAACTGAGGTCAGGAAAAGCTGGGGGCTAAAGCGATGTAGGGATCTTAAAAATTGATGCTTGTAGTTCAACGAAACACCAAGAGGAGTTTTTAACACAAGTCAGCCAAAGATGTATTAATACTAATTAGCTTTCTAGCTTTCTATGGATATATTTGACCCTAATTATGATAAATACTTTTACTCTTGTATTTTTGTAAACCCACACCTTGATTTTTTAGGTCTTTTTTAGTGGAAATGATAGTATGCTGTTATATATACAGTTTTTGCGCTTTCTCGTAGTTTAGGCTGAAATCATGTGGACTAAAGCATCCAATATACTTAATAGAAAGTTATGGCTCGATGCAGCATATGGTGTTACCAGAAGCTACCTTGAAACAAGCCATCATCAACTCACAAGTAAATTCTATTTGCTTGGCTAGCAAATACTAACAGTTGAAATTTAAACATCGATGCTGCTAAGTCACTGTCTTTGTAAAGCTGAATGAGTACAATTTTCTTACCCAATTTTTTTATCAACAGCAATTCCCTGTAAGAGCTTCTTCTGTTTTTCTTTTGCAAGAATTAACAATGCTACTTGACTGAAATAAGGTTTTGAAGCTGCTGGTGAAATTAAAAAGTGAAATTCTTCTTTGTATTTCAACCAGTTTTGTTTATTTTTCATACAAGCACTGCGTACAAGTTTTCTTTGCATACTATTAACGAGTTTGAGATTGAATACCATATTTATTCGTATATAATGAAAATTACTATTTTCCTGGTTTGGCATGTAGGGCCCTGTGGTGCTCAATGATGTATAGGCTGAATTGTACGCTCTTTTTTGCCTGATTTTTGCATCAAGTGAGAAACTCGGAGTTCCAGCTTAGGACCCTCATGTTCTATACACCAAAACGTGTGTCCATAAATGCTGACTGCTAACAAAAACATGTTGCTCTTTATATTATGTTGCTGTTTATTTATGTATAAAAATATTTTAACAACCATTTAGAGTGTAATATACTATTTTTACGTTAGGTTGTGGATGGACTTTTCATTCGCAAAACTGACAGTATATACGAATCTGCAGCTTATCTATCAAGAATGACACAGCATTTGCAAAATATCTACCAGGTGTGTGTCATATCGCTATTTTGTTATTATATCTGAAATATTGGAATTAAAGATAAGGATCTGCTTTCGAATCGCAAACTCTTTTTGTGCGGTTACCTTCCTACGAGAGAAGTACTCTAAGAGTATGGAAATTCGCGTTTTAACGAAAGAATAACTTTTTTCAGTGTATTCAAGACCTGGGAAACGCGTTACTTTCGGTGACTGGGTGTTAGCTTGGTGACTGGGCTTACCATTTTTCAAACAAATCATTTTTATGAAAATTGAGAACTGAAAGGTCCAAATAAGTGATAGGCTGAATACAGGGGTATGATGAAATTACAGAAGAAGATGAAAACGGAGATAAAAATGGGAACAACCCTCCTTTGTTATCAATTTTTTTGCGGAACTTTTCTGTATCTACACTTTTAACGTACGTCATTGACAAACGAGGGTCTTAATCAGCTTAATCATTCTCTGCTTTTGCCCCAGGGCCTCCAAATTCTCTCGATGGCCCTGCCTGCGAAGTTACCCTTAAAATTCTTTGTATTGTTTCAGAACAAAACAATAATGGCCTTTTCATCTGGGTATATCAAAAGTGCTAAACAAGACCAAAGGTTTCGAGATGTTATCCGAGAGGAAGTTCAGAAGTTCATGACATTTGATGACTATTACCAAATCACAAACAAAAACAAGGTATTTGAAGTTTTCTGCCTTAGAAATGTTGGTTTTGTATTGGAACTTTGAAAGAAGGCTTCCAGACTGGACTAAGTGAATAAAGCAAATTCACGTGATTAGACATGAGCCAATAAAAACGTCCCACCTAGGCTATAATCCCATTTGTCAACAGTAACTAAAGTTTCGGTCCGGAGAGAGATCATCTGATAATGCACAGATCTAGGCCTTATGTTTTTATAAAACTCGTAAAGCAGGCCTGAATTGGCCAGTTTCGAAAGAGTGCATTCTTATTTAACTTAGTTTATTCTTTCCGGTGAAATTTCGTCCTCACAAGTTTAATCAGACTTGATAAACAGTTTTCACTGATGTTACGTGATCTTGTGACGTAACTTTAGTTTTAAATAATCTAAATGAAGGAATTGGAAAGCAAGTTTGACATTTGAATCTAACTGGCACACAAAAGAAGGTTTTGAGACGCGTAGCTTGCCGCTTAATTACAGCGTGCGTTTGAACCAAAAAACCACGAGTGAAGATTTAGTTCAAATTCAAGCCACAGATATTGTGTTGCTATGTCTCCCGGCTTCATTCCGAAAAATTCCTCGCGTATGCTTCAATTTGCAAGGCGTCTATATTAGATTGTGAAACTAAGGCTACTTTGTTTTGCCTTGAATACAAGCTAGAGTATCTACTAAACTATCACTTTGATGTATCCGGAGTTCTCTGGTACTTCGAACTTTGAAACTAGATCCGCTAATGTTCATGTTCCCAAGAATTTCTAGGTGGGTCATTTGGCTTCCTTGACGATTATCGAAACTTTTTTTCTAGTTGCTTTCAGTAAAAGAAATGTTTGCCAAGCAGTTAATGCAATTGAAAGGAGTATCTGCAGATAAGGCAGCAAGCATTGTTAGTGTTTACGAAACCCCTAAAAGGTAAGCTGTTAATTGTTGTGCAAAGTTTTATTACAACCATCAGCAGCGTATGATTGTCATTACTAAGGCATTGTGGGTTCATTCCTCTTGAAAAGTGATGGCATCGTTGCAAAAGGCGAGAGAAATTTGTCCAGCGACCTTCAAGCTTAACAAGCTTTGTCTTATTGATCTTCATCAAGAAAATAATTTCCTAAAATACCTTTCTATTCAACTGTAGTGAAATCTTTCGTTTTCGTAAGAATTTCTCATCTTCCTAAACCTTACAAAATCTGAAATAGCACTATCACTCTGTATGTAATTGCCATAATCGCTGCGTTTTCAAGTTGTTACTGTTTCCTTCTAGCCGTGATATTGGTTTAATCAAAACCAATGATCGATTTCTCAAAACAAATTTTCGACCGATAGTTATGTAAGGTTGTGTTACCTTCATTCAGAAATCTAAAACAGGTTTCGTAACAACCAGCGTCCGTAAATGGCCGATCTTAGATCGTTTGAATGGGCGCCTATATGCGAATAAACGCCCAGGGGCTTTAACTGTGTGCTTATTCGAACAATATGACACAGGGGCGGCTGGGAGTAAATTTTTTTTGGTATTACTTTTTCGAATGTATGGAAGATGCATGAAAAGGAAAATTAACAATTTCTTTATGAAGGAATTTTGAACCTCCTCAGCTGGAGGGGTATAGGGGTTTTACAACACTCCCCCCCCCCAAATTTGGCCCAGCCATACGTTGGGGAAATATGCATATCTTCAATTGACTCTAAACAACAAACAAAAAGTCACTAAAAGACATTCCTGTTGGTCTTTTTAAACAAACTGGAGGGCTGTAACATTTGTCCGAAGGGCTTGCAAGCGGTGATTAGTCGTGAAAAATATTTGGCGGCCCCTTCCTCTGAGCCACCATGTGGGCCCATTATTAGAAGCGCGATTGTAATAACGGAAACCACTGCGTGAAGGCCCTCTGAACACATTCAAGGTTCAGTTCAGTTCATCATTCATTTCAAATGCCTTTACATAAGCAACTTGCAACATTTTGAATAGCTACAGTTTACAAATGTACAAATAAATTTGAAAGGATGCAGGCTAAAAATTTATTATAGAAAAATACATGACGAGATATATCTGGCAGTGGTGGCGCTAGGTTTCCTCCGACAAAGGGGCTAGCACTTCCGACGGAGGGGCTAATTTTTTTAGAGAACGATAGGGCTAGGGGGCGACAAGGAATTGTAAGGGTACTGGAGACCGAAGGCGAGCGTTGCGAGCCGAAAATTCGGGGGGTCCGGGGGTACTCCCCCGGGAAAATTTTGGTGGCTACACCCATTAGATTGGCTAAAAATGCTATCAAAATGGTGTAATCGTGTTTTTTACTACGTTTTTTGACATATTACTAAGGGCACGTTTGCCCCCTCACGTTTACCAAGTTGTACCTGGAAGTTTAAACAAATGATTTACTACCCTGTTTTACATGTGTGAAAAAGATTATAATATCTCCTGGGAGATGGACAAAAAGGCATTTTTACTAATCAATCTTTTGTGACTCTTAATATCAAAATCATCCAAAAAATTATTTTTATTTGTAAATAAAACGAAGAAATTTATACGTCTAACAAGGTTTATTCCTCATCCAGTCATAGCCAGGTATATTTGTTTAAATATGTCGCAGTCGCAGTGAAATCCCATATTATATAGGTCCGAAAATAAGAAACTTTTAATTTCTGGAGAGCTAGGTTTCCTATAAAAATACACGTTTTTTTCTTAATAAGGAACTTGTTTATAAAAAAAACTAGAAGGATTTATCGTAAATAGTAATAGATGGTTTCCCTTAAAAATAGTAAAAAATAAGAAATTTGGAAACTATTAGTACTCTGGGCTTGAGTCAAGTTTCTTATAAATAAAAAAACGTGTACGTAGAAGCAAAACACTACAAATATGTATGGTTGGGATGGGGTAAAATGGCTTAGCTACTACGTAAATGAGTTTGATTGTTTTTATGGCTGAAGCCCTTTGCTAAGTGTTTTTCCTCGTATTAAAAGGACTTAAATATTAAAACGTATAACATACCACGTTCGATTTGCTCTTCGTCTTGAATTTTCGAAATTTCAACTTCTTGTTCTTCGGGGTCTTCTGTTGTTCTTTCAGTTTCAAAATCATTAACCTTTCGTTTCTTTGGAAAAGTACCGCCTTTTGATTGAAAAAATGTTTTTATTTTTCTCTGCTGCGAGTCCGTTTCAACTATTGCCGTCGTAGGAGCAGTCCTTCCCATTGCAGCCAAATCTTTGTGCTTGGACTTCGTGTGGCGGGCAGCGTAATCATTGTTAAATACGTCATTACATATACTACATCTAACACTGAAACGGGTAACATTTGTTGCCATATCGCTATCGCACAAAAATATTCCGATGTTGTAGGTTGGTTATAGCAAGCAAGATTTGGACGAACTGCACTATCCATAACATAAGATCAAATTTAACAGCATGCGGAAAACACCTGGTACTGAACATCTAAACAACCAATTCAAACTTCTTATAACAGATTATTATTTACCATGAAATTGATGTGTCGATGAGTTGTTTTGGGATGAGCTTCCTGAATTCTGATAACAGTCCTTTTAGAAATTTCTATTTCCGCCAAAACTTAAAAAATTCGCTCCGACAAAAAAAATTCAAGCATAATTTATCTTCCGACGGAGGGGCTAGCCTCCTCCGACGGGGGGGCTGTAGCCCCCCCTGCCCCCCCTCTGGCGCCACCACTGATATCTGGCACGGCCTTTCAGTTCGAGACGTTGCTAGTGAGTTAATTCCACCCGTTTCAAAACAATTAGAGATACAAAATAATAACACTTTGAACACCCAGACCATGATCATTCACTTGATCTTTCACAACACGATTCATTTTGAAACAGCTAACTTACAAGCAAAATCATAAAACAGCACTGGCAAAAGGTAAATGGCCGCGTTATTAGAATCCCAGAAGTAATAACGGGGCTGCTAGGCTCCTTTATTTCAAGGACCAAGAACAATTGAATTTTACGTCATCGGTGAGTCCCGTGACAAAGACTTTGCTGTTTCCGTTATTAGAAACGCGAAAGTAATAATGAGACCGGGAGCCTCGAACTAGCTTTGAACCATTTGAAATACCATTGAAAAACATAATAGGCTTCCTGTGGTTAAGGATTAGCAGGTAATTATCATCCCCTTCAGATGAATAGAGGACAGATACCATATTATTTCTACGTCATTGGTTGTGTCTAGCAGACGAATGCATCAAACTGATAAAGACTTTGGAAAAAGTGTTATTACAGTAATAACGGTAATAACACTGCCCGCCGCCCCTGATATGACATATGGCTGTATCGAGAAAAGACAGCTGATATTTCGTTTTTCCATATATATAGCCTCTATAGGTGTCATGGCTGCAATGCCTGTGCTTGAACTGAATGATTTTTTGACATCACGTGTCTCCTAAAGTTGGGAGTCACCGTCTTAGCCCTTTCATGCGTGAATTTTTGTAACAGACTCAACAAAATATTTATTGGCTGAAAGTTGTTGTTGTGGGACCCTCTTTCCAAAAAAATATTTTTTTACTGAAAATCCTTTGTAATGAAATTAAATGAATTTATTGTTCCACAACAACATCAAGCATCAAAGTGTTAGAAAACCTACGTATGTTTCCAGTCAACAGTTTTTGAACACCAAAAGTATTTTTGTCATTCAAATTAGCAGTTTACCCTCCCCCCCCCCCTTTCAAACAACATTTCGTTATTATCCATAGAAATAAGCTATTCAAACGTAGCTTGAAGTTTTGACTGAGGTGAAGTTCCAACTTTGTTTAGGGGGAAGTGGGAAATTGAGCTTTTCTTTAAGGGTGAATTAAAAAAAACAATATTTGCCTTAACAGCTTGGGTGTTCCATAAATTATTGGCAAACCTTGTAGAAAATCCTGTGTTCTGGAATTTCATTTCCCGTGCCAAACGCGTTTAAATTTTAAGACCCTAAAAACTGCTAATTTTAAGTCTTATTTTTGATGATTTTTTTATAACTTCTGTGATGCCACAAAGTTTGGCTGGAAATTCAGGATAAGGCACTGTTTTTAGATTATCTACTTTCCATAGCATGGATAGCTTCTTTGCAGTAAATGGTTTTCATAGACCAAACATGATTGTGTTAAAGGATATGCTCTATAGATTCAATGAAGCCCGCTGTGATCTACTTTTTTTCGTTAAATTTTATATTTGTAGACTTATGACAACTTTTGAAAAATGCAAAACAGACGAGGAAAAAGATAGTTTGTTGTCAGATCTAACGTATGGCAAAACGAAAAGGTATATAACAAACTATAAAATCAAATTTATTTTTGTATGATATTTAAATAGATTGTCTTTGTCCAACAAATTCAATCATGGTAAAACACCACTGCAAAGATCCATTCTCACATTATGCTTAAGTCTGAAGCATTAGGAATGAAATAACAATTGAAATAATAAATAGAGAGAGGTGCACAAGTATAATGATATACCGTCCCCCTTTTCTCAAGGTCAGGCCCATGGAACAAAAAGTATTTTGGAGAAAAAGTCCCCCAAATCAATAACATTTTCTACCTTATTGAGATGTAACAGAATTCAACTTTTTAAAGTGGAGAATCTATTAAATAGACTATTACAAACATCATTTCAAGAACAATTATTTTCAGATAAACAGTGATGTAAATTTGTACCTATTTTTTTTCAGGAAAATTGGACCAATGCTTGCATCTCAAATTAGGATGCTTTATACGAGAACAAAGTTGATGTGAAACTTTTTCTCTGTATTTTCATAGTCACATTTTTATAAGTTCACAATATAAAATATTTACGATTTGGTAATCATTGAATAATTGTTTTCCAATACAAAAGTGCAGGTAGTCTAAGACAGTTAGCTTTTGACAGGTGTCACCCAGTAGTTCCACCCAGTCTCAGGCCCGTCTGGACCTGCAATGGTTGCTTTGAAAGCCTCAGTTATAGGTATCAGTTATAGGTAGGCTAATCATCTCTATGTATGAGCTAAATGTTTGGTCTACCTTTAGCAAGCTCTGCCAGCTGAGCCACAACTTTTGAGCATTCAAGCCATTTGTTGTTTGAAGAATTGCTCAGTGATGATATATTCTCAGCATATTTTAGGCATTTCTTTAAATATCTAGAATGCATAAGAAAATAATTTTTAGAAATTAATTTATTTATAAACTCTTCATTCGCTCGAAACACTTTATTTTCCCCTTTTGTCTGAAGCCTAACACATAGGACCTCTCCCTTTTCAACCCAGTATCGACTCTCTGTATAGACATTACCAAATAGTCTTTCTGTTATCATTCTGCCATTACCAAATAGTCTTTTCAATCTATTTAGAGTTAAGGGAACGGAAAATAAATAGGTTATTTACAGCCTATGGGTATCGGATTTAGTATGTTTAATCTAAAATCCTGTAATTGATTTAATTCTGTAGGAGTTTTGATTGAATTAGTGTTTTAATTTGTAGACATCTCTTTCATGTTTTTCTTAGGCCTTGTACAAAGCTTAAGAAAGCAAATGGATATTACCAATTTAGGTTCTTAAGCATACAGTAATGATAGGTTTGCACAAGCAGAAGACAATGATATAGGAACAAAATGTGGTCTCATAACAAGGAAAAGGTTGGGAATTATCTTTCAAATTAAATGTTTTGTAAAATGTTGGGATGTATCTTATAAATGTTTTGCCTTTAACAAGTGTGATGCAAATGGAATATTAATTTTTGTAAAAACAATGGTTGTTTTAATTTCAAAGCTCAATTTTTGATTGGTGGGTTTCTATCTATTGTCAATGAGCACCCCTCTCCAATGAGCGCCCCTTCTATGAGGCCAAAAATTAAATGAGCACCACTGGTGCTCATTAGAGAGAATATGTTAATTCTTTAATTGCACACTATCAAATACACAACCCAGCCATATAAGGCTCTGAGATAGGTTAGAAGTTTTTTTAAAAATTAATTAGCAGGGGGGAGGGTAATTTCATTATGGCAGTAAATTCATTTTGGCCAACGAGGGAGAACATCAAATTATGAAATGCTGGGAATGGTTTTCAATGTTATAGAAATATTACTCATCCTACTTACTTTATAAGACTTTTCCAAGTGTCATCAATATCTATGCTTGCTGCAACCAAACTTTCAATGGAAACCATTAGCAACAGTGTTTGCCAGAATGATATCAGAACAGGAGATACTGAAACCATTGCTGTAAAATTAGTTCGGGCTCTTGACCTCAATGACCGATTTTCTAACTGCTTCAATTTTTCTCTTGCAAAAGTTATTACCTTGAGAGATACAATAAATAACAGGTTAGTCAAATTATTCCTTGATAAGTCTTGCAAAAAATAGGCTTTTTCTATATCAGTTTAACAATCATAAAAATAGTGGTTGACACCATATGCTTTGCAAAACATTAATAATTTCTCAAAATATGATATAAATTAATATCATTTTGTACCTGGATGAAATGATGGAAAATTAATTTGTCAAAAAAATCTTTGCTTTGGTCTATTCTGGATACTAGTAGTCACCAGACAATCCACACATCCCCATAAGGGACACTGACTCCCACAGGTTTCTTCTGTGGGGAAAATCACTGTTGTTTGGTTTATCCAACATTAATACTATGTCAGAAATACCATTTATAAACAGGATTTTTGCTTGATTTATAGCCATAATAAGTTACAAGATTTGAAATAAACACTGGATAATGAAAACAGGGAAAACATACCTGAAGTACAGCAGTTTGGCATTGCTTTGCTATTTGTCTCAATAGTCCAGTGACTTCTAGCTCTTTCTTTGGTCGATGTAAAAAATGTCTAGGTTCATTAATTATTTCTTTTATGTACCTCTTAACTGAATTTTTATCAAAGCAAATTTCACCATTGTCCCGAAAAAAGTTTTTAACTATAGGTATAGACATATATATTGTCACAATTTTATTAATTTCATCACATTGATTATGTTCTTGGTCTATATTTAGATGTAAATGGCACTCTGTAGCTATCTCATCAACCATATCTATATTTTCTATTGCTAAACATATTTCCCTGTTTAGAAAAGATATTGGGTGAAAGTGTGATTTGTAGCTGTCCATAACGCAACATAAATTTCCCAGAAATTTACTTTTGGTTTTAAGTATCTGTCTCCAAGGGAATAAGTATTTCAAACAAAAGCAAATCCCAATACATATCAAATAATTTGCAATGGTACTGTCCACATCATTAAAGTCATATTCCCCATGACTTACTCGATCCCTTAATCTAGGGCCTTCAGGAAAAAATAATAGATCAAAGAGCATTTCAGTTAAGTTTCGCCCAATTTCTGTCAGGAGTTTGTTGGGTTTGTCTTCGTCAATATCTTTCGCAAGCATCTAAAATGAAAAATAGAATATGTAGTGTGAGCTTTCTTGGTACCAGCAAGTAAGCCTGTGTTCGAAAAGGGCAATGGGGGCAAAGCGTCAAGAAAAACAAAACAAGAGTAAAACAAAGTAAAATGCTTGATTTCCCAAGGGCAATGGGGCAACTGCCCCTGCTTCCCATCCCCTGGCATAGGCGTCTTTGGGTACCAATTATTCAAACAAGATAGCATCCACAAAAGTATTTATATTTGCTCAGCTGATCTAAATTTTTCAGGTTTCTGAAAAATTAGGGTAGAGGGTTTCTAAAACAATAGGAACACACTGGTCATTCACTACTTTTCAAAAACTTCTGCAAAAAATCAAAAGTTCTAAGTGTTCATTTAATACCTCATCAAAGGTTGTGTACAGAACATCTGATTCTGCAGTTAAAAGTCGACCAGGGCACTGATTGACAACAACAAACAAACACCGTAAAGCATGCTCAAGTTGAGGAAGAAACAAAATGACTGCATCTGAAAATCTGTAATAAAGATCAAATGATTGTTTAACAAGTAAAAATCAAGTCAACAATACAAAGAATTATAAAGCAAAAAAACCTTGATAAGTTGTGCAAAAAACTAGATCCTATTTGGTACTTTATTTTTCACTTTCCTGCAAAGGTTTGCCAAAATTTAATTAACATTTTTTTTAAATTAAATATGAAAAAGTTTTATATATACTCCAAAACTGTTTTACCTTGAAATATCTTATTGTTTGTTAGTTTGGTTCAAAATGACAAAAATCTGTCCTGTCCTTAATATGTAGCTTGGCAAGACATGGAAAGTCAATTTACCTCTTAGACAAAAAGAGCTCAATGGTCATTTTCCACGCAGGAAGCATTCCCGGAGGAATGAATGATGTTGACTTGAATACCTTAAGGAGCAGATCTTTCTCAGTTGTAATCAATGGAAAAATTTCTTGTATCAAGTTTGTGCTCGGCAGCTTCAATTTTTGTCTGTGCCTTATGCTTAACAAACTATTCATCTTTAAGACTTCTCCCAGAGCTGCTATAAGCTCAACCAAGATGACACAGAACCTGACAAAGATATGATATTATTAGTTTATCAATAGTTACTTTAAAAATCAGCAGATGTTGCCTTTTTTGACCTTCAGTGACAAAAAACAGAGATAAAAATAGAGTATCTTAAAACAAAGAATAGCCTGTTTAAACGATTCTGAAAAATCCAGAAAGAAGTCTTCTGGTCTCACTGTTTCATATTGCATGGTGACTGGGATAACCAATAAATGAAAGCTAATACTTAGATACACCAGCTGTGAAAATAATTTTGATGATTGAGATTGAGCTTCTTTTCTAGGAAACTTTAATTGTGCCTCGATGTTAGGTGTAATGGCCTCAGGATTGTTATGTATTCCATGCCACCTGTGGTATTGGGTTGTAAATAATCAATTTTTATTGTAGATTTATGAAACTTCCTTTTATAAAAAAAACTTCCAAAACTAAATCTATTTGGTCTTGAAAATGAGAGTTTTGGAAAGCTGAATGATTTGGTGGGCGATATAGCAAATGCTTCTTTAAAAAATTTGATTGCCCATTGTATACCCTGTGCAACTATAACCTGTTTCCAGCAATTAAAAACTGGTCACACCTGTTGCAGGAGAGACTAAATTTTCCACCCCTGCCAAACCTATGGAAATGTCGCCTGATTCAGTAAATGATGGGAAAGTGAAGATAAAACCAAAGCCTGTCTTGTTATGTTTGTCTGAAAAACTCACTTATCTTGGATTTCCCCCAACATGGGAAAGCCATGCCACAGCACATTTCTCAAATTTAAACTAGCAGGTGGTCCCATTAATGTCTGCAACACAGCTATGGGTGCTTCACCAAATACTTCAAGAAGGCAGTCTGTATTTAACAAATCACGAAGCAGAGATGGGCATTTCTTTTTTGTTATTGAGCTGAATACATCACCTAGAGCCCTCTCAAAAATGACTGTCAGTTTTAACAACGACAGTGTTGTTAAATTTGTAGACTCATTCAGGCACTGGATAATGGTAGACAAGGAACCAGTCCAATTTAAAGATGAAATCAAATTTTGAAGTTTCTCTTTGTTACACCATTGCTCACCCAGGAAGTCTCTCCTCTCTGCAGACAGCCAAAGGTGCCTCACATTACAGATGTAATGCTGCCTTTTGTCATTCTTATTGGTATCTATAAAGAAATTTTAGAATTATGCTAAAAACATTAATATCATATCATATAGGACTGATGTCAGTTGCTAGGGGTGACTCTGTTACCAATCAATATATTATTTTATGCCAAACTTTGTTGGGATGATGCCTTGGGTTTACGTGACTAGGTTACGTTATCACATGAATTTGGATGTTATTTGTCAAAAATGATGGAGCAGCAATATTTTAGGCTAATTAGTAATTGAACTGAACGTGGAAAAGGACTCCATGTCCTTTTGATCTTAATGATAGCTATGAAGGACAAAATGAATCTCACCTTTGCAGACGTAAATGCAGGAGCCAGTTATTTTAAAACTACAACCACAGCATTGCTTTGTATTTTGGATGCCACAATTATAACTTTTTGGCATGTCACATATCAAGTAGAAAACATGGGGAGACAAGTAACTAACATTTGAATCCATTCCACAAATCCCGCAGCAGCGGAACTAAACCTCAACTCGAGGCAGTTATTGTCATCGTTATGGCCTCTTTTTCGAACTTGTAATTATTTCCAAGAAATAACCTAAATCCCATCAAATTTTCGGAAGCTTCTTTAGATTTTAATGATAATTTAGGCTTTAACAATTTAGTAAGAAGATAAATGCGCAGATTTAATGAAGAGACAGCTCTATCATTTTGCCAACAAGAGTTTTAGACTGCACAACTTCTTCTAAAAAGGTGTGAGCACTTTTCTGTTTTTCTTTTGCAAGTTACTCTTTTTATTTAGGTAATAAAGATTATGTAACGACAAAGTGGAGTTCCAAAAATAACGTATCTCAAATGTTACTTTCCAGTGATCCTTTGCCCTTATGCAAACTACCATCTTCGACGTAGGGGCTCAGTCTTTAGAAAATGTTAAAGGACCATACCCTTACCCTATTAAGCTTCTCATAAAAACACGCTTTCGTTAAGTCTAATGACACAGTCAATTCAATAATATGCAAAATTGCTGACTGGTCATTTGGGGTTCTGGAAACTGGTAGTTGTTTTAATAAACTAAAGTCACATTATCGACGAAAGAATCCCAACCACTCCCCGAATAAATCGTCTCAGATAAAAAATTATCAGTAGACATGTCTAGGATATTTTGATTACACGTATCTTTTTGCAAGAAACTAAGGTCCGATGCTGGTAGGCAGTTTCTTAAATTTTCTGGCCATTTTTCTATCAAAAGTTTCTTACATGTTTCTTAAATTTCCTAGATAATGAATTTTTGAACGTGCTTCCAGTGTAAAGTAAATAGTTCACTCACATTCAGAGATAAACTAACAAAATGATCAAGGAATTTTGTTTACCTAGAATGACTACCTCTGTTGTTATCTGTAAACAGTTAAGCTCATTGAATTCATCAATGACAATTTGAAGTCAAAACAAATTTTTAACGGAAACTTCTTGAATGTGCAATTTACTGAGAATGAATGCAAATTGCTTTCAAGTGTAGTGTTGCAATATACAGTGATGTTCAATGTCAAGACTGTTTCGAGTGTCAACTCGGAAAATTACTGCTGCAAATTATGAAAGTTTCCTAGTATTTTTCAATTTGGGTGGGGTCGTTTCTTAACATTCGAAAAATTGAGTCTATTTCTTATAAAAAGAATGTCCTCTAATGTATTTCCTCTAACGAACGCCGCCCTATGATAAACGCCGCCTCCATTTAACGCCGCACTCTCAGTCAACTATTTGTAATAAACGCCGCCCTCTGATAAAGCGGCGTCCATTGGTTTCCACTATGAGTTAACATGAGTTAATTTGAGATAATTTTGTGATCTGGCATAGTTTAAAAATTATCTCATAGTGGAAAGGCTCATTATAAATTGTCTCATGAAAATTAACTCGTGTTAACTTACCCTATCTCACGAGCTTGGAAACAAAAATTTTTATTTCAAATTCATGAGTTAACTTGAGATAACATCTTATCAAAGGGAGAGGAATGTGCTACCATTTGCACTGAGGTTCTTACGAAACCCCATTGCACTGAACCTTTTCTTTAGATGTTGAAAACAGTTTTCTTTACCAAAAAAAATCAATTGTGAAATAAGAGAAACATGTTCTCATTTCAAAGTTCCTGTTGCAAGTGGTTGTATTCACCAAACGCGTATCTTTTTTGGTAGATTTTCCGTCCCGAAGATATTTTCCTTCTACGTATTCTCAAAAGCAGAAGTAAAATAAGTTGTTCTTGTAAAATGCCCCCCATAGCTGCAAGACTCAAATGAAATGTGATTTATGGTGTTTCCATACTCAATTCTATCTCAAGTGGAAACCGAATCGGTACATGTGTTAATTTTGAGTTAGCTCTCGTTATTTCACGCTTTTTCACACTATCTCAAGACAGCTTGACCATGAGTTAATTTTAAATTTAACTCAGAATTATATCACGTTAACTCATAGTGGAAACCAAGCTTAAGAAAACAGACCAAACAAGAAGTAACGAATAGTTTATATGCTTACTATTCAAAAGCTATGAAGAAAGTTGTGGTTATAAATTTGTTGTGGTTATTCAATAAAACGCAAAAATCAGCAAATTAAGGGGTCCAATTCGAGAATTTACGGTAGCAGCGGGAGCCTTTTCGAGGGGGGGGGGCTTATTGACAAATTTTAGTTTTAGGGTGGATGCTTATTTGAAGGGGGAGGCTTTTTAAGGGGGGGGAGTCAATTCGAGGATTTGCGGTATTCCAACTCGTTTGCTACTTATTTGTAGCATGACCCTTTATAGCCAATCGCGCACACTCGACATTGGAAATCCCTTTCGGTGTGAAAGTCCCTTTTTCTTAAAATGAGCCCCGTTTCTCCGTAACCCGCCATATGTCGAAGCTGGGACATTTGAAAACTTTGACAGGGAAAATGTCTTTAGCTAACTTTGGCCAATACTGGTGCACCTATTTTTTCTAGCAGGCTTATTGGCTATTGACTGTATCGTCAGTCCGTCATTAAAAATATGGTTTCCAGACGTTTCAAAGAGCGTGTTCATTGTTTTGTAATTCTTGCATAATCAATCTTCAACATCGTTCCTTACAGAAGTCTCCTACATAAACTTAGTTATTACCTTCTCCTGCTTTGTGCATTAATGTCACATGTGAAAAGAATCCCCACCTCGCCTGCCTTGCAGGCAGGGCCGCCGAGACGGGTTGGGGGAGGCAGCAAATAGACCTTTGGCTTCAAACTGGAATTAATCAAACTTAGCAAAAGTATGTCTAAAAGAAGTAGGTAAGTCATTTCAAAATATTGCAAGGAATGAACAGAATATTGCAACAAATATTCTGAAATGCTGTTATAAAAATAATCCAAGGGGCACGGTTGCAAAAGCCCTCTGCTCGCTTCACTTTCAAGGGTCCTCCTCTTTCCTGTTGCCCCTCCCCCAGAGTCTCCGAAAACCTATCAGCGGCGCTGTTCATACATCGCTGTGCCCTCGAGTATCCCTCAATTTGATAAGGATAATTTGAACAAAAGGTAATTCGCCACAAAATGATTAACATTATTCTTTGTGACGAATTTCCGGCAGTTTAAAGAGTGTGTCACGTTACAGGGAAGGATGGGAGTGTTGGAGACATACAATGCCTGCCAAAAGTTCTTGGAACACCTAGCAATTTGCATAACATTTCATATCTTCATTCCTTTTCCTTAAAACAATTACTACTTCTGCCCCTTCCTTCTAGAACAATGCTGATAATGTAGAAAAATATCATACAAGAAGCGCAAAATAAATTACTTCCTAATACCGTAAATCCTCGAATTAGCCCCCTAGAGGCTTATTTATTTTCGATATTTTTAGATGGGGACTTATTCAAGGGAGGGAGGCTTTTACGAGTGGGGCTTATGAAATTATTGTGGACATTAAGAAGACATTATTAAAAGAGGTCGTTTATTCTAGTAGGAATTTATTTATGAGCATTTAACTAATTACTACCAAAAGTATGAATTTGTTGTGGTAATTCAATAAAACGCCATACACAAACCTTAGATGGCAAAAGTCATCAAATGGATGAGTCCAATTCGAGAATTTACGGTAGCAGTGGGGGCTTGTTCGAGGAGGGGGGCTTATTGACAGTTTATAGTTCTAGGGTGGGGGCTTATTCGGAATTACGGTATTCTAACCCGTTTCATAGTAAACCAACATTGTTGCTTGGGGGAGGGGGGGATGATTGATTTTGACCTTGGTAACTGACGTCAGTGTTCCAAAAATTTTGGCAGGCATTGTAGAATGTAGATATTTGTAGATATATCAAGACGTTCGCGTGGCAACGCGTATGGCAGGGGGTTTCAGGTGTTTCAAGAAAAATGTGAACAATAAACATTTATCAGGGTATGCAAATTTTTGATCTGGCCTTTCTTTTTGCTGAGTCTGTGTGCCTATTTAAATTTTTCTCTTACAAAGTAAGCTGCTGTGTTTGATATTAAGCAGAGACGTAAAAGCGTCCCCAGAGGTAACGAGATGGGGGCCTATACCCTGGATACCAGAGCCTTAGGGAGACACTCGAAAGGACCTAGTAATAGCCTTAAAAATCATTTGTTCAATTTTTACCCAGTTCCGTAAGAAGAGAGTGTATGTCTGTATGTCGTTAGTTTTCTTGATTTGCTGATGGGACACAAAATTCGCTGGCTTTGTTCCAGGGTGTGCCGCATCCCTGCCCCTTCTTAGCGGCAGCTGATGTTGAGAGGTACTTTCTCCTTGGACCGTCTTTCTCGGACGACACTCAATCTTTCTTCGTCTAGATTTTCTGCGCTAAGGCCAAACTTATAAATCTTATGCAGGAAGAAGTCCCCTAGTTCATAATCATGATCTATGTGCGGTTTTGCGGCGCAACCAAATGTCTTTTACGCAGTGGCGTAGATAGAGGGGGGTCAGAGGGGGGCGACTTCCAGAACATGATAAGCTTTTATCTCATGTTTAATTCCAGTTATAATGTCGGTTTGTTGTGTTCAAGCTCATGAAAAATAGAAATATTTGTTAGATTTCGTCGGAAATTCAAACATTTTTCTTCTTACCTATGCCACTGCTTGTACGTCTATTGTTTTGTGAGTGACCCCCGTTGAATGAAAGTTAGTGACGTTGATAACGTCTTGAAAAGCATGACACTGTCGTCTCTTGGAACACGAGTGTGTTACAGCAAGGGCGCGAAAGACTCAGGCGCGAGAACAGTTCCAACATGCTTTCAAATAAAGGGTCGTCAAGCAGTTTTGAAACGAAAATTATAATTGGGGCTCAATGGGGAGATGAAGGAAAAGGAAAGATTGTTGATCTATTGGCTGAAGATGCAGATTTAGTTTGTCGAGGACAGGTAACACTATGCAGATAGATCTAGGCCATCTTGTGCTTTTCATCTCTTTTAGACCAATATTATTTTTCTTGCGATCAACCAATTAATTCTACAATTGCAAAGATCAATCTTAAGTTTGAATATATTTGATTTTTTCAAGTATTGTATATTGGACATAGTATGTTGGATAATTAATACGTTGCATCTGCAGCTATAATGAAAATAACCTGATACATGACATCCACACTGCTAAGTTTGGGTAACCCGTTCCCCGCGCAATAATTTTTTGCTCATTTTTGCCCAAATCCCGTCCGCCCATTTTTGCGAATTTAGATTAACCCGCGCAGTTGGAACATGGACTTTTGCGTGAATTCCGCGCATAGCCTAATCTCGAGCCTTAAAAATGCTATTTAAAAATGAAATCCCGCAGCTTTTAACCTGTTATTTTGCAACATGATTTGTTCCCGCGCAAGCGCCACGCAAGCGACAGAAAATAATTCCCCGCGAACAAAAAACACTTTGCACTCTGGCATGACATCAACTGCACACATCTTAACTCAACATTTTGTTTATAAGGATGACTTTTATTTCTCTTTGTTTGGCTGTTAAACCTCGAATAAGAATAAGGATATCGGTTATCCAGTTAAAGTTGAACTGATACGCAAAATTAACTTGACCTTAAATGAAAGCTTATCCAACATAAATACCTGAGACATATAAGTTTTTAATATATAAAATAGTGGGCCAACATATAAAATATAGGTAGCAATGAATATATTCGCAGGATCTTTTATTTTCTGGAAACGTAGGAAAAATACTTTTTTATAAAAAACATTTTTCTATTACACTAATTTATCAGGGCAGCACTCCCCCCCAAACAAAAAGCTGTATCTCTAACAAAGATTTGGAATTTAAGTCACTCTTTTTCGGCCTATTCTTTATTCAATCACATGAAAGATTTATAGTGGTTGAAAACCTGGTACGATCGTGTGGTTATTTGCAGGAAAACAACTTTGTAAAAATCACAACTCCCAGGCCTCTGCATTCCTGTAACTCGGGTGAACCGATGAGTTTGCAAACACAAAATAACATTCATTATTTTTTTGGATCTAGAAATATTGTATAAAAGTAATAATGTTTTGGATTTGTTCGAAAAAATTATGCTAGATTCATGATAAAATGAAAAAAATCTTACATTTGCCAGCATGATTAACTTCAGAATTGTCAATTCTAAGAAAACTCTAAAAACAGGGTAAGCTGTTCTCACAAATATATATCTTCTTTAGAAATTTTCTTATTTTTAATAACCTCTCCCATAATTTAGATGCAATTGATGATACCCCATCCCAAAATTTTAATTGGAAAAGGTTGGGTTACCCTGTCTGGCAGTAGATCCCATCAGGTCAAGTATGGGAGTGCCCCTGGGAACGAAACCTCTTCTACTGGGGTTAGATATAAGTAAGATAAACTTCTTCCAAATTATTTTAATTTCCTGGTTTTCAAAATTGGATTAACCCCCATTGTTTTATAGTTTTCCTGTCTATCTTTCAACTTTGGGGCAGTGTTTCTATGATTCAAAAACCTTCTTCTTCCAAACATTGGCCTCCCCTTATAGTCATGCCAGATATTGCTTGAATAATTGTGACTGAAAAAGGAGTGGGACTGTGAGCAGAGTAGGACTATGCGCATAGTCTTATTGAACAGTTTTACTTGTTTAGGCCTAGATTTTATTTGTAACCCACAGTGAGACTTCAAGTTGGGTGACAATAAGTGGAATTAACATTCCTTTTTCTGTATACACACCAATTGGCATCACTTTGATTTTAACCATAATTAATTTTTTTTCAGGGTGGTAGCAATGCTGGACACACTGTTGTTGTTGGTGAAACTTCCTATTTCTTTCATTTAATCCCAAGGTATTTTAAGAGAGAAACACTTTTATTTGGTAGGTTGTTTAGGGGGTGTGTAAGACAACAGCTCTTTTCATGTCATAAAAGTTAACCATATATTTTCTAAACTAATGAAGTAATGGATTATTAAAGTTATAATTTAATAAATAACAATCATTTGCACAGGGCAAAACAGCAATATTCCTTGACTGATGTTATGGTTTTGCATAAAATGGTAATTTCTTTGTGTGGACTAAATCCGTGTCCCTTGCAGCATCCAACACCCTTGCAGAATTGTTTGTACAGACTAATAAAAGTATATGCTATAAACTATTAACCCTGCAAGATACACAACATCAATACCATATGTGTAATGGGACTTTCTCTCCAAAAGGTGAAGTTTATAACTATGTACATATATATATATATTTATCTATGATAATTTTTCCATTTGACTTTGTTAAGAATTAGTGTTTTTATTTTATTTTTAAAAAATCATTGCCATTCTGCTCGCCTTGGTAACATTTATTTTATGAACAGACCAGTATTATAGATGTCAGACAGTTTATTGCAGAAATTTTTAATTTCACAACATTTTCCTATATAGTTTCACAGTTCTCTTTATTAAGCAATGCATCCCTTACCAATAACTGTCTTTATCTGGAGTGACGTGATTTTGCGATGAAAGTATTTCCTATCAATTTTAGTGGAGTGACAAATCAAGCTTGCAAAGCTGTCATAGGTAACATTTGTTTAATACATTCTCTGGTGTTGATCTTGTTAAGTTTACCTTATTGCACAAAGATAGGCCTTATTTATATAAGCTGCATTTTAATTATGCCTTTCTTCTCATTAGTAACATTAATAGAGTAAAAAAACCACACAGACATCAAAAAGGACCAGGAAAAGGATATTGTTATAGTTTAAGAAACTGAATTTTGAATTTTTGAAACAATTTTGAAACTGAATTTTTTATATTATGCTGGTGTTTTCTTGTTTTAGTTTACAAAACCATAAAATGAATTTTAGAGTGAAAGAAAAAATTAATTCATTTGAAGTAAATAAATCAAAATTGCAATTACTCCTGCTTTACTGTAATTCCTGTATTAACTTCTAGGAAATGGAGTTGTTTTGCATCTTCCGACCTTTTTTAAAGAACTGGAAACAAACACTGCAAAGGGTATTCTGTTAATGAAATTAAAATTTGCTTTTCTTCACAAAACCACATCATTCTTGGTTGTCATACCAGTTTTTATTCTTCAGAAGCATGTTAAAGATTTTTTCAATGTTCGATATAGAATTCTTATACCTAGGAAATATGTATACCTCGCTTCATGAATGTTGTAACAATTATAATAAGTACTGTATTCTCATTGTAATCCTACTGCAGTTTATTGTTTAAACTTACTAATTTGATGCACGATTATTAGAGAGACAGGATTATCAGGTAGGGGTGATTAATTTCTCAATGTGCATGTAGGAAGCAGGGTAAAATTTTCAACATTTTATCCAGTGTTTTGGTGTGGAAACTTTACATAGTTTGTATAGAAAGTTGATTGGAAACTTACACTGGTTGGCTGAAACATTAAGTCTGGTTATAGGGAATATTTTGTTTATTTAAACAGCAAGGGCCAGGTCGAAAACGCAGAAAAGCTATAACCACACCAAAAGCTTTTCTGTGCCATTTAAACCAGAAATTATGAATCGCATCCCTTAATGAAATATTTAGCTTCAAGGCCCCCAATCAGCCACACACCTGCTAAAATCTTTGCCCAGAGGCCTGAACTTTCTTGAACATACCTTCATTACATTACCTCATCAAAGGCAGCCCATGGGGTAATAGCTCTATTGTGATCAATTTTGAGTCATCTTTTCTTTTCTTCAGGTTTGCATGACATGGAGAAACGAATTGAGATCTCAAACAGAGCTCACATTGGTATGCTATTTTGTTTATGATTTTTTCTTTACTTGCCATTGTTTGCAACTCTGTTTTGTAATTTTTGTAGAAATTTAAAGCTTACATTATGTGATTTTTTTTAGTTTTTGACATGCACCAGACTGTAGATGGTCTTCTTGAAGGATTGAGAGGGAAAAAGAGGTTATATGGCAACTTTGTTACATGATATGAACTATGATATTATGTCAACGAAAAAATAATGAATGACAAGCTTGTTTGGATTCTGCAAATCTTGATGTGATTCAGTCCTTTTCGTGAGCAAAATTACGCGTGTGTGGCAAATCGCACATGTAAACAAATTTGCGCGTGCGATCGCACTTGTAAGAAAATTTGAAGTACAAACCTGATAAAATTGGTAAAAGGAGCAAGAAGGAAAAAGCCATTCGAATACGTGCAAGAGCAAAACTCAATTAATCAATACATAACAGATTTTGTTGCCCTTAGCAGCCATCTTTTAAAAGTCGTCGTAACTCTCCAAAGTTACAAGAGCAAGTAAAAATTGTTTCCAACAGCTACTTGCTTTCAGGGCCTAATTACGTTTTGACAGGAAATCAGTTATTACACTTAACATGCTAATGGCGACTTAGCTGAAAGACGAGACGCTAAGTTGAATGGAGCACTCAGTCAAAAGCCAAACATCACTTCCGAAAATTGGAAAAATCATATTGTGGTCAAAAGTGCGAATCAAGTAACAAGGGAAAGGATAAACAATGAGACCATGGGAAATTGATGTTAAAGGGCCTCTCCAGCAAAAAAAATTTTTTTTTAATGACTTAAAAGTTAGCATCTGGTGCGTGTATTATGACAAAGTCATTGTTTTTGAAAAATTCCAATTAGTTTAGAAGTTGTAAGGCTTTAAAGTTGCACCTTTCCGAGAAAAAAACGACAAAAGCCGAATCAGTTTGGTGACATTCTGACGTCACAATGTGCGGCTCTCGTTCGCCATGAATTTCGTATATCTTCCACCGAAGCGTGAAGGACTCATGGTCACGCGTTGATAACTGCATCCAGTTCCAGTTCCTGTTCCAGCTCTTCCCTCGCGTATAATTAATCGAAATTGTCACTTCAGTTGTTCTCCAGAAACGATGAACAACTAAAGGCTTCAGAATTGGTGTCTGAAATGCTCAAACTAAAAGCTGGCGGAACAGAACTGAAAGTACCATCACTTGCAGTGTTCAATTTGCGAATCGCCGTCGTTCGATTCGGTTTGAGGCGAGACTATCCGAAATACACTGTGACGTCAAAATTGCGTCACAGTGTCACCAAACCAAAAATTTTTGTCGGTTAATTAAATTAAATTATCGAAATGCAAGAGCTTATATCTCACAAACTGTAAAAAAATATCGAAAAACAATTCGTGATCACAAGGCTCAACTTCTTTATAAAAATTGCCAATAAAATGCAAGTGCAAAATTTGGCTGGAGAGGCCCTTTAACAGAAAACTGCTAAAACACCTGTTTGCGCGTGTGGTCAAAAGCACGCGCAATTTAACTTGCGCGTGTGCAGGCGTGTGCGGGTGCGATCGCACGCGCTAAACGAAAAGGACTGGTGATTTATTTTTCAAAAGCATATTTTAGAGCCAATCAATATACTGGTAGATCAAAGTTGACAAAAAGACAAAAAATACTTATAGTTAGTAGTGGCATAAAAACATCTCCCTTCAAATAAGAAGGCTTCTGTTATGATAATGCAATTGAGGAACAATAAGTATCTTTGAGAAATGCATTCCTTATACTAATAAAATGTCCAAAGCTGAATTCAAAAGTAAAGACTTAATAACAAGAATAAGGTAGCATACTTTTTTGATCAATCATATCATCCCGCAATTAAAAGCCTTGACTGTTGGCTTCAAAAAATATTCCTTTGTCAAATTTGCAAACTTCAGGAATTTCTAAGTTTTCATTTACAATATAATGCATATTTTTAATTTGTTCTGCAGACCAGCTCTGCTCAAATTAAACCCAGGGCATTTTCCTTTGATTTTTATTATCAGAACTATGTTTTGGCAACCATTTAATTTGCATGCGTCAAAGATTTGCACATGTTTAAAGTTAAACAGACATTTTTGCTGCAGCCTTCAGTATCCATTTTATAACAAATAGGGGAAAACTTTAAGTTAAGCACCTAATCTTGGTAGCACACTCAGGCCTGATGTCCTGATGGACAACAGCTTTCTAAATTAGCACTTTTCTGCTGGTTCTGTTAATATCTCTGGCCCATTTGCAGTTTTGTTAAAAAATTATGCTAAAAGCAATTTATTTTTGTTTTTGAAGCATTGGAACTACCAAGCGAGGTATTGGCCCAACTTATGGAACAAAGGTTGGTGCTTTTATGTGTCTTTTTCAGCATAACATTTCGTAAATTTTTTTTTACCTATTTGTTCCCATGCTTCAACCCATTTATTGTTACCTCATTAATCCAAATAAAAATGTGTGGTGTAAAAATGTAGTGTAACCTTATGGTGCCGAAAGGAGTTCATTGGGATAAGGCTGTTAACATGATAAAACAATCTGATTTGAAATATTTTCTCTCAATTCTGCATCACATATTTTAGGCAGTATCCCAAAAAAAATAAGTTTTGATTCTAGGCAGTACCCACACAATAAAGGCTTGATTTTCTTGTACCTGCTTTTTGATGCATCAATCACATTTTGGTTGCCTACATTGCTCTATAAATCCTATTTTAATCCTATTACTCGCTTATTAATCCTATTTTTAGGCCTTGAGAAATGGGATCCGAGTTTGCGACTTGATGGGAAATTTTGAAATCTTTAAAGAAAGGTATGCATGTTTCACATTAATTTTTTGTGTATACAAAAGATAATTTATTTTTATCCAAGCAGATGTTCTTAAACATCTTTGTGGTTATCTTTCAAATCCCTATCGTGTGTATTATACATATTTCAGATAAATTGTCAAAAACCTTTTTCAATTTTTTATGTCAAATAGGAAGTCTCTTAATGCAGATAAATGATTACTGATTTTTTCAAGTTTTTGTGACTTTTAGATATCGCTAAGCATATATAAGGATTTCTACTAGTGAGAAATCCTGCATTATCATGATATGATCTGTATCCTTTTGCATAGATATTTTGTTGTTGTTGTAGGTTCAAGGCTCTTGTCAGCTACCACAAGGCTGTGTAAGTGTGTGTTTTCAGTGCATTTTTCAAACAGGTTTGCAATACTCCTATAGTATTGCTCTTAGGCACGATTGTTAAGTTCGAGATAAAGATATGCGATTATAGAAATAAAGTGTAACTCAAAATCTCACTAAATATTGTCAAACCGGATTTTATACCTCAGAATATCATCACATCATAAGTCAAAGTGTGCAGCTTTTTGTTCAAAATTTGTTGAAAAATATTGAAAAAATATTGACTTAAAGTTGAATAAAGCAAAAAATTGATCAAATCTAGGCTAGAATCTAAATTGCGATGAAATAACGATAATTTCTTACAATATTCGCATTGATTTCTTTTTGATGTTTATCCCGTAGGTTTCCTGAATTAGAGGTTGACGTAGATAAAGAACTGGAGACGTATAAGGTATGATATACACTTGTCAATGGCAAGAAATCTCAATATCTTATAAATACATAGTGTTAATGCCATTTTGCCATCTTACAAGTACTTGTTCTTATATTCTGTTTCATAGAATTTCGCCACAAGGCTTCGTCCGATGGTGAAGGACACGGTTCTTACACTGTATGATGCTCTACAAAGTGGAAAAAGAATTTTGATCGAAGGGGCCAACGCCACCATGCTTGATCTTGATTTTGGTGAGGATTCCTAGGCTCAGAGATCTCTAGTATTTGTCTAATTTTTGAATGAGTTGACATATGCTATTCACTAGCCTCGATTATCTTCTAATTATTCATGACAGAAGTTTTCAAGAAAACCATCGGTATCAAAATGGGTAGCCAATACTGCCTCACGTCTTGTTAGTTGCGACTAGCCCTTGCAGTTGTATTCTTAAGTTTGGAATTTTTCGTAAAATTGTGTCCCGTGTTGCCTTTTTCTTCTTTCTTTTGAAATCAAACGCAATCAAGAAAAGATTTATGGTAACAATCTGCATCTAACTATGAAGTAAATAAGAGATTTGATTTGCAGTTGACAGAAGATTTTGATTTGAAAAGGTGGGACTTGACCTCATGCCTACGAACTGATAGTACGAAAATTTCGTCACTGGCCGCAGACTTTCACTGGCAACAGAGATTCTCTTTTGTGCTTGTCCTTAATTTGCTTTATAAAAACAACTTGAAACCCAATGTCTATGTAGCGATTCTGGCTTAAAGAGCTTTTGAGCTAGATTTTCTTGGGGTGGGGGGGGGGGGGTTTCTAAAAAGTGTGGAATTATCGGTATGAGTTTTTTAAATTTGTGCGGAACTATGGGTACCATTTAAAGAAACATGCGGAATTATGGGCACCATTATGGGAAAATATTGCAAAATCATCAAGGAGATTGAGCATTAACAAAATGAATGTCCAGTTAGAATTAAAATATGAAATATGTGTAGTATGAGATTTTGGAGCATAGGACATGCAAAATTTGGTTGATGACTTTTTATGTGCTTTAAAAATTTTATTTGCTCTGCAGATTTGTGGGTAAAGTTTTCATCGTGTTTGCGGAATTATGGGTCACAATTTTTCAGACTTTTGCGGAATTATGGGTCCATATTTTTAACCAAAATGGCACGTCCCCGTCCAAAATTAGGCATAGTTTACCCCCGAGTAGTTTTTTGTGAACAGATATGAATTTCGTCAAACTTAAGCTTTAATCAAGATCCCTTTGTTTATCGTATGAAGTTTGTTACACGCTTATCGCATATCAAATCTTTTCAACTTATCGCATGTATATTTGAAAATATATTTATATTTCTTTCAAAGGAACCTATCCGTTTGTGACATCATCGACCTGCTCCGTTGGGGGTCCACTAACTGGTCTTGGCATTCCGGCAACAAAAATTCAAGAAGTCATCGGAGTCGTCAAGGCTTATACCACAAGGGTTGGTTCAGGAACCCTTCCGACTGAGTTAACTGATGTGAGTCTAAAGTTAGAATCAATCACTTTCAAAGATCTGTGCATGTCCTCTTTCAACATTGCGAACCAACATGATTTCAAAGACCTTCGAAATTCTCTTCCAGTTGTAATAACAAAATGATCAAAGGTTTTTCTATCAAAGATTTGGGGTATAGCTTTCTCCTTTAGTTTTGGACTATACAACCATGCTGGACTGAGATTTCTTTCATTGACAGTATTTGAGACAACATAGCAACAACTAAGGATTCGCAATAAATTAGAGTCGTTCGAAATTTTTACATTTTCAAGCGGTAGTGTGAATTCTAAAAATCCTGGTTAAACGTACAATTACTGCCAAAATTACTTGGAACACCTAACACTTTGCTCTGTGCTTTTCTATTTTCATTTGTTTTCTGAATACTACCACTTCCGCCCCCCTTTCCCCCAAAAACAATGTTGAAAGTATAGAAAAATATCAAACAATCCACACAAAAAAGCGTACTCCATAACCCCTTCCTTTTTTCTATAGTAAATCAACATTGTTCCTAGGGAGAGAGGGGGATGGCTGACTTTGCCTTTGAAAACCTACGTTGGTGTTCCAAGACTTTTGGCAGTGATTGTAGTTTGTAGCTCAGTGTGAACGAAAAACTGGTTCCAGATAGCATAAATCTTGCATTTCCGAGATCTTACTCGAGCAAGGTATTTTAATTTGCGTTAGTTAATTCAAGGCACATTGAAAATTTGTTCCTTGCAACGAAAGTACCACTTATCCAGGGTCGTATTTATCAAGAGCTTGTTCCGAGGCACAGAAGTATCTTTTGGGTGTCTGGTCCTGCAACTTATCTTTCCATACAATTGCCAACCAATTATTGTATGTATTCGACCATTCCTCCTAAAATTGTTTCATAGGAGATTGGAGAAAAACTGCAGAAAACGGGCCACGAATTTGGGACTACGACTGGTAGGCCGCGAAGGTGTGGATGGCTCGACCTTGTCGTTGTTAAGTATGCCAACATGGTCAATGGATTTACAAGGTATGCTTTACAAATTTGATTAATCACTCTTTTCCAGGAGGCACGTGACAGTGTTAAGTTGCTGCTCCAAGTTTCACGCTAAATGTGATCACATTGTTTTATACACCATAGCGTGTACAGTACTGTTTATACTGCATCGAACACTTTGTGACAAATTGTTAAATAGTGATTTTTCATTTTCGTAACTTGGTGTTTGTTCTGCATAGCATCGCCCTCACTAAGCTGGATGTGCTAGATGATATTTCAGAAATAAAGATTGGTGTTAATTACTTGTACAAAGGAGAACGTTTACCTGCCTTTCCAGGTTTGATTTTTGCCAGTTTCCTTGTATGACTGCTAGAATGCGCTTGTGTACTGGTCATGTGCTTCGGTATTTCTGAATGGCCTATTTTGATTTAGAACTAGTTATATACATTGCCTGGGGTAGAATTTTATATTTATGTTCTGACATTTTTTACTCTAACGAGTGTCAGACAAAAATATTTAGTAACATTATTATATATATTTCCTGAGGTAGAGTTTTCTATTTATGTTCTGACATTTTTTTCTCTAACGAGTGTCAGACAAAAATATTTAGTAACATGTTTCAAAATGTTTGCGTTTTCAAAGCCTTTTTCAAGCATGAAAATGTTTTCAGATGAACTGTAGAAGGACAAATTTCTGCTTTGCGAGTTTCAATGACGCCAGGGGGAATCAGATTCTAATCTTGAATTTCGAGGTGTCTGCTGCCAACTTTAGAAATGTAGTTTACATTACAATCTCCAAAGTAAGAAGCAAATTTGTGTTGTAGTGGCACTCTTTGACTAAAAAATTCCTTCGCAGCAAACATGGAAACCTTAGCTGAGGTCGAAGTCGAGTACATAACTTTACCTGGCTGGAAAACCAACATCAGAGATATCAGAAAATATTCTGATTTGCCTGCAAATGCGAAATCTTACATCGAAAAAATCCAAGAGATTTTACAAATTCCAAGTGAGTGTTTCTATCACTTTGCGTGTATTTCTGTTCACTCTTATTGTAATAAAGTGATGAAAAACCAAAGACTAGAGCCCAGACTATATTTTATGGTTCATGGTTCCGTTGTTATTGTTGTGATTGCCTAAGCACATGTGGAATTTTCTGGAGTCGTTTTGAAGCCGGTTCATAATTGTTTAAACTTTTATCACTGTGTGCTGAAGCATTATTGATAATGTAATTTAAGGATTTCTGCAGGCCCCCCCCCCCCTCCCCCGATTTGTAACCGTTTTGGAAAATAAACACTGCCGAGTTGCTAAATGGTCAGGAATGAGTGCGAAATCTTCTTTAGCCAAGTAAATAACACGACATATTCTTCTGTCCTTTCCAATTTCTTTGATCAGTATTCTGTAACCAGTATTATATCATTTTAACAGTTTGTATTGCAGATATTTTATTCTTCAAATACCATAAAATAGTTTTGTTTTATACATTCACAGTTAAATGGGTCGGTGTTGGTCAAAGTCGGGCTGCAATCGTTCCGGTGATGTAGAAATGTTCCTGCTTTTTCTCTGCAAGGATGATGGCTATTGCTTACAAATGTTTTTAGCTTCTGGGGTCATTATAGTCGCAGCATATATTTGTACTACCAAAACTTCGATAAAATCGGCCATAGTTGTAGCACCATTCTTTTTGCACACTACCATTCTATGCCAGGCTCAATTCCATATTGCAGAGCACATACCTCTCGCCCTGTTATAGGTCCATTTTATCTCAAGCTAAAAATGGCAGGGCTGTTGGTTGAAAAACGACAGATAATAGCAGGGGTGGACAATTCCGGTAAAAAGGTGGTCCCCCGGTGGGAGGCCAGCAACTCTTTCAGTGGTCTCCCGCATATAGCCTGTTGTCTCCCAAAACGGAACTCTGGCGACCGGGGTGGACTTTTCGTGTAAAAATTTGGTCGCCCGGCGGTTACTCTGTATAACGAACAATAAGCGGTCTCCCCCAAAAAAGAGCGGTCATCCTGGGTGCGTGGGACCAAGAATTGTCCACCCCTGTAATAGACGATGTTTGATTTGTATACTTCAGTCACCAGCTGTCCTTTTGCCAGACAAAAACCTGTTTACTCTATATTGTTAACGCATCTTCCCTTGGAATTTCAAATGTTTTATGTACACGCTAAACTTTGGCAGCAAACATACCAAAATACACTGGTTAAAATCTCCGTACCATTGATAATGCTCTGTGAAACGTAAGCAAAAGGAAGAAGACATCTTAAATATTCACGATGATTTGCAAACTCATTTCGTCATGTGTTATATCAGTTGAACAGCTGTTTTGCTACTTTGTTTTCTAAATAGAATTCCTGCAATTAATAATCGTAAAAATGTTGTCGGTAAAACTGAAAAAGCTTTTGTTTGTGTTGTTCAATTGCCGTATGTCTGCTGGATATTTATTTAGCTACATCTCATATTTAATTTTTTTTCCAATTTAGATATAGAAATTTTTTCGAAAGATTTGTAATCAGCACGTCGAGGTTTGAAGAGGAATATAATCGTTGTGTGGCTTAGTGAAGTGAATCCTTCAAAGCTAGCAAAGACGATAAATTGTGCTATTTTCGTACTATACTTTATAATCTTGCTTATGGTGTTATTGTCTAGCAATTTTGCTATTTAAATTAGTATAATTGCACCGTATCTCGCGTAAGTTTTATTGATATACTTTTGTTTTTCTTCAACTTAGGACTTTTTTCATTGTTTGATTATTCTTTTTGCCGTATTCTCCTTCAGTGGCAGTTTATATTCCAGATTCTTGCCACAACGTTGCTCCTGATTTCAATGGCCACGCATTTCAAGTTTTCTTACCACCTCAAATTCTCCTTAGTTTAGTCCAATCATTTTCAAAACAGTTCATGCATATAAAACCTTTTGGAATCCATCCACTGCCAAGATGCCACAATGACGTGTTTTGGAGCCTTTTATGTTATTTGCACCCATTTTCATTCTAAGAAAGGCTTTTTGGCTACTTTAGAGTGTTCTGAAATGGATTTCAATTCGCTGCTACTGGACGCCCTTTTTTTCTGTAAGATGAATTTTTGCTATCCCATGAATTTTAGATCCATTTCTGTTTAATAAATGCATTAAATGTTTGCTTTGCCACGAATCAGGTCAAAAGGCAACTTTACCTAAGGCTAGTGCCTTACATATGAAATGTGTTCTTTTAGGTTTGATCAATTTTCAGTATGTACATCTTGAAGTATCCCGTGGTTAAATAATCACGTAATCAATTTATTTAAATATTAAAATTTAAATAAACGCAATTAATTGTTTGCAAGTCAGCGTTAGCAGAAAAGTGCAAAAGAAAGAATACCAAATCTTTTTCTTTTTTGCATCGATAACATGGGCAACTTTTCCTTGAGAATCAATGATACATTGGTCCTACATATGATACGAATATGCACTGGAACTCTTACTTGTGCAATTCAGGTCACAGTTTATAAAAAGTAAAGCTCGTATCTTTGTTGCCCATCTATTCATTTTTACATGACTTGGGACGGTCATAGCTTTTTTTAAAAAACCAGCCAACTCCGCTATGCTAAACAGGTTTTCAAAATTATGCTGGTTTCTCAAACTGTTGCTCATCCGTTCACTGAGAAGTCTTTTGGAGAATTATGTAACAGGTATTTTGCCAAGATAGCTTGATTAAATGAAATTTAATCACGTTTAATATCTGACAGGGTACGCCTTATCGGTGCCCCTTGGGCTTTTGTTTTTGGCACAGATACACGATTTTGAGTTTGTGTTTGTTGTTGCAGTGCTCGAGTAAGCATCACATGGTGTCTTCTACGTGCAAGTGTGCATTGGCCTTGGGTATATATTCTTTATACTGGCATAGTTTCTTCATTGCACGTTACAAGACAACCTCAAAGTTGGACTGTGGAGAGCAAAGCTTTTTCCTTGCGACCCTACCTACCCCACCCATGTCTAAGTATTTTCTGGTTTTACATGCACGTTAACTTTCTTTTTCTTTTCTTCGTGCATTCGTTAATGACCGAATGGCTTGCGACTTTTGCATGAACAAGATGTTGCTAGTCGGCGGAAGAAGGCAATTGTTTCTTCTTCTCAACCCAATCAAAAATGGTTGGGATTTTATTTATGGCCCTCTTTGCGATTGGCTTTTCACCCAAAATACTACTAAAACAATCCCAAAAGTATAAATGAATACACTCTATTTTTTATTTATCATATACTTCACACTGGCATAAGTGTACTCGCGATAAATAAGACTGGCTCAATGCAGCATCCTTGCGGGATGTTTTTGGTAAATGCTGAACGAAACGTCGCGGGAACGGCATATTTCTTGTATACCTTTGTTTTTTAGTTAGCTTTATAAATTTTGTACGAGCTTCGGTTTTCTTGTCTAGAGAACGGTTGTTCTCGTCGAGATTTTGTCATAATATTTCTTGAATCCTGTTATTGCTATTCAAATTAAGCATAATTTCAATGCTATGTTTGGAAAATATCATAATTTTCGTCGTTTGGTAAAATAGCCTTTTGAAGATAACTTGTTTGTTAATATTTAACAGTATAATTTTAACAGTTTAGGAAGCAGTTTTTTAGGTAATTGTTTGAATCTTCTTCAGAAGAGCTTTTTTGTTTCAAATAAGAAGGTTAATTGACATTCATAAACTTAGTAAACGGTGTTTTGTAAACCAAAACTTGCTAGACAAAGAACAGATCGTTTGAGGTAAAGTAAATATCTTATATTTATTAGGCGAGAAAACAGCTTTGGCATGCGATCGAGTCGTTCTCGTCGTTGGTATCCTCAAAGCCAAACGAGTTTGTTAAAAGCATGCATTCAAATTTAGGTAAATATTCATTCGATTTTGATTAATACTTTTTTGTGTGACGTAACTGATTAACACATAGGAGGTTAGATTCGGTTTCATCTGCTTCCTTGTCTTACATTTTTCAAGTATACTGCGGCGGGGGGCAGATAAAGAGGTCACCACTTTGTGTCAATTATTCATTAAAATCAAGCGTCAAACATGGTAGTTATCCATATCTTTTGAAGAAGTGTTTGATGGATTTTTAAAAAAACACAAGTTGTTTACCGCGCGCGTTGCGGACACCGGCTAGGCCCATTGATGGTGCTCGACATTTTTATAAAAGAATGTTTACATGTTTACGCGCGCTTTTTGCCTCTCAATGAAGCCATTATGAAAAGAATTGCTTTTCAACGATGGCCTGTTTATGACCTCTGTCATCGTTTATTCTAATTCTGTAGATACCGTCTGGCCGTTCTATTTTAAAGTTGTTTCCCTCATCTTATACTCTTCTTTCTGATCTGTTAATTCTGCTTCCGCAACACTTCTCTAAATTCTTTTAATGAAAAAACTGCTCCCGTGCTTTCATTACTCATCGCTGGGAGATGCTTTAAAGAGATCTCTTTCAATTAATCCGTGTGATATTTGTTTGTTACAGAGTTTAGCAAGCAATTTTCTCGTGCATACGCTGACAATTAGACTCGAGTTTGTAGCCTATTTTGAGTACCGTTTACCACGCAATGTCACAGGCAAAAAGTAAATGTTTCCACGATAGCAAGTTTCTTCCAACAATTTGTTTTCTGCTTTCAGTACCCTTTACAAAATTCTTTCACGCTTATTCCCATCAAAGCCTTTGTAATTTGTGCGGTTTGTGTATTTTGTCCATAAAACAGCTCAGGATCTAGAATTATATTGTACAAAGCAGCATTATGTCTGCTACCCTGATTTTGATGGTAGCTGAAGTACATATGTTCCCTAAGAGGTTTAGAAAGGGAAGAAAGATAAAAGTATAAATGGTAAATAGAAAGAAATGAAAGAAAGAAATTGATAGGAGAAACCATAAATAAAGTTGATTGGTTGTATAACAAGGGGAAAATTCGTTGTACATATCTGAAGTGAAGGATTTGTAAAGATACTTCGTAGAGAATGCGGGAGAATAACCGGCCAAGGCGAGGCTGGAACTCACGTCCCCTAACTTTATACGTCAAGTGCTCTACCACTGAGCTATCGGGTCATCATGACGTACAAAGTCAGGGGTCGTGAGTTAGAGCCTCGCTCGGGTCGGTTATTGTCCCGCATTCTCTACGAACTATCTTCAGATATCCTGTTGTCTATGACGATTTGTAAAAGACTAAAAGAAATTTTGCTTGCTCCGTTTGAAGTGGATGCTATTTGCTTTACTTATAAGAACTTGCACTGACAGTTGTAAACATGCTAGAGGAATGAAACAGAGAAAGGCCATCCGTGCATTATGTGTAGCGAATGCTGATTGCGTTTACATAGTAGAATTAGATTCCGCAGTAACTGTACGATGTCGTTCCGATAAAAAAACAGGCTTATCTACGATATTTACATAGTAATTGTATTTTTGAATCCGGCGATTGCATTCCGATGTCAAACCAATATGTTTTAATTGCTTTTAAACAATCACAAATCTAGCACTAGCCTTTAGTGATTTCTTGGTTTTCATATTCAAAAAGTACGAATGATCAAGGTGTTTCCGAATCATTTGAATCAGTACGAATGATCAAGGTGTTTCCGATCACCATTCCGAATCATTTGAATATAATCAAAGCATCGTTCTTTGCGTTGAATTGAGGCGAATGTCATCTTGAACAGCTGCGGGTCCTCTGTTGTTAGCAAGTTAGGCTTATTTTCAAACTGTCTATCAGATAACAGTTTTCTTCATTTCACAAAACTAAACTGAAGCCTTGATTTTGTAGCCAATTGATTTTGTTACACTTTCCTGTATACTAAACGACCTATTTTTCATTGTTTTTATATTTTGATGTTTTAATGCAGCTAATAAATTGTATCTAGACGGCTCCTACAGGGGCGGATCCAGAGCAAATTTGAAGGACGGGCAGTCGGTAGACTCAAAAATATTCAAAAATTTGTGACGAGAGTACGCTGTATACAACAATTTCAGATCCATTTTCGGAATAAACAACAAAACTTTGAGTAAATTACTTTGAAGTAAATTAACCTATAGGTCTCAGAAACTTTTTCTCCTGATTCTCATTCTTCAAAAGGGGCTGCCCCTAGTTGCCTCCTCCCCTTAAATCCGCCACTGGGCTCCTAAGTTTGTTCTAAAAGACATAAACACAACACAATTTCAAAACTATCTGATTTCTTACAGTAACACGAGCAAACACAATATCGGATCTTGCTTTTTGCAATCCAAAACCCCTTTCGTCTATAAACAAAATGCTCGGATTTACCTAGCTTCCCTTGTTCAAGTGGCAATACATCTTGTAATAAATAATAAAAAAATTTGTGGGAAAGTCGATCCACTCACAATGATAATTCACCATGGTATCTCAATTGATTTCCCATGCGCATACGAGGTAGTTCAGTCAAGGAAAACTAATCGTTTTTTGTTAGTGTTTTACTTTCAAAATATGAAATAAGTATATCTAAGTCTTTTTCATTAGAGCTAGTTTATAATCCCAGAGATCTCTTCTTGACTCATATCTGAGAAGGTTCTGGTATTTTCTTGTAAAGTTTGAGGAATATTAAAACAAATACCCATGCTAGCAGGTGTAAAATTCTAGTGACTGTATTGACACAAATACTAGAAGAACGGTCAACCCTATCCGCTTGAAGACACTGCTATTCAACCCGTCGCCGTGTATGTTTGCAATCCAAATCAACTTTACAACCAAACATGTGCGATGTTTATATAAGCTGGTTGGAACAACAATCATCATAAATCGGTGCCTGTTTTTCCTAACTTGTTAAATTGTTTTTCAGGCAGAGAGCAAACTTGGCACTTGTTCTTTGTGAAAATATTTAACCATGGCTTGACATAATCATGAAGAACAGGTTGAAGAACAGGGACGGAATAAATGGAGGGGGGGGGGTCAGTAGTAGCAAAGTGATGCAAGAATTCACTTGATTCATCTCAAATCTTCTTTACCTTGAGGTTGAATGCTGAATTTTTTTTAATGGTGGTTTCCAGAAGTTTCCAGTCATCTGAAGGATTCGGCACCAGCATCCAATCATTATCTAAAACCCCCTCCCCCAATCTTTGCTGCTTAAATCCGTCCCTGTTGAAGAAGTAAAACAACCAAAGAAAACTTGCCTCAACTTTTATATCGCGTCTAGCAACATAGCCATATAACTGTGCAAGGTCTTCCAAACGAGCTTGACAATTCTGAAAACCTCAAGAAAATTATTTGATGGTCAGAATTTAGCCTTTGACAAAATTGGGTTGTCGAGCCCGGCAGAAAAGATTTGTTGCTTCAAAGAGTTTTTATTTTTTATCAATGGAATTAAGTACAACTAAGCATCCTATATACTAGGCAGGTAGAAGATCAGAAAAAATGTTTGCCACTAAAGGGAAGCATTTTAACAATGGTCGTTTAAAAAATGCTTGCGGTAGATTCAAAGAAGATTCAAAGAGTTTGCTTTTGATCATTTCATGATACTTTATCTTGATATCATAATTTATTCAGTCTCCTATAAAAGGTATCATCAGTATGAATAATTAAAAAATGAGGGACTATTATTAATGAAGAATATTAGTTGCTTATCAATAATTGAAATTGACCAAGAGAGTCCTGGCGACTTTGCACATATCATCCTTTTAGACCTTGGGCTCAAGAACAAGGCCTAATGGGATCAATTTCTATGTATCAAAGATCTATGAATGACATATGGTTTAATTCAAATGACCATTTATTAGCTCGTTGATATATATATCACAACTACGTGGCCGTTTTGTGGTTTCAAATTTATAATCTTCATGTTCTTCGGCCTGTTTGTTGTCCATTAACTAGACGAGTTGGATTAGGCACCTACCGTAGATGAATTTAATGCTACCATGTTTTTTTCTTTTTCGAACACATTTTTTCCCAGTGAAGTTGAGCTCTTAGTGAGGATCTCAATGCAAGAAGAGGCACCATGGTACTGCAAATAGGTATTCGATGCAAGCGCTGCTAGCGTTGTTATATAATTTCACCAAATTTTACAAACAGCCGGAATTAAGAAGAGAACTCAGGTTGAAGACCCTGCTTGAGCTCAATGGTGAACTATTTTAAGATGAAAGCTTTGGGGAGTAGATAGAGACTAATTGGAAGACACTGTTCCTAATTCAGCGATTGGCATTTCTTGGAAGGTGGTTCTGTTATTCAGAACTACCACGGGTACATTCAAATCTCCTAACGATTGGGACATTTACAACTATAAACAAAATTAGCTTATACATCAGCAAATCTCACAATACTTTTTTGTTTCATGGAAACCTTTAGATGTAAGGTATAACATTTAGTCCGGATTCTTTTCATTGTGGAAAATATTTCTTTTTCACATAAACACGTTTAATGACATAGTTAATGACTTACTATGACTTGCAGTGTTTGATTACGCTTAGGACCGTTCTTCTCATTTCCATTAAAGGTTCTGCAAATAATTGAAATGGTCGTGTTTCTTTTGTTTCATGGACAACTGCGAGTAAATAGTTTCTTTCAACCAGTGTTGCATATTATTAAAATACCATTTCTTGAATCAGATAAATTAACAATTCTTAAATATGTCAAATCCAGCTAAATCCTTTGCAATCTATGTCAAATGTTAGCTAAATATTTCGTTTTGTTCAAAAATTGCAGCGCTTAATCGAGTTTTTGATTGAGCATTGATAGAACTAATTACAATAAACTCCAATTGCTTACAATCGCTGTCTAAAACACTGTTAGCTATTTAGTGCAAGTAGCCAATTTTAAGTTTGTAAACGTTATTGCATGTTTTAGAATCGAACGAATTTGGTGTTTGACGTTATTTTGTTAAAATGATTCATTCTAGGAATGGGGATAAGCGCTGATTGCTTTTAAACAAAATGGTAACGGCCAATGCCTTTTGACATGAGCAGGGTATAAACATCATAACTGACCATGGTCTCAGTGTAAACAATTTTTCTAGAAAGATAGCCATTTTAGGGGAGTTAAAGAACTCTTCTGTTTCTTGAACTCGTCAATGCGCTGAAAACAATATAGTCTGGTCGACTATGGGTAACTAGCTCTAAGGTAGAGTTTTCTTTGCAACTCAAGTGGTGTCGAGTTTGCGTAGAGGGCGTCGAGACTGGGGGTAGCTGAGGTGAATAGCCAATGGCCCGTGAAATTTTGATTCCTTTATATATATTCTAATGTATGGTTTATTCTTCCTACTACAAGTTTTCCCTGAAGGGGAAGCCGGAGCAGGCAAACAAATACCCAAGTTTGCACCGCATGTTTTAAAGTAGTTTAAAGATCTTCCTGTAAAAGAAAGTTTAGAATACACTAAAGCCATTCTATTATCAATATTGGACACTACAAAAATCTTCCTCATCGAAGTTTTTGCTCATATCGCGAAAGATTTTTTTAGAAATCCGAACGCTTAACTCTGTTCTATTGGGCTTATAGCTAACCCTGTTTTTTGCGACCTTCCTTTTTATGCACGTAAATTCGCGATGCATTAAAATCAATCATCGCTTACAAACGAATCAGTTCTCTGAAACATCTTTGATATCGAAATACTTGATGAAAAAAGTAATACTTGAATGTCGAAGATGTGACCCAGAAAAAGGCTTTCTGGAAGTGTTTAAAGAAATAGCTTCAAAATCCTTCAGAAACCGTCAAAATCTTCTTAATTTACAAATTGGCATTGAAATGCGTGTAAACGAACTTTGCGTGTCCTCACGACCACAATCAACCAATCGAAAAGCGACATCCAATTTTCGTGTTTATTTCCTTGAAGACATGCGTTGACAACAAACACCTTTATCATTCTAGGCTACAAATTCGCTTTATTTTACGATAAAGACACAATCAAAGACTTTGCACTATTAGTTTATGGTCTTGCAGTTTCATTTTGCTTGGAGGGATAAAGCTTGGTCAAAGTAAAAGCTGTTTAGGCCTCTCTATATATTTCTTCTATCAGCTACGGGTTATTTTGCACTTAAGAGATCTTTAAATTCAGCTTTGCCTAAATATTTAGAGAAGTTTTGATAGATCGGCATATCTGTGGAAAACTTCAAAGCAGTTAGTTTGCTTTCATATTTTTTAACTAATTAGAGAATGCGTCTCATTTTAGAAGGCTCATTATACACCTAACGAGGTGCTCGTATTCAAACCGCGGTACCCGTCGGGAGAACATTTAGGACATTGTAGCATGCGGTAAACAGTCAAACATGTTCCAATGCATACGATAAGAATCATCACCCATCGCTTGGTGGATCACATGTATCTTGTAAACAAATTACCTGATTGGTTCGATTTGAAAATGATTATGACTTTCTTTTCTCCGTTCACCTGGTCTTAAAAGGCACTATAAGCATGCTCTATATATTCAACGTAACGTTTATAGGCAGCAGTTGCTCCTGAGATCACACGTCTCCATAAACAGTGGTCGAAAGAGTCGTTTGACCCTAACAACCAACACAAGCATATTGAGCTAGTTAGGAAGTGCATAAGTTTGCAAACAAGCGAGGCAACAATAAAACATATAAACGTTTGTTTGCCAGATACATATTAAACAATAATCCTAGAAGCAGAATGTCGTCGACGAATTTCTACACATCGGCACTGCTAGCGACCTCAAGTAACAGGATTCAGCGAGAAATTCCTTCGTTTGAAAGCCTAAACAGACCCATGCAAGAGGCTGTCGAAGAGGAAAGACCCACAGCTGCTGCAAGTAATCTCCATGAACAGCAAGAAGACAAACAGGCACAAAAGAAGGAAGAACATTCCAAGAACACACCAACTGTATCTACTTCGCAGCAAAAACAGAGTGGTGAAGAACATGAAGAGAACAACGCTGGATCTAATCAACAACAGGGCGGAAGTCTGCCATCGTACACTGCGATGATAGCGCAAGCGATATTAAGCAAAGAAGGACACCGTTCAACTTTAAGCGACATTTACGAATTCATGAGCAAAACGTTTCCAGCACTTGAAAGAAGGGGAACTGGCTGGCGGAACTGCGTTCGACATACCCTTTCCTTAAACGACTGCTTTATCAAACTTCACCGGCCAGAAAATGGGAGAAGCTGTAACTGGGCCGTTCATCCAACATATTTCGAAAGCTTTTCACGAGGCGACTACAGAAAAAGAAGATCAATCCGAAAGCGGGCAAGAACGCTACCATGGCTAGATTCCGGTATACCGTATCCAATGCAATACTTCCGAGAGGAGGAATATGCCCAGCATCAGCCCGGTTCGTGGCAGCTTAGTCCTTCAAATGGGCCATCTTGGAACCCTCAGCAAGCGTTTTATAACCAACCCCATTCTACATACAACCAACCTGTAGCATCGGCTCAAGATTATCGCCAAGCTTATTTCAACAGCCACGCTTCCTGCCATTATATGGACCCAAACTGCTACTGCTTTAACCAGAAAGGTACGAATCGGTACATGTCATAGTTCCTGCAGACTGAACACTTGTATGTAATGTATGTAGTCATGTTAACCTAAACATGTAGCACAGCTTTTAACACAAGACCAGTTTAATGTGTAAATCTAATTTAGATCTGTTGCTGTGTTTTATATAGTTGTATAACATGCGAAGAAGATTTTGAAGTTAAAACATGCGTTGTATTACCGGTCTTTAAGCATCCATGATTTTTTCTTTTCACTAGAAAATTTCAGACACAAATCATTATCAAGGTAAACAGCACTTTTGAATAAGTTGTAAGCAGTCGAGTAAATGGGGAATTTCTTGAATCATTTTGCAGCAATAAACCTAATTATGCTATATTTTCACACCAATGTATTCGTATCTGTTGAATTCATGTAACCAACAAACACATTACACGCTTTGTGGGAGCGCATATATATAACTGAAGGACTTTCCTTTATTTGCTATAAAACATCTTTTGTTAATAACATAGAATGTAATTTGTGCTTAAAGAATTAAAGAGACCGTTATTTTTTCCAAAGGAGTTTACCTTCTAGACTTTGACGCTGGAAAATATATTGTAAATATATTTATATATATTAAATGTATAGTATCATTGCACATAATCAAGATGTTTTTTTTGTCTTTATATCTTTTTATCTATGCTTTTTCTGTTTGAGAATTGAAGGAAACATTGTTATTTCATAATTTGAAAATGGCTTTGAAAAAAGCAAACATTATACAACATACTAAAAGCTTTTTCGTCTGACACTCCTCAGAGCATAAAACATCAAAATAAGGGTCCGAAAGAACACTATGAAAAATGTATTTCATAATTGTTTTACTGATGCGCCTTCTTCAAGTACTGAAGCTAGTCTCAACAGCAAACAAGCCATACAGACGAGAACTTTCAGGCAACAAATTCTAACCAAGAATCCACGAGAAAGTCATGAAATATGTTTCCGCGAAATGAACAAATCATTTCTTAGTTTCTAAAAGATTTCTTAATGACTATAAGCACAACCTTGAATCGTATTCAGTTTTCCGTGTGCTGCCAACACAGGATCTGAAAAAAACGAGAAATACGGAATGTGTTTACGATAAACAGTTCTAAAGTTATTGCTTGTAAGTTGGTTTATTATATCAGTGTGCTCAGCTGCCCTGCACTTAAAAAGCATAAAACTGATCATACTTTATAATACTTCCTTTTCATTTCAAATGATAACATCAAATTTAGTATAAGTTTTGCAAAAAGAAATAACGAGACGAATGCACAATCCCCTCATTAAGATATTCCATTCTCCGCTACAAGATGACTGCAATGCTAGACATTTTCTTTAGCTAGCTAGAATCCAAAAACTAAAGCAAAATGCATTGAAAGTTAAAAGTACATCAATTTCTTTTCATATCTTATCAAGATCTCTTCGCATTATTGCAAAAGTTGTAGTTTCTAATACCAAAAGTTCCAACAACTCCTTCTAGCTTGCTTGAAATAAAGCTTTTTAGAAATTTTAATCTCTTTACTTTTAAATTTGTATAGAAGCTATTGTAGATGTCCTAAAAGTTATTTATTTGTTAAAAGCTTTAAGATATTATTCAACAGATTCTACTTGCTAAGCATTGCTCTAGTCGTGTTGTAAGAAAAGCAAAATACAGGAACAAAATTTTATTTCAAAGTAGTTTTTGACAAGGGATAAATGTTTATTTGCATATTTGATGTCGAATGCTAATTAGTGTTTATTATGATCTGCCGCATTGTGCTGGATGATGTATAGGCAAAGATGCACCCACTTTAGTGTATAGTACAGCGCCATTTTAAATTGCAACCTTGGTATATTTTTGATGTCAAGAACAAAACGGAGTTGTGACTTAAACCGTACTGTTCTTTACACCAAAGCGAATTTACATCTTCATGTATACGTTCTGCACATCCAAGTCTATGTTTTTATCAATATGTTAGCAATTTTGTTAGCAATTATCTCATTAAAAGGCATGATATTTTAAAATAGTCATATATGATATGATGATATTTAACCTGAAAAGATTTCCCACGATTTTCAATTCTATTTCTTTCCTACATTTTGTTTATAAACGTCTTAATCATTCACATACAAATTACTGTTAAAATTGGCAGGTTTTATTTGCTTAAACGATTTCAGAATAGCATCAGAAACAAACTCAGTCATCATCATATTTGTTAAAACATGTTATATACATGGCTGGAATAGCTGGTTTAGTTGGACATGTAAAACGGGGGTTATGCAAGGATTGGATTTCTATAATGATACGAAAATTTATAGGGAGCTTTAGTTTTCCACGCCCCTCATTTTATAGCCCATCAGACATATAAGCGTGACTGAACAACTGGCATTTCTTTAAAACGCTTATCAGCGCCCGCGCCACTGATCCTAAACTTGGTGGCCAGCAGTGTAAAGGAAGCTTCCTCTCCCAACCTTGAGCCCCAGTTGTTGCAATCATTTTGCTGACGTTGTTGTTGTAGTCTAAAGTTTTATCTATATAAATTTTTTAAGCTGATAATTTTTTTGCGAAAAAGTGGGGATGCCATGGTCTTTGGCCCCTTGTGGCATGGACACTGCTTATTTGGTGAACTCGAATGGCAGTACTCGCCCAAATGCGCATGCAAGTGTGCTCAACAAAAGGACGCATTCAAGAATACAAAAATAACATTTCAATAACATCTTTAAGACAAAACAGTTTTGGAAAAGGAAACATTTTGAAACATGTTACTTTACTTTTATTATCTTAAATACTTTACAGTATAAGCCGTCAACAACTCTAGGGCAGGAAATATATTACCTTGACGCCCCATTTGTTACTTTATCAAAATATTAAAAAAAGCTGCGCTGGTGTGACTAATAAATGTTTGCTTATGCATCGTTATACCAGCTAAATTTATACTAGGTTTTATTTCAACCAATCAAACGCGTCCGATTGGTAGGATAGACCAATGAGAAGGCCCCGCTAAATAATCTGACTTATTCTAAGCTGGTTTGACTCGCAAAAGTGAATGGGCATTAGACTTTGATAGATACTGTCAAAATTTGATGACTTGACTACTTTTCTACAACAAATTCCAACATAACTTTAAACTTTCTGTCCTTATGTGGTCCTTATGAATAATGAAAATATTATAAGACCTAGATAAACAAACGTAATCAATGCATTTTCCGTAAAATTATGCGAAAGTTTGTTCACAAATGCTTAAAAAACGTCATGAATATGATTTTATTTGAAATGTTATCAGAAAAAAGAACGTTCAAGTTCTATATGCTAATTCTGTTATGCCTTCGAGCATTGACATGTGCAAATCGCTCAATGAGTTCAGTCTTATCAATTGATTTGGTTTCTGAATTTTCTATGGCCAGTATTGCCAAGTTATCGAGTCTTTGAATATTAATATTAAAGTTACCAAACTTTGCCCATAAAATCGCAACCGAAGCTGCATAAGAGCTGTATCGACTGCTTTGTAGAAAACCTTGACTTCAAACCATTTTTCTCGATCACTTAACGCATCATCTCAAGATATTTCATCAAAGAAACACTTGAGTTTGCGGTTTCTTTTCTGGGTATATTCAAGAGATGAGCACCAAGAACTGGCAAGTGCAGAAGCTGTCATCCTCACTGACTCCGAAGAGTTCCGAAGTATCTCTATGTCTGAAATTGAGCAGCTTAGAAGCCCAGACACAACTGAAACATCCAACTTAGGCAACTGTAATTCGTTTGATCTATAATTTATAGCACGCAGTATTCTTTCCCACATGACTATAAACAGAACAAATTCGAAACTATCCATCTTTTCTTTAAGGCTTTTTGCACCATCTCTTTCATTTTTCTTTTCTGACGTGAGAATTAAACGAGTTAAAACTTTCATTTTGTGGGGGTATTATGTGGGGAAGCCTAATTGACATGCATATGCATTATCTTATATCATTATTGTGTTTGCTCACAAATCATATCCCATCCTGCGCCCACTTTAATGTTGCTGTGAATGCTATTAAAAAACCTTTTTTTTATCTAAAAACCTGCTTTTTGAAAAAATTTTCGACCCAAATGTTTTGGGACCCTTAATTCTGAGCAGAAGTGCTATCGGGTTGTCGTTTTTGATCTGCAAGACCAGGGTCTCTTCTCTTTGGGGGAGTGATTTGTTTTTAATTCGAAAGAGACATGCTGCTTAATAAAACATGTTTGCTTCTTAAGTTATTCTAAAATCATTTGAGCAAATAATAAAACTAGCAAATACCTAGGTATTCAGATATTATGTTGCATTTATAAAATCACATTTTTGTATAGTTTATTTTTCTTAGTATTTTTTCTTAATTTAATCTATATGTCGCATGTTTAGTTAGATAGCCGTATTTCATAAAATCACTTATATTTTGCAATCAACTTTTATTTCTGCTGAAATGATAGTTCGAAGTCTTAAGTTTGGAGTTAAGAGTTTGTAGGTAATTCTCTCAAAAACGAGGCCGTTCAGGATTTGGAATCGAGGCAGATTGGCCTAATTACCGCCAAACACTGATCTAGAAAAAAGGAAAAAAAAGACTCTCAGGATTCAATCGCCAGTCACAAATACAAAACGAGAAAAAAGTAATGACATGCCTGTTTAGACCTGAGATTCTCGTCAGCTTGTTGCAAACTGTATACCTCTAACTTATAGGTAGGAATTTTTGTTAAAAGTTTATTTCCAATCTTTTGTATGCATCATACATACACAGTGGCTATAATTTAAATGGTCTCGTTGTTCAGTCCAAAAGGATGGAGGTTGTTGCTAGTAGCAGTAACTACAACAATAAGGATTCAGATAGAAGCCGTATGGCTGATGTTATCTGTGAGTTCCTTGAAGTCTCGTTCAATTTGATTTTGTATGTACGAAGCGTCTATCCTGATGGTATTTTTCGCAAGTCACGGAAATATAATGTTGCTGTTATGATGAGTCGTCACCCAGAGTTGAACAAATATATCTGTGATGTGCTAACTGGCATCAATGCCTTAATAAGTGCGGGAAATGTCGAGCGGGTGACACTTCAAATAAATACGAAGGATAATGAGCCAATAGAGCGCTTTGTATTTGAGCTGCGATTATTTGAAGGATCAGGAAATGACGAAATGACACTGAATAGAGTTTGTGAGATAGAGCAATGCTTAAGAGACTTACTGCTTAAAATAAATAATTGTGATGCTGTTCTACAGCCTTTGCCAGAGGATTGCACATTTTCAGTCACTGTGCAAACTAAAGAAAGTGTTGCAAATGAACTGATGAAGAATGATCAATTTGAGGGTTTTCCTTGGATAAGAGCTGAAAGTTCTGATAACACAGCCTCTTTACAAAAGTCATCTATTTATCCACTTAAATCTTGCAATATGCATAACTTGAAGATACAGTGTTTTGTAGAAAGAGTAAAAATGAAATAATATTTATCACCATATAGCTTTTAGAGCATTTCCAGCCAAACAATTCATTTGTTTCATTGACTTAAAAGATAATTTCTGTTACATTTACCATGATAAAAAATGTTTCATTGACGCTAGTTAACATATCACTTTAAAGTTGACTGTTTCGGTTAAAAGTCAAGCAAAGACCAATTGTTTTGGTGATACTGCTATGTCACAATGTTTGGTGCTGCCAATTTCTTATTACCTCAAAAATTATTATTAACTCAAATGGCCACAAAGTATCCTTGGCACCACAAACTACGAAATACTCTTGTTAAATTGAAAGTGATTAAAATGAATACGAAGACTTTAACTCATACAGTTTGATTTAATCAGCAAGGTCATCTGAAATTCTCTGAGGCATCAAATTTGAATAGAAATGTTACCAAATTAAAAATTTATGTTCTCGCAATTCAATTAATAAACATCAAAATTCAAGTACTATGTATAATATTTGACAACAATCATCAGGTTCTTGATCAACAGATTGAATTCTATAAGATTGGCAGGGGGTTGACAGTCTTGGCTGGAGAGGCCCTTTAATTGTAGTAGAAATATGTAAATATAATAAGAATGCTGTCCAAAGCTTTGTGTCAAATCTGATTACTGTTGAAACATTCGCTACTTAGGAATTTTATACAATAAATAATGTTTGCTCAAAGTTTTCTTTGACCATCTTTTTCCTAGCAAAGCTAGAAATATTGTGATTAATTTTTACTTTATGTAGAATTGATATATTTGACATTTGTACATCTATCCTGTGGGTTTTAGGAGAAAAATGTAGATCTAAGAAATTCTTATATGAGTCCATGTGAGGGGGAGTATGAAGTATGTGTTTCCTTCTTGATGCTTATAAATCATAACAAATGCTTTATTTTTCTTTAGAGAATGTCATACAGGCTGAATATGTTTTACTTTTTATAAGAAAATATGCAGTTGTTTAAAACAGGGTATATTATCTAGAAAATATATTATCTTTTATTGACAAAGTCTATTATCTAGACAAAAGTTTAGGCAAGAGGTTTTGCTAAGAGTATTTGCAGGGGTGGAGTTTCTCTAGCTAATGTGCCAAAAAAGTTTACCTTCAACCTTAATGACATGTCATCCCTGTACACAGAAAGTGGAATGCAAAGGGGTTGCGGGAGAAGGAGAATGATAATTCTAAGTCAAATTACAAATCTTACCTTCTATTATGGTCCATCCTTGATGGCTTGGAGGTGGTGGAGCATCTTTTCTTGCATAATTGTAATAAACATAACATTGAATGTTTACATTGAAAAATTTTAAATTTTGTATATTTTTAAATTTATGATTTGCCAGCTGTATTTTGTAAGAGCGATTTGGCCTGCAATGACACGATAGAGCTGCCGTGTTACAGAGCAAAAAACGAAGACATATGCATATTCTGTGGACCTCACAATAATTTAGAAACAAGCTGCCCTTGCTGCAAGGAAGGGGAGCAGAAATAGGTGCAATGCCGCATTAGAGTATACAAGCAAAGGACTGACATCTTTCCGTGTTCAAATAATGCACTAACAACATTTGATCCTATGTTCATATGCAATTGGACAATACTCTTGGACTTTTCTTCAGAACAAAGTTGATGGAATTGTACATTTCTTTTTTCTGTCTAATTACTTACAACTCGTGAACTTCCTGTGATACACGCGCAGATAAAACAATCATATATGCGTCTTCAGCGTCGATTACAACAACTTCATGTCTCTTAATCTTTCATAGCTGAGCATAGATGTAAAATATGATAGTGTCTCTTTTCTTTGGTGGTAAGATCATAGCAGTTGCTTTGTACAGAGTACAGTATCTTTAGGCTCTTACCAGTAGCCATTGCTGCCAACTCTTGCTGACGAATCTTGTTTTTTTGTTTTTGCAAAATTCATTAAAGTCACGACTGCTAGGCAACTCACCCAGTCATCTTATTTGCACATTTTTGCTCGTATAAATGTATTTTGCTCGTCTGTCATGTTCAGAATCTTTGGTAGTATCATTGAGGTCATAGGGATCGTTGACGAGGATAATGATATTTGCTTTTAGATGCCTTTTGCGCCTTTACCATTGTTCCATTCGGGTTAAAAATGGACAGGCATTCCTCTGTCACTCTGTTCTCCATAACAGTCAGCAGGTTAACATCTTTCCCGCAGCACTTTGATACAACCGCAGACATTGCTTAATTTTCCATAACCACTGATTTTGATAGCTGCGGCCCAGAACATTTGTCAGAAGCTGACGTAAGGAAAACTTTGCAGGAATTCCTGTGCATCACAGAATTGAAATGCGTTTTTCTTTAAAAAATACGATCTTGTAAGAAATGCATGGCTAGATTTTTACCATCATACTTTGCTACAAGGAGGTCATCTTGTAGACCAGGTGATACAATTTGTCCAGACTGCCATATCCTTAATGTGATGTTGAAAGAATCAAAATTTCACCATCATACCTTTCTGCAAGGAGGTCATCTTGCAGACCAGGTGATACAACTTGTCCAGACTGCAATATCCTTGATGTGATGTTGGAAGAATCAAGATTCAAGTTCAATGATGCACCTATCTAGATCTTGAACGGCAATTTCATTTATCTTTATTCTTGTGACCGGACTTTCTTTGTGGATGTTTAAACTTGATGTCTTCAAATTTGCTATCGTATGTAAAGAAGCCCTGGTCCTATTCACATAATTGGCTGTTCTTAAACGGGAAAGCAACATAGTTTCATTTTTGAGAATGCTGTTCCATCCAACCTCAAGTTTGGAGTCCTTGCTCTTTGTCATCTCAATCATTCGTCAACAGCCTTGTATGCGATTGAAATTTGAGAATTCTCTACTGTCTTTTATCTGCTGTGCAGCTTTTTGGAGCTCTTCCTGTTGATTTTTTAACGGGTTTTTGAGCTTTTCAAGGAGCACTTGAAGACTATCTGACCGCACATGTCCAGCTTTTTTTCAGCTTTAATTATTCTTTGCTGCAAAGCTTCCTAGTTTAGCTGTAAAGCCCTAATATCCCTCCGGAAGTGTTTGCCTCTCAAAGTCAAAGCCTGGTCGATTGATTTCTCTGAAACTATGTCTGCTGAAACTATCAGGTCTGACAAGCCAGATCCCGAAAACTTTTTGTTGATTGCAGTAATGAACAATCACTATGTGTGGAATGGACCAAGAACAGGAAGGACTTTTCAAACGGTACTCTGTTTTCGTTTCTTAGTTGAACTACCAATGTATACACTGGCTAATCACTAACTAACTGAATAAATTGGATATCCTTTTCTTTGATAACAGCAATTTGACGCAGCATGACCTAATGCACAACAGATTTATTTAGGAAGCGCGAGGAAGAAATGCGCCTTACTTTTTGCAACTGAAGTTTGAAGAATTGATTGGAAGCCGCCAAATGATCCAACATTCTGTTCAACAGCATATGCCACAGTTCTTGCTAAGGTATGCAGCATTTCTTCTTTGTCTTATTTTTTTCAGGTCATCATCAATCACAACTTTCAGGTCATCATGTGTTGCTAGCACAGGTCTATCGGTGTTGCACGATGGCTGCAGCTCTGCGCTCTGCACAAACATTACGTTAGTGCGATGTGGGGTGTCGGCTCCGGTTAAAGTGTCGTCTTTGAAGTCGTCGTTGTCCATTATTACAACGGTGCCAAGATAAGCGGATGCTTGTGTTTGTGTCTTGGTTTGTGTCTTGAAGTTTGTGTCTCGAAGGGCCCATGTTGCATATGGGTTTTTCACATCTTTTTAGCTGATACCAAAGCCAGGTTTCTTTGTCAAGTCGATAAGTTCGTGTGACCTAGTTAGTCCACGAAAAGTGCAGGATAGCTTTTTTCAGTCGCATGAGATTTCAGCAATGATGCTAGGGCCAAAACATGAGGGTCTGGGCAGGTTTCAAGTTTTTTGGTTGCTGGGGTTTTAAGCCACATCAAAAACATTAACATGGTCTGGTTTTTCTTCTGTCTCAATTTCTTCGATTGTTTGCGGCCAAATAATTCCTTTCTGAGGCGCCTTGCTACTGTATTAAGAAGCTGTTTGTTGGATACTCCCCAAGAGTAGATTGCCGTCTCTATGAAACTTCCTCCTTTTGTAACATAATAAACAAGAGTGCTTTGGTTTTTGTGATAGTGATCGTGGAACCCAAGTTGATTGGGGAACTGATTTCCCAACATTTTCATGATTTTGCTAGTCTTTAGACCTTCACTTGAAAACCCAAAATTCTCTGCAATGTTCTGGTAATGGACTTCAGTTGCAAAAGGATCTGGTGTGGCTGCAATAGCGGCCAAAATCCTGTCGCGCATCTGGTCTTCTTTCAAGAAGACAGTATGCACTTTAAAACGGGCTAAAGCTTTTTACTGCTGGACTTGTTGGAAGCTATCTCCGGTATTCTTCTTGTTCTCCGGTTTTATACACCATATGCACAATTCTTTCTTGTGAAGTGGTCCAGTGTGACTTGCAAAGCATCGGGCTCGGGTTTTTCAACGCGCAAAGCAGTTTCTTGTAATTTGGCATGACAATTCTTTGCTTGCAGCACCTTTCTCTTGTTTTGCATATTGATTTTGCACATTTTGTGGAAGAAGATCTTCACTGGTCCATTTTCCCAATTTACCTCTCTGAAAACATCGCCGTACGTATCCAGCCCTGAAACACAAGAAGGAAGATAGGCCTTTTAATTTGATTCCTTCACACGCCCTCCGCTCAAGCACAATTTCTTGAAGTATCAATCTAAAAAAAATTGATTTTTTCTGTAAAAAACTAATTCATATGCTTGCCAGCACGAAATCAAATTATCAAGGCCTTGAAGTTCTTTAACCCAGATGCGTAGTTCAATTTCATATCCTCTGTGGGTATGGCATTATTTCGAAAAGAGTCTGAATCGTGCTATTTTCGCGCCACTATGACGATGTTTCACTGCTGTGGAGGAGCTTTAATAAAATACTCGCTATAAAGCGATTTAGACCGGAATGATATATTCTAGGTGAATAGTTGGAATCTTCGACATCAATTACATCGTGAACAGTTCAATTTGCTATTCTTTCAGTTAAAATAGCCTCGAAATAGGCACTTGTCGCTGCGGAGGTGCTCTTGGCATTTTCAAGAGGGACCCCCAATTTTATTTTGATCTTCTATGTGTACATAGAAACAAAAGGATCATTGCATTTTGCTCAATTTAAAGCTCAGATATAAAGTGGAAAGGAGAAGATTGGTAGCTGTAATTTTTTGTAGATGCTACGGAGCTTAGGTTGGGTTCCTTAACTGGAAGAAGAGAAAAGTCTTGGTATGAAAACGTCAAAGCATTAAATTATCTAATTTTACACACATAGCGCTTTTAATCAAAGTGGATCGTGCTTGAATATTTTTATCTTACCTAAATTTATAAAGCTAATTTATGTTACTGCTGGTTTTTTGTAGAAAAAGTGCAAGAAAGTCGAAAAACAAAACGATTCAAAAGTAATGAGCGATAAGGATGGTTTCTGTGACTTGCCTTTGGTTGTTTTGTGAATTTTTAGGACAATGTTCAGGGGGTGCCGTCCAAAAACCTTCAAAAGGGAACTGAACTGAAGGCTACTGGGAAGGGTTATAATATCTTAACCGGAAAAAAACAGACTACTGGGAAGGGTTCTAATATCTAAACGTTCTAAGAGCATGCAATATGCAATATACCCTATACCGAAGAAGTCTAAAAGCCACATCCAGACTATAGCTAATATACTTCGTGAAAACAACCAGCTGTCTAGCTTGTGCCACTCCTAGGAAAAATTAAAGGCTAATTAAAAGGGGAAAGGCTACACAAAGGGCCATCGTTCAACACATTGGCAACCGAATTCTGCGAGTGGTTTCGTTTGCATTTTACTCGTTGCTGATGTGTAGCAATTTTAAATGTACCCTTCATTAACGTGGAGCACGCCATGGCCTCCCACTTTTTTGCGAAGCGAATAGTTTCAAAGCTGCAGTAAATGGGGAAAGAAGTCTTGGCCTCCTACTTTGGCTAGCCTTGGCCCTCCCACTTCCAAATTCATGGCGTGGGCCCTGGCATGGGCAACTTGCTTTGTATTTGAAGACAATATGAGCTCATGGGAAGACAGACTAGCTTCTATCTTACTGTTGTCTCTTGACAAATTTAGAATTCGCACTGTTATAGCAAAAGTATGAAAGTTTCGGCATTTTTTCAAATTGTGCAATTCAAAATCTTTGCTAAAAAGACCATTACCACTTTGGTCAAAAAAGACAGCAAAAATTTGCAAAACCGATACATTAATGTGTCTGCAGGTTAAATACTGTGTCAGAAAATCCCTTTGAAAGTTGATCTTCCCATATCATCAAAATATGTTTAACGAATAATTTTAAGCATAATGACATGTTGTATTCCGGAAGATTGGAATAAGAATCAGCTTTCACTGCTTATCTCCTTTCAAACCTTTCTGATTATCCATACTTTGCCCTTTTCTGCCTTTACTTCCAATCCTGCAGTTTGTTTTACTCCCTCCCTTTCATCAATTTTATTTATCAGATTCATCAGCTTCTCGGAAAGTAGTTCACGGTTTCTTTCAGCATAGTGCTTCTTTTCTACGTAATTTTTCCTTAAAACTGTTGAAAGTTCATATGTAATTTCCAACGATTCATTTCTCAATTACATCTAGTCTTTGCCTAACAATTTTACTTTTTTTTGTTTCTTATTCTTTTTAGTGAAGGTAAAAGATGTATTGGTAGGTTGCTTGTTATTCTTTCGAAATATTATTGCATACATATTGCTTCGGATTGGACAAAAAGTACTGTTACGTGGGTTTGCAGAAAATTTCACGTTTACAGAAAGTAGAAAGCAGTAGCATGTCTTGGAATACCGTAAATTCTCTTTTAAGCCCCCGGGAGGTGGATATTGTTTTTCAGCACTGTAAAGAAAAGGCTTATAAAAGAGGGGGGGCTAAATTGAGAAAGGGGACTTAATGAATATTTGTAATAAAAAGCCTTTCTCAGTAGTAGAGTAATTTTTGTTATTTGCGAAGTAAAAAACATCAAATCAGGCTTCTACATAAATGATATTGTCATCGTCATCAATTATCAATTCTAAAATATCTCCCTGGGCCATGTCGTCTTCTGAAATCGAGCATTAGAAAGGTGCGATTTCATCCCTCTGAGTACCAAAGGCCTGTAAGTTTGGTAATAGGCTCTCACATGGCCATGCTTAATGCTTATTAAATCTTTGTCATCGGATCCGTGGAAGAAACATCTTTTGTATTTTGATTTGATGAGAAGTATTGAACGGCCAATGAATAAAGTGAATTCCCCATTATTCGTAAGTTTTCTTATTTTGGTGTCAGTGACGTTTAGGAGGGGGGGCTAAATTGAGAGCCTTGTTAAAATTTTTTCCTTCTGAAAAGGGGGGCTAATAAGAGAGGGAGGCTTAATTGAGAGGGGGGTTTAAAAGATAATTTACGGTAATCGTAGCTTAATGCCGGGCTCTAGACAGGCCATGGGACTAGGGCCAGAACCCAAGCATAATAGGAGTTTTGAAGTCAAAACATCCGAAATAAAAGGGAATTCAGGGGAGAGGTTTATCCATTATTTAGGGGGCAAATCCCTCCGCCTGGTGAAGCAAATGCATAATGTGAAATTTATGCTTGTATCCAAATTTGTGCGTACTGATTGCCTGACCAGCTTGAATAAATAATGCCTGTATATGGTAGAAAATCCAATATGAGCTCCACCATTAATTTGAAGATAACAATTGTACCCCTGATTTAAGTATGGTTTAATGGTAACTCTGTTAAACTATCCAACATATTAGAAGAACTTATTATTAAAAATGTTTTGCTTTGCAATTAGCGGTGCCCTCTATCAATTATCTACCTTATGAAATCGGTTGTTCATTTACCAACCATTCTTATCAAGGTTTCATGGTTTTCAAATTCTACTCTAATGCATAACGTATCCAGCACCTGGGTATTTTATCTGCAATTATGCAATGCTGGTATTAATCACTGAACATTTTTGCAAATAATTGCAGTAAAGGATGCGACCATTTACAAACAGGTATTTTTAGGGCATGGCTTTTGTGGGAAGATAATAGAAAGAAGCAAGGATAGATAGGAGAATTGAGTTTCAATACGAAGGGGAGCGTGGGATTAAAAGTATTGTAGATGGGTATACAAATGAAGTTGTGAGTTCTAGATTTGAAGTGAAGAAAGCAAAATTCGAGCTGTCGTTAGCAACTTTTTGCTAGAGTTTTTTGCGATAGTCTATAGTCGTCCTTTGCAACAAAAATTTCCTTTGAGAAAAGATTATTTCCCTGTAATTTCTGTGCCCAATGGTCATGCGGCCACGAGGAAAACAAAGCCTTGAAAATAAGTTCTGCTATTCAGAGTCTAATACTGGTATTCCTTAAGATAGAACGTTCAAGTATTGAAAGTAAGTAAGAAGTTAGAAGTTAGAATTTATTTCAGAAAAGTATACTTATCAAATGGCTTTGATTATGATAACAGCTATTTAGAAGCAATGTGAAAACAAGGGAAGGATGCGTTGAAAGAGTTTTCATCTTACCTAAATAACAACCGCTGTTTCAAAATTCATTTCTCCTCCATTCACACTGTTAAATATATACATTGTTCCTTCATTGTTTTTGCAGTTTGCTAACTGAATCGAGTCTAACATAACATCTTTAAACAAATATCGCATCTAAAACTATCTAAAGATGTGGCTTAATTATTGCTATATAGTTATTGACGATGAAAGAGTTGCTAAGTCTAACATGATTAGCCGCCTTTGTTCAGCACTAGATTCCTTTAGAAGAGTCTTTGCCCCCTTTCTACCACTTCAGTACATGATATGTGATTCAATCATTAATTACGTTTTGTCGAAAAATCAACATTTAGCAGCATACGATCTTGAAACATGCTTTGTACCAATGAGACTTTTTTGGTTCTTATTTAATAAGTCGGTTTTTAATAATTTGAAACTAATAGAATGATCTTCTATATATCATTGTGCAATAATCAGCCTGGTTTTTGCAATTATAAGCTTTTACCGGGGGATCTTTTAAGAATTTTCTATTGGTTACGATGTCACGCATCGTGAAGAAATGCCGAGTATATGTACAATCGACAATGATGAGTGAAGAGGAATTTCCCCAATAGATCTCCTGATTTGTACACAATTTATAAACTAATATTAGAGGTAGTGAAATATTTGTAATTAGTTTAGAGGTCCATCTTGGCTTTGTACCTACATAATAAATAAATGCAAATTCACTGATGTGATTTTACAAGCAGTTGTCTCAACAAACTCCGTCTGCTAGCTAGATTTGGCAAATAAACACGACAATTTAGATACGTTCTAAAGAAAAAAGAAGAATGGCATTTCCAACACCAGTGTCAAACGTAGAGGCTGCTGCTTGTTGTATTTGAAAGTTTTCAATTGCAAAATGAGCTTCCAACTAGCCTTATTTTATTGGGCTTCCAACATAGCAACTGTCGGTGGTGTTATCTTTTTGGCTGAGCACTAGAAAGTTGTTATTAACAATTATCTATCGTTCACTATTATCTTTGCCTCTCGAACAGGACATTTTTTATAACTTTTGTACTGAAGCATTCTTGCAATCTAATTAAACTATCTTCGTCTTTAAAGGCTCCTTGGAGGCCTTTTTTTCTATATTAATTTTGAAACTTAGTAGGAATAAGGTAAAACCAGTTATTGTTATTCCAAAAGTTGTTTGAGACTCTACCGGTATCTTAAAAAGACAATCAAACAAACCTGACCCGTAGGAATTTAATGTTTGCCTTTGAGCAAGATGCTGCCGAAAGAAACAAATCAGATACAGTAACGTACAAACTTCTTAAATTACTGACGGTTTGTTTAAAGATATTACAATTCTTATCAGTTGTTTTAGAAGCTTAGCCATGCGCACATTGCAGACAGGTCCGAATACCTTCAAAGCAGTAAACACAACTTGCTCTCGGTCGTTCAACGAGCGACATTAAGAGCTTCGCGGCCTTTGGCATAGAATATGATTGAAGGTGTTATAGGAGTGCCGGGGCAAAAACAATCTGTGAGACCATATCCCTTAGATACGCCTTAGATAATAGCAAGTCGTGTTTTACTAGAATTATAAAGCAATTTGAAAACTCGGTAAAATGGGACAGTCCGTTTTGCCGGGATGGGATTTTTTGTATGAGAAGCTTCCAAAGATTCGCGAGAGAAGTCAAGAGTTAGAGACTCAGGGATGGTCTTAAAGCAAAAAGTTCAAACATGCAACAACACTTCTACAATCTTTTTAAATGAAGGCGTCCTTATAACTTTGTTGACAGCAACGATCCTACAGTGAAAAACAAAGCAATTCTTCTGCAAATGATATTAAGTCCCTTTCTATTTACAAGCTTTACTTATGCTTCAACTTGATTTTTTTAATTTCACTTCATTATCAAAATCTGATCGCCAAGGCGTTTTAAGCCTTTACTTGCTGACAACCAGTCTTGGTAAGGCACTTATCATTTTTTAGTTTCCTCACCATGCAAAAGCTACAGGTGCTGCTTTACATTGGTTACTTGACTGTTTCAAAATTGCGAGCGTCTGCTAATTATTCAGGATTTAGAAATCTGCTTCTTCTTTCAAATGTATCTAAAAAATCCTTCGGAGCTACATTTAGAGAATAATATTTTCTAGTTCTAAGTCCTTCATTTCTTCAGACCATAAATTATCTTTTCAGTTTTGCTCTTAAAATCATATTTTCGTTGTTCTTATTTCAAAGCGTAATAGACGAGAAGTAAACCATGTTAAGTAAAACGGATTTTATATCATTTTTGCCACAAACACTTATATCAATAGAGACAGGAAAAGCATTACATGAAAACATTCTAGGGATAAACACATTCATTAAAACTTTTGCTTTGCTCTTTCATTTTAGCTCTTACTAACTCACTACCATATGATATTTTGTGTCTCGTTTTTGAAGCAATAAGCAGAGTTTTCTCACTACTAGATCCTCAGCTAATCATGATAAAATGCCAATTTGATTCAAAGTAGTGCTCTTCTGATAATTAAACTACAGTTAGTCTTAAACATTGTCATTCCTGCTTTGGTAACAAGGTTTTATCATTTCTAACTTTCGAAACGAACTTCAGAAATTAGTTTAAGTATGATATGATTTCACAGCCTCAGTATGATTTTTGCTGAAATCTTTTTAAACCTTTGAATAAACGTGTCTTACACATTTACACTGCATTGCAATGTCACGTAACAATTAGACATGCAAGAAAGCACCGCTCTTCTTTTCACCTATTTGAATGCAAGACAGATTCAGTCAATCTTTCTAGCTGCAAAAAGTATATTTAGGCCGCTTGTGCAGTGTATAAAAAACTTGGCGCAAAAAATCATTGTAAACAAAGAGCTTACAAAACAACTTCTTTCATTTTTGTTCTCTTGTGCTCTCTTTTCGCTCTCTTCGCAAAATGCTGTTTAAAGAGGATGACTGGCATAGCTGCTATCAATGATTGGAATTTGCAACGTTTGCTATGCTTTTAGAATTTTCACGAACGCTTAAATGAATCTTTCGACGAAAGACGTCCATATTTTGAGCAAAGCAAACAATAAGCAGAAGCTACAGACGAACAATCTAATCAGTGACCTTAACACACCCTTTTTTGGCCCATCGTGAAAATATTGAAAGAGCCATAATCCCTTACACGAGGTCGCTCGCGAATTCGGCCGGCCAAGTTTCAGGAAGGACGCTTTCCTAGATGGCCGAATATTTGCACGCCTAAGTGACATAATATGAGGTCGTTTAGCCGACCCTATGTAAACGCATCCTCAACAAACAGAAAGTATCTTTGTAGAAATACTTAGATGAAACTTTCTTCTATGGTGTATCCTTTAATTGTCGTGAAACATTTTCTTAAAACTTTTTAATGCTTTTCAACCCTAACTGTCCCAAAAACATTCTTGCGTTGAGTAAAGAGCAACATAAGAGTTAGTGCAGAATATGCATCTCAATTTCTACTACAAATACAATTTGATGATTATTATCTGAAGTACTACATTATCAGACGATCGATATTGAGAAATAGCAACGAAGAGATGTTTCATCTCCTAAAAAACTTTCGTACCACCAACATTTTGGTCCAAACCTAATTACAATAAACGATTTCTTTTTTCTAGATATATCAAACTAGAACATATACTTAACGACATATATAATGTTCGATATAGTACATGAACCTCATGGCTTCAAAATGCTTTTATTGGTAATATCCTCTGTGCTGTTGAGCATATGGTTCGTAGTAATTGTTCATAACTTTGTAGTCCATTGATAATTGGCCTTGATAGCTGCTTGGTTGTGTACTATGCTGCCCATGCAGATAGTTGTGCCCTTGGGACATGTGAGGTGCATGAGAGGAAAATTGGCTGTAATTTGGCATCACAGAATTACAAGTAGGAATATGGTAATGTCCAACATGGTCCACGCTTTCGCTAGACGATGCAGACAGTGCCATTGGCACATGGAACGTTCTATTGTCACAAGCCACCATATCCCTTTCATATGTTTGCAGAGGGTATTGGTCTTGAAATGACGACTGAGGATTCCTTCTGGCTCGAGTTTGGCGTCTCTTTCGAAAATCACCTCTCATAAAGCGAGAAAGATACGTAGGGTGTATTGCCCAGTGGCAACTCCGGCCGTTTTCAGGCCTATGCAGCTTCATAAAGCAGTCGCTGAGTGACAAAGTGTGCCTGACACAGTTTCTCCAACCATTTCCTTTTTCTTTTAGAGGTGGGAAACGCCTCTCCATAAACTCGTAAATCTCATTAAGAGCACACCGTTGCACACTCTTGCTTAGGATGGCCTGGGCTATCATGGCAGTATATGATGGCAATGCATTTGAGCTTTTCGCCGCGCCGGCTTTGTCGTTGTTTTCAGGTCTTTCGCCTCCCTGCTCACTATATGTTTGCATGTAAGCCATTTCTTTAATGCGACTCTTCAAAACACTTTCAAAAGGTTTGTTTACTTTTTCGCTGTGAATTTTCTCTACGTCTTTTCTGATGCTATCGTTCAAAATGAAATCCTCTTGTGAGTAGTTGCTTGCTCACATTGATCAACGATCATCTGCCTCTTCATCGTGGTGGTGCATCTTCTTAAAAACGGGAAGCGATGCACCGTACTGAATTATCTATAAATTGAATTCGGTAGAGATATGGTTCATTTTTCTGTCAAAGCTAACATCAATGGTTTAACCTGTTTTAGTAATTGATTACAGCGTAGTCCCAGTAACTCGATCATTCTCAGTGACTTTATCCACAAGCATGCAAAGTCGGTTCACCTGGCCGATGAACTTGTTTTACAAACAAACAATTCTGTCTTTCAAGCAAATGTTACCGTTGATATAATGTTATTAAAAGTGATTCGCGTGCAATTCTTAATGATTCACGACAAAACCTTTTAATTTAAACTAAAAAACATTCGGAATGCTTTGTGAGATTCCTAACAACCTTATATTCATAGTAGTTCGCTTCCTCTGTTCACCTGAAACGATGCAATTGTACGCAAAAAGTATTTTCGGGCATATAGTCGTATCAAACTATATAAAATCAAATGTATTCGTGAAAGACTACAATATTTCTATGAACAAATATAATTCTAAAGAGGGTCAGAAACAACTTACAAATTGTTTCGTCTTTGTAGCGTTGCTTTTTTTCAAATGGCAAGCCCCAGAAAGGCTGTAGGTGAAAACGAGTGGCATGATAACTTAAAATTCTAATGGCATTCTAATGGCATGAATATAAGTAAAGCACATACATGCCTGAAGCATTTTTTAAAAGTAGCTCAACCATCTAAGTTGGAAAAAGAACCGGAGGCACTTTCATCTTTAACCTAGGCATCTAAATAAGCGTTGTAATCGGGGCTTCTTCTTTCCCCTAAGTCCATAGAAAGCTGTTTTTGTTACACAATGTTAACGAGAAGCCTCTGTTAACACTGAAGCTGTAGGAATTCGACCAACTTTCCATTTTCTGACCCAAGTAACGTGATGCTGTATCTATTAACAGTTGCTTTTGAAATAACAATCAACAACCTTCTTTTCAGTAATCTCCCATCTGCCGTACTCATTTCCAGTAGCTTTATACAGAAACAAGCGATAATTTTTAATCAATTTTCTTAATTATCAAATCAAGTGTATCCATTATTTATCGAATCAGTGGCTTGAGTTATGTCGAATGGGTAAGGACTATAAAATATCATATACACGTTTTCGCTAAACCTTTAGAACTATGAGCGAGATTCGCGATTCGGTTTTGAGCATAAAACATGCAAGACACTATCTTTGTATAGCGGTAGGAAAAATATTTCAACCAAAAAATTGTCAAAGACCACACATTTGCTACTAAAAATTCGTATTATTATAGTCTAAAAGTTAGTTATAATCTAATTCCAAACCAAATTTATTTCGTCAGCGCCCTAGTTTAATTTAGTTCGTCAGCGCTTACGCAAAAAACATCCAAGAATCCACCCTCTTTACATACGAAAATAGATTTTCACGCTACTTGATATCTATAATAATATAATCACAATGATGTAAGACATGAAAAATCTTGCTTTTATATCGAGCCAGTGATTCACTGATAGGGTATACAATTCTATGGTTCTATTTATCCACTTGAAATTTCTCGCAAAAATACATAAATGACATAAAACGTCCAAAGCAACCCCTAAGACCTTATAACTTTACGGTTTCACGAAGCTGGATCATAAAGTTATAATACTATCTGATTATATTATGATTATAATGATTTTGGCATTGACCTGTTCCGATGAAACATCGTTCATGACACAAACATCAGGTACTCCAAATCGCAGCAACAACGATTTAGGAATGGCGGCAGGAGAAGCATGGATGGCCTAGGCAACCGTTCACTAATTGCATTGAAAATCAGTGAAATTATCGTCAGATAGTAATCTGACAAGGTAAGCCTTAGAGCATCTTTTTTGAATTTATAACGAGTTCTTTTAAATTTTGAAATGCAACCAGGGGTATAGTCTAAATCCAGTTTTACTCTGGAAATTAAAGGTTTCCTTTCATCACCTTTTGTTAACACGATATGCCTACCAGGGTTTGCACTGTGAGTTTACGGAAAGTTTTGTCTCCTCAAGTTTGATTTTATAGTACTCAAAATGTGAAAAGCTACATAGGTGAAAAGGGGTTTTTAAAAGTGTATTGCTTTAAAATTGATTGAATCTTATGTTGATTTACACTGAAAAATTATTTGATCTCGATATTTGTTTCCTCTAGACCAGTTTTTTGTTTCCTCTTGAATGTTTTTACACTCAACTTGAAGTCAATGAGGATTCTCTGCTCATTTTTGTCCTTGCTTGCGTCATTTTAGGCTTACAGAGAAGGGGGTAAAGGGCATCAAGACAGATATAGAGGGCCCCTCTGCAACAATCTACCAACTTCTAATAAAATTGTAGCTGTCATATCTATTGTATGTATGGCAAGGTCTGGATCTAAAAGAATGATAATAACTCTTAGCATCCATACAACACGAGAAATATTGCTAATAGAATTTATGCTCAAAGAAAGTGCTGCTTTGAAGGATTTGCCAAGAAATATTACTGATATGAAAACTTTGATGCTGATGATCAAATGTCAGTGTTTCTTTTAGAAAAATAGTGACAGCAGTTTGAATGACTTTAAGATGATGATAAATGAAGAGCTGTTTTATTTAATAATCAACACATGTACAATTACTCCTCTAAAAAAGATTTTAACTTCATTAACATTAGATCCAATTTTATTTCTAATGTGAATTATGTAGTTTAGCACTAAATGCAGAATCAGCAGTGTCTTGCAATCCTTTGCTTTTAGGTAAGAAAGATGACAGCATTAAAGCCAAAGCAACATTCTGCTCCAACTGTTGAAGAAATTCAATCTGATGTTCTGACTGAGGTAAAGAAATATTTAATATGGTGTTTTATTTCCTTTTTTGATAAAATTTTGCTCTCTTCCCTTCTTGGTATAGCATATAGTGAATCCTATAAGCATGCAAAATTTGCCAATTGATAAAACTGTAAAAAAATCCAAGAATATTATTATCTATTTTAGCATACATGTGTTTTAATTTGTTGAGCCCCAAACACCCTTTATTGCTGCCTTGTATGAAAGGTGACATTGCAATGTGCCTTGCTAATTTCTTTTTTATGAATAGTAAGTTTTACTTTGAGTAATCCTAATTATTTCTCTTGTTTTATTGCAACAAAGTATGCAGCTCAATATTGGGCCCCACACAGTAAGGGAGTTCATTCTTCATTTGATGCGAAGGTAAAGTCTTATTCTAATAAAGTTGAAATCATTAGGTAGCTTTTGTTAAGTTCTTGCTATGGTTGTGTCAACAGGGTTGTTTCCATTTTATTTGGGCTGTCTATTTTATTTTATTCTACTATATATTTTTATCAAAAGTAATACTATTACTTTGGTTGTTGCTAATTTTTGTTGACATTATATATTTGAATTTAATTTTGTTTGTTTGAATAGGTGATTTTTTTAAAATTTTATCAATGTGATTTCATGACTATTTTTTACCTAAATTTGAAAAAAATTGCTGTCTATCGTAGATCATAGAAAAAATTTACTTCAAAGAACTACTACCAAGCAAGTGAGTATTTTGGTAACATAATTACTACTGTCTGGGCCTAAGTTCCTAACTTATCTGATACAGTAAACATTTGCTAATGTGACTGGGAGTGTTTTATTATCATACAGAATATCTTTTGAGCCCGTGAATATTTTTCATTCTTTTCATTTGCTTTTCTTTAATCATTACTGGTCTGCACTGTAGTAGGTCTGCTCAGTGTACTGTTTTCCAATTCATTTTTTTATTGTGGCAATGAAGTAGATGTATATAAAAAAGTATTCAGATGTGAAATCTGTTATATTCAGATCACTCTTTGATCCATTGATAGATTTCAAGTTCGACGTATCATGCTGTTGGAATTCAGGTATCAAGAAAATTATACCATTTTGACCATTATTACTTCGTGTTTCTCTCATAACACTATCTCCAAAAGGAAGCGTTTTTGCAAAAGAACATATTGACTCAATGTTTTGGATCAAAATTAAAAAATTTTCATAATGTTAGTTAATGAACAATATTCCAGTCTTATGGGTAATAGTGTTATCATGTGCAATTTATTAGGGGCAAGATTTACATGTTTAGAAATCTTATAAACGCGTCTTACAGTAAAAGCCATAGCTTACATAATTTTTTTTTTCTTCTGACAATCCAAATGCAAATGTTAAATAACGCCTAAGGGTGAGCAGCAATTTATGCCCAGATTTGGATTGAAAGTAATATGAGAGGAAGAATTTCCTAAATTGGTTCTGATATTTATACGTTTCCTTATAAGAAATATTATATGAACTTAATAGATGTTGGGTGGCTGTCATCGGGTTTTGCAGCTCATTATTTTGTCATTTGGTTTTGGAAAATCCTATCTTGAAATATCATGATGCAAACGTCTCTGAACAAGTTTTTTTCTTAAGCATTATCTTTTATTTACAGTCAGTACTTAGAATGCTATTTATGGCCAAATTTTGATGAGCAAAAGGTAAATTGGTATTTGATTTATATCTTTCTTTTAATGAAACTTTGCTGTTGCAATAACCAGCTCGTAATTTTATTTTTACCAATAAAGCTAAAGTAAACTTAAGTCTTTTCTTTTTAATCTTAAACTTTTTTAAACTAGTCAACTAAATCTTTAGTACCATCCATGTTTTTTTCTACTATTTGTTGACACAGAAAGAATGAATTGGCTTCAATGTCCCCTTTCTTACCTTTAACAAGTTTGGTTGTAATTGCTGAAAGATTATTTTTTTCTTATTCTTCTCCTTTTTTAGTCTTACTCTTTACCATTCTTTTTTAGTCTTCAAAGGGTCATGTGATGTCAATATGCATGATGGTTAACGAGAAATTTAGAGAAAAAGTTCCAATGTGGGAGGTATGTTTAATGCTTTAGAGACAATTTTTTAGAGACAATAATGAAAAGGACAGATTCTGTAACTGTCCCTGAATGAGACATTGTCATTATCACCCTCTTACCTACTAGGTTTGCTGCAACAGGCCCCAGTATCTGAAAAGTTTTCCTTGAATCTGAGTTTTAACCATCCTTTGATCCAAGATTTTTACAGTACATCATTTACTGTATACTGTCTTGTGAGGTAGTAGTCGACAAAGTCCAAGGAAGTAGATAAATATTTATTTGTGCCAGTTTTTATCACTATAATCATATTTCTATGATCAATTTTTTTGTGCAATTATTTTTTTGTGCAGCATTCATTTTGAGTATACCTCCCAGAAAATGCCACATCCTCCATAAAAATTACCATAGCAGTCTAGACCTCACTCGCCTTCTGAACATTGTGGCAAATGTTTGTTCTCAAAATGCTTTCTATAGCTGAGGCCCAAAATTGTTAGATTTTGAAAATTTCTTGAAAAGCGGGAAACATGCCATTCGAGGATACTTTTTATCTAATAACCCTCAGAGGATAGACATCGGATGATGACTCCAAGGAGTGTCAAATGACAAATACTTCTGTATGACATATTTCCTCTTGTCCTTTTTCTATTTTCAAACTTTGCACTGGCAAGGCTTACTCAGTTTTTGTTCAATCCTTTGTCAACTGCTAACCTTTCACACTTTAGGCAGTTTCATCAAAGTAAATAAATTTAGGATGTACAAAACCTATATTAACGGAAACCAAATGGACTGGTAACTTTATCCAAGGCTTTTTGTTTTCTGTGATCAAAGCCTTGTAAAACTTCTGGGGAATGGACACCCCCCCCCTTTCAAACACCTCCTTCCAACGGACACCTCCCTTTAAATGACAGTAACTGGCCTCACAGGTTTTGCTTCAGGGGCGGATACAGAATAAAAGTTGACGGTCGCATATAAACAGTACCCAGCAGGCGGTCTAGGGGGCCTCCTTCATGGTCAAGGGTAGTGCCATGATAAGAACCCAGCCCCCCTCCCCCCGGAACCAGAGCAACTAGGTTTAATTTCAAGGTCAAAAACCCCAAAGCGCACAATGTCGATTATTGCAACCACTATAAATAAAAGGAATAATTCCACCTTTTTTCAAGAAAGTTACTTGATTTTTGGTCTAGAATATGATTTTCATGTCTTGTAAGCGTCAACTTTCTAACTGCGATTTGTCCCGCTAAGCAAGACTGATACACTTTGATTCATGAAACGCCTTAATGGACGCCCTTATCTTTAGGAGTTGCCTCACCAACGAGGTTTGCAGGCCTTGTAGTAGTTTTGAGGGGACTGGGGCCCTGAAACGTTCGAGTATTTCAGTCAAAAATTTTTCTCTTTTAAAAGGTTTTCCAAATTTTCCAGCAAATCCAAACACGCAGTTGAGACAAAATATCTTGAGATTCAGAAGTGTACACTTCCTGTGCACCTCTTCCTCATGAATAAAGAAAATTGGGATTCTTCTCCTTCACAACTTTCAACCTCGTCCACTTTCCTCCCTTGCCAGCAGTTGTGCGGCACAGTAATCTAACATAGTGTTTACAGACTCTTCGTGCCGCACAAATATGTGAAAACTTGAATTTTGATTGGTGAGATTTGGTAAAATATTTGCATAACAAAGAGCCCTGCATATTTGTGCGGCACGGGCGACATGCCTAAAAATCATACTGTTACGGTCTAGGATGGTCTTTGAATTAAATCGTGGCATTGCGTGTGAGATCGACCAATGTTCGGTCCTGTGTTTATTGTGTAAAGAGAGGTAAATGTATTATCTGTAAGGAGGGAAATAAAAGATTGTGGTAAACATGATTGCCTTATTTTAATGACTGAAGACTAAAACTAAATTCTGAAAATCTGACGGTCTTCCGTGCGACCTGTGCGACACCCTGAATCCGCCCCTGTTTTGCTTTGTATGGTAACCATTGTGAATGTTAAAAGGTTTAAACTTATTTGGACCATAATTATTGAATTTTTAAGCAGAACAGTATCACATAAGTTAAGATTTTTCTTGACCTACACCAGCTGTTCTCAAGTTCTAAACAATTTTTACGATCGCCATTAACATTTTAATTTGTTTAAAAAATTCTAATGTTTTATTTTAGGCTTTCAAATCAGATCCAGCGAATTTTCCCGGACTTATTCGTCGTGTCATGAAACTAAACATTGATGATACAGGGGTAAGTGATCAGCTTTAACACTAGAAGCAGGGGCGGACACTTGGTCAAATATTGGGGGGCAAGCCTATTGTTTTAATAAGATGACATCACATTTCCCATTGTATTTGGAACTGTTCTTCTGTGCAGTGCAAAATACAAGGCACCAAATGTTATAATAAAATTTAGCTGTCTGTAAGGTGCCTGAAGCGACAAAGGCTGTACTTTTTCTTGAGGTCAATACATTGGGTTTGTGGGAGCATTTACGCTTTTGGAATATTGCGATATCTCAAATATGTTGATTTGTAAACTTATGTATTTTCTTTGTATATTTTCTTTATTTTCTTTGTATATTTTCTTTATTTTCTTTGTTAAAATACAAGATTGAAATAACTTAAGACCTCTGTACATTTATATTGGAAATGTACTCATTTCAGTCACAAAGATAAGATATTTATCATTCAACAAGATTGCCGAGTGTGACAAAAGACTAATTGAATATTTGCCCTATGGTATTATGTTTTTTAAATCGATCTAATTTTTAGGAAATATCAATTAAAGAACAAACCATTGCTCTGATATTTCTTACTCACTGCTTCAACAGCTTGGTAAGTTTTTACTAAAGCAAGGGTAATAGACGTTATACTTGCTTTATCTTTGAATTATGGTAGCTTTTAATGTCTGTATTTGATAAGCAATAATACGATGAAATACCCAGAACTCCAACATTGAAGGAAACATGGTAAAATATGAAGACAAAGGGTTCAAGAGACCATCTAATTCATTTATTATTCCAGTCAGTTTGTCAGATATTATTCTAGCCAATGTTTCTTTAAGGTTTGTTGTAAGTTAAGCATACAATTGAAAACCCTGGGTACCAGAGCTATACAATTTTGAGTGCGTAAACAGATGGCCAAACAGAGAAGTGGGGGAGCGTCTTCGACGTCTTAGAATTATACATGAATGCTTTTCACATAACTAGTTTTTGCAGAACATGGAAAGGAGTCTCTCTCTTTCCCCTTTTCCCCTGTTGGTAAGAGTCATAATGATTGCATCTTCATTGCTAAAAGCATTGGTTATATTGAAAAAACACCGGTAGTCAATTATGTGCTACATCCAACCCGCATATCGTGTTCATAGATTTTTTAGACACGTTCAGGCAGCTAAGCCCTTACTTTAAAGACTTTATTAAGCCCAGTATGGCCTAAGGGAAAACATAGAAGCAATTGTCTACAGTTTTGAAGAGCACGACCATTCCAAAAAATACAGCTACAGTTTTGAGCAGCACACCCATTTAAAAAAATACAGCTACACTCCTTCTTTGGTTAGGGACCCTTCGTTTACTTCCGTGCAGAAAGGTAATCGTTAAATATTGGTGGCAGCCGCCATTGTGAAAACATGCGCGGTATTTGCATTGTAGGCGTGGGTCACGGTTAGCAATGGCTCATCAGCTTTAGCATTCCTTCATAGATGCACAAGTTGACGTTTATATCTTCTAGCTAAATTTCTTCTAAATTTTACATGCTCCTCTACACAAGTAATAAAAACTATGGATAACAGATATTGCATGTATATAAATAGAGTTTTCTCTCATATCTTTGCTAATAATAGATTTATATCTTATATGCTTCGTATCTTTTTAGGAAGTTGATCTAATCAGGGAAGAAATCCAAAAACTCATATCCTTGCGTATATGGTCGTGCATTTTGCCGGTATGTTTCTTCGTTTTTTTCTTACTGTTGATGCAAAGTGTTCAGCTAGAAATTCGCTTTTCGGAAATGGAGATTGTACTTGTATTTCAGCGGCAGGAAATGTTTTTCGATCGCCATCCTTTCAAATTGCATGACAATTTTTCCCGTATTTTTCAATTTGGTGAAATCATGGCAAATCTACCATTGTGAGTAGGTAGTTGAAAAGGCCAAACTAGGGCCTGTTTACGTGGAGGAGTGCCAGCACTGCTGACCCAGCTCGCTCACCAGGGCAGAATAATTCTTTCGTTCAATCCCATTAGAAAGAACTTTATCCCAAGCAAGAGAGCCAGTCTAGGTTTGTACATGTGTCTATAACTTCCTAATTTCTCGCCTGACCAGGCTAGCCTGTTTCTCATGTGAGCAAAAGATGAAAAAGCAGAAGTTATTTTTCATGCAGAGCTCAGTCATCCAAGTTCGGTCTTTTGCATGGACATCGCTGGCTGTATATTCATTTAAACAAAATGCGGATTTGCATTGCAGTTTTATTTTTCCAATGGATCACGCCTAGGGTTGCCTGGTCTGCCTGCCTCCATGAAAACTGGCCCTAATAATATTGGAGAAACTAGAGGTTTATCATTCTGGTTAGAGCTGTTTGGTAGTTTTAGAATCCTGATTTAGAATTGTTGTACCTCATCTGTAATAATTTTTTTCATATGGTGAACAGGCATGCAATATGTGAAACGACTTTTGAAAACCACTTTTCAAGATACACTAAAGCATTTTGACACACTTCTAACAATCGTTCGCCTTAAAATTGCTCTACATTAGATAAAACTTCATGTCTGTGTTTTACCGAGAGTCTTTCAACAGGCACCTTCCTGTATAATTCACTCCCAGCCTTATAACTAACAGGTGCTTTGAATCCTAATCACAAAACATGTGCAAGACCAGTTTGACAACTGCTTGGAACCTTGTTTGACAACTGCTTGGAACCTTGTTTGACAACTGCTTGTGCCAGACCAGTTTAACAACTTGTTTGTCCATTTTTCCCATTTTTCACGATAATGCTTTTAACAAAACCGCCCTTTTCTTGCCTCGGCTTCATTTTTCGTGAAATCGTCTTTTATTTTTCATCAAAGGGAAGACTAGAACAGGAGCTGAAAATATTTCCGAAGTATCGAAAATTCTGGAATTTGATGAAAAAGAAAGAAAGTCAGATGGATGAAGCCGCTTTAAAAAGGTATGATCTAAATGCATTGCCTCATGTATTTTGCTTTCGCTATGATCATTTTGGTTTCATGGGGTTTACAACTGACCATTGAGGAAGCCTGCTTTCAAAATCAGTACGAGGCAACTTCAGAGAACAATTAGTACGAGACAATTTTAAAAGAATAGCAACACGATTATCGTGAAACAGCGAAATTAAATATATACCCCCCCCCCTTCTATCATGACTCAATGTCTTTAATATTAAAACATTGTTTTATGAAAGTTATCTGTTTTTCAATGAAAAGCTTCTTTTGATATGAATCTAAATTGTGAGTGATTTCAACGAAAGTAGCAGTGAGCTCAATGTATACTTTTTTATTAGAATACCGTAATTTTTCTAAGCCTCGATATTCTTAAAAAAAATTTGATATTGAGCCTGGGTATTTTCTTAAATAATTCGATATTGACAACATCGCATATGAAAAAAATGTTCTTTTGCAGAAATTGAAAACTGGGCCCAGAGCTCAATACTCATTATAACTATATTCTGATAAAAATGAGTAGCTAAAAATATGTAGCAATGGATCAGAAGATTCAATTACTTGTATAAACAATAAGTCAAAAAGAATCAGGCATCAATATTAGGTCAAATTAAGCTAACAATTAACATAAATTATTTTTTGATAAAAATCAAATAAATCTATTCCAAAGCTCGGTCATGTGATTCCTCTAAGATTCGAAAACACATGTGACAAATGCTAAGGATTATTGGATTGTTTTAGACATTTTACAATCAAGGCCTCATTTAGGCACGAAAGTTTGACGACAGCGCAGTTTCACAGTACTTTCCCAACAGTTTTGTTGTCCGGATCGTTTTTCTCCACTTTTTCCTTCCATTCTTATTAACAATCCCTTTTGTTCCCATTTTTCTCAAACAGTGGTGACCCCAATGAATCGATCCTTTCTACAGTACTCTACCCCTATCTGTACAACTTCCTCCCATGTTACTTGAGTTACAAGGTCATCAGCCAATAATTTTGCAGGTTTTCTGAAAGAGCTAAAGCTCTTTTGCATTTATAACCGCCACAAACAAAAAAGGTCTGAAAAGCAAAGTCCTAGTAAGGTCACTCTAAACTTCCCTGTGAATTTAGACAATGTTAAAAATTAAAGCTACAAAACCATTTGAAGAAATATTGAGCTGTCTTTGCGCTGTTGCAGCCAGTTAAATGTAAATATTGAAATAAAGCAACGCAATTTGCAGATAATTCAAACAAATTATTTTCTATTTTAGGGTCAACGAAGAAAAACAGTTCCTATCAGATCTGATAAAACTGTTTTTCAAAATACTGGACACTGTTCCAGCACTTGGTAAGAAGTATATAGAAAATTAGTAATGAGATAATTACTGCAACGAAAAACCTATGGTAAAATGCATGCTTATGGTATGGGTTATATCTTGCAAATGACAGAAATGGTTTTCGAAAAATTTATTTATTTATTTCTTATCAATATTTTGCTTAACTTCTACTACCTTATGATTCCTAATAACAATATATTCCAGGTTACATCAATAAATAGCTTGGTCTGATATATTTCTTCAGCTAATCTTACCTATTTTTGGGAAAGAACTGTTTGGGAAGTCCTCCAAGATTTGATCATAAGTCGAATAAATTTGAAATGTTTGTAAATGGTTTTAGAAATTTTTTGATTCTGATTAAACGCCTTAAAAACCTTACCAAAATCTGAATACTGAGTCCAACAAAAACGTAATTGGAAATTTTTTAAATTATCAATCGATCTTTACTTGTATCTGATGAAATATAGATATGGCTAACAACAGGGAAATTTTCGAGGGGCAATTCACTCTTGCAAATAGCGTACGAGATTTTCCCTAAAACAAAAGGATTTCTGGGGATTTTCAGATAAAACAATAGGATTTTCACAAAAGGTGTACGATATTTTCTTGGAGTGATTTGCCCCTCGGAAATTTCTGTATGAAGAAAACTCGAATCCTGATAAGCCATTGTTCAGTATATTAATTTATTGGGTTGGGTCTTAACCATTCTTATCTTATAAATTGTTCTCTAGTGTTTTGAATAGCCAAAAAATAAATGAACCGAAATCACAATTCCAAAAATGTCCAGAACTTTTTATTTTCGAGTCGATTTCCTTGCTGTGGAGTGAAAACAAAACCCTTAATTCTAAACTGGAGCCGCCCCTAGTTATTTGCCTCGAAGGCTCAGCTGACGAGGTGGCCGAGTGGTTAAGGCGATGGACTGCTAATCCATTGGGCTCTGCCCGCGTGGGTTCGAATCCCATCCTCGTCGGAGGTCCTATGGTGTAATGGTTAGCACTCTGGACTCTGAATCCAGCGATCCGAGTTCAAATCTCGGTAGGACCTAATATTTTCGTTTTTCTCCTAATATAATTTCGTTTAATTGTTGCCTTTTATAGTCCATTTTTTTTATTTTATGCAAAATACATTTATCACTCAATATTTTCGTCGTAAAGAAACTGGCGCAAAACATTTAACCATCGATTTTTTTATTCCATTCAAATTTTTTTGATTTGATTTAGATACATACAAAAATCTCGTTCCTCATTTTAATGACTACTAGCATTAAAGTAAATAAAAAAGGTTAATTTAAGATTCGCCATTTTTCTTTTAGTTCGCGTCTAGAATATTTCTTTTCTCATGATTTATGTTTATCATAATAGTTTCTAGATGCAAGACAACACTACATTTTCCCACTTCTTTTGCAAGCGATGTTCGTCTTTTTTTCATTCCATTGTAATTGAAACCTATTATCGTTGTAATCATATATAAAATAACGAATGAAAGGCGTTCTTGTAAGCTGTCGGTCCTAATAAAATGTAAAAATGAAAGATGCCAAATGTTTGTATAGTGTGTATAATAACTTTATAACTGATCATTTTTATTGTTTTTATTGTTGGATTAGTTGATTATCCAGTTTTCCTGATTTTGTAAATATGTTTTTCACTTGTGGTTTTTTAAGTGTTTAGTCCTTATTTACTTACAGTTTCTATCTATTTAGTGAAAAGAACATCAACAATATGATAGTGCAGATTTTTACCCTGCTGTCATTTCATCTCCTGTTCTTTTAATTCGTAGGATCTTTCGATAAAGACATAAAAGCTTACTGCGAAAGATTCGTCGAGTTGATTATTGATCTCTTGGTAAATATATATTCAATGTTCATTGTAATCATAAGGAACTTACAAGCTCCACATTTTTATAAGGAGCCTAACTCGAAACCTAGTTCTTAAAGTTCCTTATCTTTAAACCATTTTTGATCGAATTGTAGTATTAAAAGCTCCTTAATAGTTTCCTAATTCAACTTCACATTTTGTGCCATAAAAATAGCACCATAACACGTTGAAATTTTCCATGAGTGTCGCTAGATTCTTTACTGTTACTGAAATTACTGAGGGACAATAGACAGCAAAGCCGAAAATTGCACAATGAAACACTCGACAGCTATCTTCGTAACTTACCTGATTTTTAACTCCAAATGAATGGAACTGCGTTTCTAATCTTTTGCAATAAAGAAAATATTCAAAATTTAATATTTCTTTAAAGATATTGCCTCTAGAAATATCGGTCCTTAATTTTTTCCATCTTCTAAAAAAAGGTCCCTTAGCTATTAAGTGGCTCCTTAGAAAAAAGAGTGTATCGAAATATACGACGATCTAATGGCTCTTCCTCTTTTGATGCTCTTTACCTTTACCTTGATTTTTCAACATTTAAGTTTTCATTTATCGTCTTTATCCTTTATTCTTCTTGCTTTATCTTTCTTTTCTCTGTATCTTTTTGTCTTCAGTTTTTTCGTTGGTTTTCTTTAATTCTAAAAAATTCTAATTAACTTGAATAAAAGCTTATGCAAATTGCCTATGTTTGCAACTTCATAGGACACTTGGCTGGATAAACATTTTGGTGTCCAACACAACATTCCATAAAAACGTTTTACTTTTCAGTTTCAATGATTATTCTTCTAATTGGTCATTATTGTAATTAATCTAGCGTGTCCTTGCTATTAATGCTGTGGTTATCAATCAAATTTGAATTTGAAATATAACTTCACATTCAAAGAAAGTGTTTGTGGAACTGCAATCGCTGTTTTTCTTTTAAATTTTACGAGATTGTTTCGTTTTCTTTCCCAGCTTCTCGAAATAAGCCTGTATTGTCTTAGTAGCTGCAATTCCCTACACTGTATTTTATACTGCAAATTCATTTTCTACCTTTCAGTCGATGCTCCCGACCAGAAGATTCGTCAACGTCCTCCTGGATGATCATCATTTGGTGGTATGCTCACTTGTTTTCAAGAACCCAGATACGGGGGGGGGGGGCTGGGGGGAGGAGGGAGAATTAAGTAAAATACTTTCATTTTGTAAAGTATTGCTGTTGTTACACTTATTTTTCAGGGTAGGCCCCCTAAACAAAAATTGTATCTCTGTCTTTGCTTGTTTTATTGTTCATCTTATTCTAACTAGTAAATGATCATTACCAAATCATTGATATATCTTTTTAAGTTACTGATAACAAATGTCCAGAGCATAATTGTTGATAATGATTTTATCGAGGGGTGATACTAACATAACTTTTTCTACTATTGAATAAAATTACTGTTTACCGGTCTGTCATAAGGCACTTGATGCCGTATATGCAGCGCTGTCCACGCCTTTAGTGTATAGAACAGGGTGGTTCTAAGTTGCTCCTCCGAGTTTCACGCTTTTTGCGATCATCACGCAACTGTTGCATATTTCTACAATTTTTGTTTGATGTTACGCATATGTTTTTTTATTTCTTTCTGGTAATTATGTCAATGGCTGTTACCCTTGTTATACGCCTAACAGGTGAGATGCAAGCTCTCTAACATAGCAAAAAGAGAAAAGGAAGGACATTTGTTTAATCAGGTAAACTAACATATGCTTTTGGTAACCTTTTTTTATGAAATCCATTTCTTGTAGACTGGCCGTTTCGCTAGCGCCATCTCTAATTCGCTTTTTGTATTTGAGACCAATAAAAACTACTATAACCTAGATTCGATTGTTCCCCTTGCAATGTACTGTTGACAAAATTACTTTAGAAAATGTTATGAACTTGTCTAGGTAATAAAATTGTATAATTTCGGGAAATATAGGAATAGGACTTAGAACCTATTTTTAGAATTTTTGTAATGTTCTAAAATTGAAAGACTTCGGTGATTTGCAATTGCCATTTTTCGCCACAAATTTCTTGTGTAGCCTCTCTAAGTCGTATAACAGCACACCGATCTAAGTCATGCTCCATCGATATAAATAAAAGTGTCATTTTGTTAATCTTTGTTTTTACATCATTTATTTCAGTTGGTTGACGCTCTTAATTTCTATTCACGATTTGAAATCAATGAGCATACAGGTACGACTTTATTCTAAATTATGGAACCATTAGAAATATGTTTTAAAGTCTGTAATTCGATTTGTCGGTGATATAGTATATTAGATGGCGATACATTTTGAGAATTGGAGAAAAGTAAAGCTACGTTCGTAATCTCTAGATATCTGTTTCGTGAGTAACTCACTCTTTAGGAAAGCAACAAAAATACAGTTTATATATTTTTATAAATACAGTTTATATGTGTATTTCAAAGTCTATGTTGTTTAAGTGTTTATATTTTTCTGTTTTTTTTGGCTGCAAATAATGAGAATATTATGTTCAAAAAATTGAACTTTAGAATTTGAGGTTGCTGAAAGAACATCAGGCATGTGAGATAAAGATAACCTTCTGACCTTTGTGTCGGACTATTAACCCGCATAAGTGGATTTCATGATTTGCAACCCCCCCCCTTTATGGTTTGTCAAAGAATATTATTAAAATATCTTACTTTATTCATAGGAACTGCACTTACTGACCATGAAATGTCTAGCTTGCACTGTGAAAAGATAACCTCTCTACAACGAGCTGCATTTAAACATTTGCGAGACGATTTGCTTGATTTTTGCATGGGAAATGTTGCGAGTGTGGACAAAAGAGAGAGCCTGACAAAGCTTTTAGGAGTCTTAAGGTTTGCTTGTTTGATTCGCCCTTTTTAGTAAAGAAACTGTACAAGCATTCTTCATTGCCGTTTTTGTGTTTCTTTTAGTTACGCTATGATATCTTCCTATTGTTTTCATCGTGTAAATGTTTCTCTAGTTTATTGCAAATATATGCACTCCACTTTTCTTTGTAGTTAATGCCCTCTTGAAGGATTATTTTTCATGTCTGAATTAAAAAAGGTACAAAAGCAATGAATTTGTCACAAGTAACAAAAAATGAAACAACTAGAAATCATTTCTCCAGGCCTGTCAAACAATGTTTGTTAAAGGTGAAGGCCTCCAGCACCCCTGAGGTGGTGGGGCGGGTGTTAGGTTATCCAACTTTCCGGATTGCCTATCCTTTGTTTTTTTATTAAACTATTTGATGTTAAAGAAACTAATTTTTTCGTAAATACCTGAAGGTGAGACGTATTTTTGTGATGGCGCTGAATAGCCCGCGCCAGTAGTTTGGCAAGGGCATTGGCGTAGGCGATCACCCGCGTAAAACGAAAAGGGCTGCATTTCTGTAACTGGGTTGTCTGTCATTCGTATCCTGCTTTCTTGAGTTATTAAACCATAGTTTCTTTGCCACATTTTCATCAGAATATTCTCTTACTTTTCCAGTAAAAAAAAGTTACATACATTAGCGGAACATTTGAAACTTGTGCCAGAAAGGAAATCCGTTCCAAAAGATGTATCTTTTGGCAAATCGTTCCTGCTAGAATTACTGGTAAGCACAAAATTGTTTACTTTGTGCGATATCATCGCGTACATTCAATTTTCTGCCGAGAGTTTTTTCTGATTTTTGGCAATTATCGAAAATTTGCATATAGGACATTTCATCGAATGACATAATTTTCAGCAAGTTTTAGCATTTTTTCTTAAAAAAGTGTTGTCTAGTGCTACCTTGTATTGTTCTTCCGTCTTCCGAGAAGGGGAAGGAAAAGGGGTAGTTCGAACCAAGGTAATTCGAAAAGGGGCATTGTCGTTTAGTATTTCTCCTATGCAGCCCATTTCTACTTTTTTAAAATACAGTGTTAAAACAGACTTCGACAAAAGTTGATGGTTTAGTGAGAAGATACATCTAAATTTGCTTCAAAATAAGTTTGCCATTTGTGGTTTATTACCGGTATGATTATCCAAAAATTTTGAATAAACTTAACTTCATTTTTATTAAGGTTTCAAGACATCAAAAACGACAATCTCAAATTGAAGTTCTAAATGGAACGCCTTATTATCCAACTGAGGAGGTATGTATTTCAACATTTTATTCGTCGCAAAGATTTTTGCGAATGATTGCAAACAAGTGTTGGAAATATTAAGTATTATTTTCAAAAGCTGCCGTGTTCTGATTCAATCTTGGCTCTCTTCATCATCTTGGCAGGAAGAGATTCGAGAAAATCGTGACATTCACACCGAGTTACTCAAGCAATGTTTCTCAATTTTTTTAAAATATATCAATCTATTTCTTGGCAATTTGAATACCATCATTTTTAAATGAGAATAGAGATCCAAAGGAGTTTGTATAACTGCTTTTTTCCTGATTATTTAAGATTTGAATTCCAGCTGTGGTCTTTTCAAATACAACAGCTATACATAAAGACTAAATTTTGTTGATGATTTAATGGGTATCTCCATTTTAGACTTGTCTCAAGTTAAATGGTACCTACTAAGTCTTGATCGTTATTTTTTATCAATCTTATTATTCTTAATAATCGTATTTTCTCTCAAAGATTCTTTGGGATGAAAACATCGTTCCTTCGGAGTATTATTCTGGCAACGGTGAGTTTACATTTGATTAAAGAGCCAGGCGAATTAATGATCTACAAAAGGTTTTTTATTTATTTGATTCTTGATGGTCTGTGCAGAGGTTGTTAAGATGAAATATTGGAGTAGACAATAGAGTTTTATTACAGAAATTGTTTGCTTTTTTCTTTATTTTCTTAGACAGAGTTTCTTTTGTTTCTTCTTTGTCAAAAGACATCACTTTCAGATATGGGCCATTTCCCCACACTTAACTGTGTTATTACCCCTCTTTTCCTTGGTACAATTGCTCTTCCGGTTTTTGTCCCTCTACACTCGGATGTTTTTGCATAGAAAAGAGAGGAGGAAGGTCTTTTCTTGTAATAATGTCGAAAAATCCACTTCGCTGCCCCGTCGCTCAAAAAGCCAAATTTCAACCAGTTATGATTTCTATTTTATTCATTTCGAGCGATTCATTTGATATTGTTTTTGTCCTTTTACTTATGACGAAACTTTACTTCGTTGTTGTAGAATGCCTCGCTTTGCCAAAGCTGAATCTGCAGTTTCTAACTCTTCACGACTACCTTTTACGGAATCACAATCTTTTTCAATTGGAATCGACATGTAAGATTACGATTTTATCATTTTTTCGCTACCATATTTCTTTTGTCGAAATTCGCGAAATTTTCAATATATTTAAATGATTAAATTACAATTAATTTACAAATTTCACAATTATAGACGAAATTCGAGAGGATATAGCTGATGCAGTTAGCAGATTAAGGCCATGGTAAGATTTATTGAAAGGAATTTTTCCGCCTTTTACATTCAATATTAACTTTTATGTATGTGGTGTGTGGTAGCCCCTTAGTTGAAGTTACATGACAAATAAGTTCTGAAAACTATTTACATGACTAAGTGGTTATTTTAATCTAAATTTGTTTAACGCTAAGAAAAATAAAATTCTAAAGAAAGCGGAATATTAAAATTTTAAATCGGAAGTCGGAATTTGATAATATGACAATTGAATTAAATGATCTTAAAATTTCTGTTTAATAGACACCCCCCGTTAATTTTCTGGATTTTTTTAGACATCCCGCTCTTTATTTAAGCCTTTTTATAATGACTTCGTGTACCAGCCCCCCATTTTTTAATTTAACCACGACCTTCACGTTAATCTCAACCCCCTGTTTATTCCCGGCCACAGAATAACCTTCAAAGCATTTCCATTTAGGAAAAACGAAGTTGGTAAAACAGAGTTTGGTGGATGGGCCAGAATGGCAAAGGTAAAAATTAAATTTTGTAAGCAGGCAGGGCTACCTTAAGAATAACAGATTTCTAATGACAGAAATTGTGGGAAGAAAATGAAGTAAATCTTTCCTGACGAAAGTAAAGAACGACATTGTAGGAAGAGGACGTTAGCAGCGGTAGATTGTTCTTAGACAAGGTTGCCAGATAGGATTTACCAAAAGAGGCCAGACGGGCAGGCAAGTCACGCCAAAATGCTCATACTGTTCATGTATTTACGCGTGCGTCTTTTAAATAAAAAACTTTTCTTTTTAAAAAAATCCTTTGCTGATAGTTAGAATCTATATTTTCGTGTGACCTATAGGTGATAATATTTGACATTTGGGCGTAGAAAACTACTAATTACCTCATTAATGTAGTTATAACGCTTTCAATTTAGAAATTGTGCCGAACAGGCCAAAAAGGCCAAATTTAAGTAGTAGGCCACTGGCCAAAGACAAATTGTTCCAAGCATTTTAACTACGAAGAAAGCAAATCTGGCAACCCTGTTCTAGGCTGTGTCTGCATTCCACATCTTTTAAATTGCTTATAGCTGCAAGGTGGTATTTCTAGTTATTTCAGATCCAGTGTCTTGAACAAACAGAACATGAAATGTCTTGAAAGAAAGTTTCGTTGTCACATGCTCGACAACCTTGCTTAAAGGCACAATGTCCCGTTAGTCAACTACTCAGAGTCAACAAAAGGTTTTGCAGTGCGTTTATGATTGAAAAAAACATTGCGAACTAGCCTAACGTTGCCGATTAGATACGTAATAATGGTTTATAATGTAGTTAAACCAATTGGAAATTTAAATAGTTAGCAAAATGTGTCGGAACATAGTGCAATCAATACATACTGTATTGGTCATATTGAATTGCTTACTCAATTATTTTATAATTTTATTTTGTCATTACCCAATTCGTCCACAACTAAATCCCTTGAAATCATTTCATGGATCATACGGACTTTTGAAGCATTCAACTAGACAAACATCATAATTAATAAACAAAATACAATGAACGGATGGAAGGCTACTGTTTTATTATTTCAACATAATGAATTAATCAAAACAAAATCAATATATAAAGTTTCAAAATCTTCAGTATTAGCTGTGTACCGGCTCGTTTAACTTATGCAGAGCACTTAACACATCATCTTCACCGATTTTTGAAATTTACCGACATCTTCATTGGACAATTCGCTATCAAATCCATCTTTAAAGACAAATGCTTTACACAGCCATGCCATTAATTTCTGCCACAGTTTTTTTGACACGTTCTGGAGCGGATAATTATTTTCTAGATGACTTTGTTGAAGTCTTCTTAAAGAACCCGATTGTCTACGGAAATTTTTAATTGCCAAAACATAGGGTATTTGTTTATCTCTTATACCTGATCTAACCTGCTGTTTTCTTTCATCTTTTTCAGCCAATTACGGATTTCAGTGTCGTTCAAGTAGGTAAACGTTGTGAAGTACTTTTCTCAACGATGAAGTTTCATCGATTGTATCTGTTAGTTATCTTTGATGAATTCTTCCAAAAGCATTTTTCCTAACAAAAAGAAGTCGTGAGTTTCTCGAGGAAGTTGAAAGGCTTAGCTATCTGTCACTTTATGCAAAGTCTGTGACACATAAACCATGACAATATTTTTAAATCTATATATCATTTGATACAGTAAATTCCTCCAAAGAAGAGCAAACTTTTTGAAGATTTAGAATGTTCTGGGGTGTTATATCTAAGGTGCATACGGGCATTTTGAAGCCAAAAGCTGTCACATTAGGTTCTGAAATACATGTGTATTTATATGATAAATTGGTTTATGATGCTTAGAAATAGGGTTGATTGCAAATGACAACGGATGGCGTCAACAGGAAAATGTATCAAAAATTCAATGATAAAACTTCTCAGGTTAAATATGTTCTAATAAAGATAGAGCCTGCATGTTCATAATTTCGAAGGCTCTTTTTTACTGGGATTCAGACCTGCAAAAGTAAGATGCCCTCGAAGCGAGAGAGGTATTCAATATTGTGTGAGATCGGACTCTTTACGATTTGTCAATGAAAATTAGAAATTTGAGGCCACAAAGAAACAGCGCAGAACTTCTAGATATTACTGTGTAGTTATTTATCATCGTATAAAAAATTGTACAATAAATCGTTAAAAGGTGTCTCAGTTGTTCTCTTTGTACGATAAGGTCTCAATAGAAGATAATTTTCTTTCTATGAGATGGAACAATATTACTTCTCCTAATCTTTCCCTTTTCTTGACTATCAGAAGCTAATTCATGGTGTAATGGCCCATTTATGGCTTTATGAACACCCATGTTTGTTTGCTATGCAATTTTATATTCAATATCAAAGGGCTAACTTAAATTCAATTGAAATGCACAGCTGTACCGCTTTCTTTATTCCTCGTATGGTATAACTTCCAAATATAAGCAGCTGATCTTAAAATCTATCTGCTCTAGCCCGACAAGCGATGTTCTTTTTTCGGGCCCTTTTAAAATGATCCGGCTTAAGTATAGAAATTTGCATTGCATATTTAATGAGAAATTAAGTTGACATGAGTATTAAAGGCTGAGTGATGGGAATATAGATACCTGGATTCATGCTGTCTTGTTTATTAACCGTACTTTGACACTAGAATAGATTATGGCCTGTTTACGTCATAACTTGTTTTGGCCGCTTTGGTGTTCACCGGCTGCTTAAGGCTATTGCATATTATATTTCGGCATTTTGCTCTAAATCTTTACGTGATAAACACGAGCACCATAAAAATTAACTCGATTTTTCACATCTAAGCAATCAAGTGCTACTGTAACGCATTTGTTGACAATGTTTTCACCTTTTTATATCAGATTTACCGCATCAACAAAACAATTGAATTTCAAGTTTACACTTCACCCTTTAAACGAGTATAATAAAACGAGCGCATAAGAAAACGAGTGAATGTATGAATGCATCGACGAATGGATAAATCAGTTAATCAATTAATGAGATGAATTTATTTAAGTTTATGATAAGATAAGCACGTTTTAACATCATTGGGTAAAATGTTTTTATTTTTCTGGTTAGGAGAAAGACCATTGTAAAGGAGCTTTATCTTTCCCTATCTTGAAAATAGAAATTTTTTTGCTTCAAGTCATAAAATTTTTTGAATTTTGCTCTTTAAAGGTAGGAAAGCCAAATATCAGTGAAAGCCGGCCATCAGTTGTCAAAGCAGATGTGACTCTTACACTAAGCATGCAAAGGATGATTCGAAATGAATGGGAGGGTGAGTACTGCTTGGAAGTGTATAAAGGTTTCTATGACGAAACTTTAAGAAGGATGGACTGCGAGATCTGCTGTACTTCATAAATATAGTCTATATTTATCGTAAAAACTAAATTAAGCACCAACTCCCTGCCAATCTCGCACAAGAAAGACGGCAAAGATAAGTTTAAGACTTTGTAAGAAGTTTGATAATTTCATGCGTATTATTTCTAGTTTCTGACAAGGCAGTAAGTGTTTCTAGCGCAGTCCATCCTTCTTAAAGAATCCCTTGGTCCGGTTGGTATGAATCTGAGAAGAAACTTCCATGCCTAAACAGTTCAGAAAAAGAAATGGCAGTTCGATTTGCAAATGGCCAATTTGGTTTTCGGTACTGTCATAAGAAACTTGAAGATATAGCCCAGCTACCAAAACAATACGTCGGTCTTTGAAAAGCGTCCACGTTTAAAATGGCCTTACGATTAGCGTCCCCTTAGGAACATTTGAGCAACCTTAAGAATATTTTAGCCCCCCCCCCCCCACCCCCCCTCTTATGGCTCCATGGAAGCTTTTAAGAAAAATATACAGTTAACTTTGTATAGGCCACTGATGTTCAGCCAGGAATCATAACAATCCGAGTTTAGTACTATCAATTATTCAATACAAGAGAGGAAGTCGTATTTCCCTTTAACTGCTACTTTCTCCAAGCATAGATTTCATTTATTTAAAATTTTTATATTTTAATGCTATGTGTATTTCTTCGAAGCTTTGAGGAAGCATGACGTCGGGTTCCTAATTGGAATAGATGCTGTCAGAAAGACACCTTCTGTCAAATACGACAAAAAAATTCCATTCAAAGAGCAGGTATTATATATTTCTTACGACAGTCAAAAAGATAGTTTCAGCCTTGTGGTAAAATTACAATTGTGCACACCTATTTTTTATCATTCTATAGGGTTGCATTTTTATTTGCTTCAACATTTTTTTTATCTAACTGATATTAAAATTGTGTGTAAGTTTTACCACAATACCGGGAAACTAAATTTAGAGAAGGATGATATTATATTGATCCCCTGTTTTAAGCAGCCAGTTTTCCGTCGCTGACAGCGTAGCGTCTTTGACGACAGTATTTGTGAGTCCTCCATTAGATATCCTGTAGCTATCATACGTCATTGAATTGCAAGAATGTTTGAATTTCAGTATAACGATAATTTCAAGTATGGACATGACGACTTCCTTCTGTAATTCAATTTGAAATGCGAGATCACAGTAATTCATTTTATATTGATCAAAGGAAAAGCTAAATGGCTGCAGATTTTTTTGACCATAAAAAATCGTTATTTTACGTCTGAATCCAAATTTGGTTCTTTTGTTTCCGTAGTGAACGTAGGTCACGAACATGTGGCTATGATTTGCAATATTATTAACTGGTTTTCGATATTTTTGGAGTTTCACCTTCAATATAGACGTTTCACCTTTAATATCTTGCTGATAGACGTTTATCTCTTTTCTAGTTTGGAGTAAAGTTTATCCGAGGCTGTGAAATCGAGGGATTACTAGATGAAGATGGAAACGTTATTGAAGAAGGCAAATACTTTTTCAAGCATAGTATAATATAAATTTTCAAACTGAATGTCTTTGTTTTGGTAAAGACTGGGAACTTTTCAATCTTCTAAATACATAAGGTTTTGTTCTCTTTTTGTTCTCACTAACTTGTGTGTTCGTTTTGCAATGACTGGCTTATTTGATAGTATTGTCGTAATTAATCATGGAAAACTTTTACTAAGTCTAAAATGAAAGGAATTATCAGAATTGCGAATTTTTCTTAGGCGATTCTCTCTTTGCTTGCGTACAGAAGAAATTTATGTTTTCTACTAAATATTTAAGGGCCAGATGCAAAGCCTCTGCCAAAGGGAGACGTTCGCACTTATCGTGTTTGGCTTGACACTAATCAATACAAAATTGATTTAGAGCGGACAGCAAAGGGAATGGAGGTTAGAATTTTTTTAATAGTCTTATTCACTCACTTTTTGTTTCTCACAATTTGTTAAGACGTTTCAAATAAAATTGGCAGAAAAATAAGTACAAAAATTTAAGTACTCTTAAATTTTTCTTACAAAGTATCAACTTTGGCACTCTATCCTCCAATTAAATCTTTTTTTAGGACGTATATGAATCGTTCAACGTTTTCATGCGCAGAAAACCCAAGGAAAATAACTTCAAGGTTAGTAAAGAGCATTTCGTATCGTTTTGACGTTTGAAGAATGTTTAGCCAGCTTAATGTTTTTGTTAGGCTTACGAGATTGGTTTGAAGTCTTTCTGAAAGGCTCCTCCTCTGTAACAGTTATTTTAATCGAAATTTATTTTCAGTATCTTATTGATCAATTCAGCCCAGTTCAATGTTGCTAGAAACATGCTTAAATTAGTATAGAATTAAGTTTTACAACATTTTGATGGCAAAAGACAAGCAAAAATATGTATGTATCCATAAGCTGCTTTGAATTTGGATTTTAGTAACTCTAGTTGAAGCTCTTCAGAGAGATTTTAAATCAACCTTTTTAACTTAACATATGTATATATGCAAAAAGTAAGCAGAAATAGATAGAGCAGGTGAGACGAAGGATATCTTAGACAAGAAGCACTCGCAGTAGATAAATTAATCGAAGAGAGAGTATCGCCTATTTTAGAAGCCTTTATTCTTGATTAGTTGGTAGTTGAAGATGAGAGGTCGGTTGATGCAAAAAAATTGTCTTATCAAAAAAATTGTAGTTATTACTAAGAAGGCAGATTAATTCTTAATTGATGATGGAGACTTATTCCTGAAGGAGCAGTAAATTGCACACTCAAGAAGTTTGCATTTAAAAATTTGTTTTGACTTCAACTTGATATTGATGAAGTTTAATGAGCTTAGCTGTTTACAGATCTAAACAGAGTTAGCCATTCTAGGAAAACAAAATTTCTTGATCACTTTGTAAGTGTCAGTGTTAATGTGAGTGAAATATTTACTTTTCCTAGGAAGCACGTTTAAGAAATTCATTTAAGAAACTTTTGATATAGCAATATGGCCAGAAAATTTGAGAGACTGCCTACCAGCACTGGAACTTATTCTCTTATAAAAAAATACGCGTATATCGTGAACTCGGGCAAATATGTAAACGTAAAATGTAATTTAATATACATGTGTTGAAGAATTTATCGAATCGTCCTGCTTCATCAGTCCACAGTCATAGTTGTGATATAATGGTCTCTGACGCAAATTGTGATTTAATTTTTAGGCCGTGTTAGAAACTATACGTGATTTAATGAACACAGAATGCCTTGTCCCGGAATGGATACATGACGTATTCCTTGGATATGATGATCCTGCGGCTGCAAACCATTCAAGGTAATCAATTTTCAAAATTATAACTGGCAAAAATAAGAGCTTTTTGGTGCCGTGACCGCAAGAATATATGTTGAAGATTCTACATACTTCTCTTTTTGGCCTAATATTTTCTTACTCTGTGCAATGCACCTCACGAATGACTTCACCAAAGATATACGATGTTGTTTTTTACTTATTTTCCTTGCAAAATTTATTAGAAGAAGATTAAAAATCTTCTTTTGGTGGTTGTAAAATTTTTCAGAGTTTTGTTGTGGCCTTTCGTTGCTCAACCCTTTAGAGGAATTTTCAGAAAATTGTCTAGCACGGTGGCCTTCCTTGTGCGAAATATATATTTCAACATCAAAGTAGAGCATTTTTCATTTCAATTTTCTCATATGGAACGTCATATGTTTGCCTCATCTGGAACGTCCTTTTTCTTGCAGATTGTCTTCTCAAATAAGCTCTCTAGATTTTTGTGATACATTCCTCAATTTCGAACATCTGAAGCAATGTTTCCCGGGCCGCAAAGTGCAGGTACGATTTAAATTAACTCAAACTATCTTTACCTAGCGCTCTTAACCTAGGACAGCAAATTATTTGAGGAACTAAAATCAAAGGCTTCAGTTATGATTTATACGGATGGTAGAAAATAAAGCATTTCTAACTGTTGTTCTTTAAGAAGAGTATTTTTATTGATAGAGAATTATGTAGTTTCAAATCACACCTATGAATGTGTTATAAAAACGGGTTTAGAACGTAAAAAAAAGAATATTAAAACTTTTAACATCAATGTTTTCTTGGTAACCGATGTTTTAACCCTTATATCCCTTATAGACTTGCTCGTTTTAGATTTGCCTCTCATTTGATAGATATTTGACATAACCTAACGTTTCGAGAATCTTCAACTGGATTAAAAATCGAAACGCTCTTAGGGCTGCAGTAGCAATTGTTTCTTACTGAAGTAATGAAGGTGCGTTGACGTGGATCTCTGTTAACTGAAACCTGCTAACCGAAACGATCGATTCTTAATTTGGTGTTTTTATTGCAGTGTTCAGCTGATGATGCCAAGTTAAGGATTCCTCCATTTCGGTAAGTTTAGCACAAGACAACGTCAACTTGAGTGATAACGACCATAGCTAGATTTTCAGCTAAATTTGTGTTTTGAAATTAAATCAAATTTTGAATAAGGTTTCCCTCTTTTCTAGTTGTATTTTTAAGCTAATTTGGTAGAATTAACAGGAGTCTTTTAGATTCGTCTATGTTTCCTTTTAGTAAAGAATTTAGATTTTACTCTGTTCTTTGAGACAAAGGCTGCCTAGATTTCAATACGCTGTATTAACTCTGAAGGAATTTTGAATTCATCCAGAACTGTGGCTGATATCATTCGATCAGAATTCATTCAAACTGACTTGCACTTCTTTAAGTTTTATCCCCTCATTTATATTATCGCTTTGACACGTCGATTGAAAATGAATATTTTAGTCTTTAAAGTTAAGCTTCCAAAATGCACCAGCTTACAGAAAAATATGCTAATTTTTTTAGCCTGGCGTTTTCCCAGTCGAGTGAAAGAGGCAAAAGAAAAGCAGGCGAAGAATCTCCCGTGAAAAGTGAGGACGAGGTTATGGTTGAGCCGTATGTCATTCCAAACAGAGGCCCCTATCCATACAACAAGCCTAAAATGTAATTTCGCTTTGTTTACTTAAGATAACGTTTTCTACCATGTTACTTAAGGTGATATGGAATTAGTACTCTGTTTGATTGGAACTTTAGGTGCTATAAGGTACTTTACCAAACCAGACATTACTTTTTTACGTTTTGTGTAGTGTAAAGTGGAAATCGAGAAATTATATTTGGTTGTTCATGAAAGCTATTGTATGGAAATTTTTTATTTGGCAATGCAGTTTAACCGTAAAAGGTTTGAATTTTATGATTTCATATCGGTTTGCTTTTAGGAATTCAGTCCCATTCACACCTACGCAAATTGAGGCAATACATTCAGGAATGCAGCCTGGATTGACAATGGTTTGTTGATTCACTTCCTCCAGAGTTGTTTTACCTGACTACAAATGTTACATTCTTAAATGACTTTGTAAAGTTGGATTTTTACTAAACCAACTTGTGTTTTTGCCCAAAGCCTGAAGTTGGTGACATAGACTTGAAACTGCAATAGGAATCTAGCATGCACGCTCTTTTGTTATCTTTGATAGGATGTTAGATAGGGTTAGTGGTAATTTTGAAAGCAGAATTGCACGGTACTGTTTGAAAATGCCTATCTTATCTTGCTTGAAATCTTCCTTCCTTTTTGATCGCTTCTGTTTTTTTCGAATTTTATTCTCACAGCTAAATATGTTTTAGGTTGTTGCGCTCTATTGTGTAGAACGACATAGTCTAAGTTTCTACTTGACCTTTCGGGGTTGATGCGACCTTAGGGCTTATTCCATACGTCATCAAGCGATTTGCAACAGTCCAGTATACGGTAACCTTCATTTATGTTTTTATATTGTTTCATCAATAACCATTATGTTTTATTTTAAACAGGTAGTTGGGCCACCTGGAACTGGAAAAACAGACGTGGCAGTGCAAATAATTTCGAATATCTATCACAATTTTCCAAGCCAAAGAACCCTGATCGTCACTCATTCGAATCAGGTATAGTCCAATGTCATTTGATTGCTTGAATGTTTATGTCAGCCTTAAAGTTATTTCCATGAACAGGCTGTTTCCTCGCCCAGTGACCTTATTTTTTTATGTCTGTAATCACCGTAGTTATAAAGGAACCTACGTAAGATAACAGACAGTAAAAAAGATATAGAAGTAGAAGTGTATAGAAAATATAAAGAAATTTATATGTATAGAAAAGTTAAAGGGAATGAATAGATGAAATTGGTAGCCTTCTTTGTTCCTATCTGTGCCCGCCTGACCAGGTACTGAGAGCATAAAAAACCCTGAAATTTATCCAAGGAAAGCGATAATGCTACAGTCGCTACATGACGAACAGCTTAGCTCATCTGTAAAAATTTTATGACAGACCAAAATTGAAAATTACCGAAAACCTATATATATATGGTTCCTTGCTGATGTTGGGGTTGAACTGTTTTAAACTGTACCAGGATAAACAAGAAATGTACTGTTACGAATGAATTTATTTATGTTTAGGAAAATTTTATGATATTTGATCGAATTGAAATTTAAATATAGTATTCATTGATAAATATCGAAATACCTGTACCATTGTACACCAATACTCTAAAGCTCAAGCTGAAAGTTGTCAACAAAGATACAGTGGAATTTGTTGCGTTTCTTTTCTAATAAGTTTTTTATTTATATGTAGGCTCTAAATCAAATCTTTGAAAAGATCATGGCCTTAGATATTGATGAAAGACATCTACTCCGTCTTGGTCATGGAGAGGAAATGTTGGAAACGGAAAAGGATTTCAGTAGGTATGATGTATGTTTTTTATTGGAGGTTTTATCTTAACATTTCTTAGAGATTCTTTTCAAGAATTTGAAAATATGGTAAGTTGAAGGAGGACAAGAGTATTTTTCAAATGATTCTAACAGTATTGATACTTAGAATCTTTAACTATGTTGTGCATTTTTTGAAGGTGGCTTATTAAAATTGCGTTTTTTAGCATTTATCAAACAATATTCTGTAATTTTCATACACTTTCATTTTATACATTTTCAAACTTCATGAAGATTACTTGCACTTTTTCTTAATCGGGCCAACTTCTTTTAGGTACGGACGAGTAAACTATGTTCTGGCAAGACGGTTGGATTTGCTGAAGGAAGTTCAGAGATTGCAGGTAAACTTTATCACTGTTTTCCACTATTCTTTAGTTTCATAGGATTATTAGGTTGACACTGGTTGAACCACATTTGTTCTTAGGTAAAAGTATTGAAATTTATTGATGATTTGCAGTTGTGATTATAGAATCGAAAAAATTTCTTAGTTGCATCTGAGAATAATCATCAAGTTTCTTTGTCTTTTATATTGTTGACAGAAAATATGATTGATATTACATCTTCGTTGAACATAAATTGCTGTTATCTAAAATCATCAAATCTATGACCTTCTATAGGAAAGCCTCGGTGTCACTGGAGACGTCTCGTATACATGTGAAACTGCTGGGCATTTCTATCTATACCAGGTAAAGCTACAGATCTATGCATTCTTGTAGTTTGAAATAATGCTGTTTACAGGTATAGAGCTTCAGAACCGTTTTAGAGGCAACTTGCTCATTTTGTATTGCAAAAATCTATAGCCAGTGTCAAAGCAATCTGGAAAGCTGTCTATGACACCTGAAATGATACATGTACAAGTTGCAGAAAGGGTTTGCTTTTTTGATGTTTCCTTGCTTTTTTCTATTGACTAATCACTGTAAAATACTGGTGCTTTTGCAGTAATAGTATGTTAAAACAAAGCCGAATATGAAATGCTACAAGGTTTTTCATTAACTAGATGAGTATTGCTATGGAAAATCTTCTATTAGACCAACAGATTTTGAATATAAAAGAAACTAGGATAAGAAAATTGTATTCAATCCATTATTAAATATGGTATCATTGGATCTACTGTATAATGTTTCAAAACAAATGCTCTTTAAATCCTGTCGTCTTGTGTACAGGCAGTTTTAGAGTAGATCTTCAGTGACGTCACTTGGTTTGTCATTGTTTCGATCCTTGCATTATGACACGAATAAATGGTTCTTTGCATTTTAGGTCATTTCAAGGTGGGAGGAATACCAAAGCAAATTAAAGAAAAGGGTATGTACATTTTTGTGCAATTTGTCATAAGCTTTATTATTTTATTGTCAAAATTTGGAAGTTTCCTTGAGTACTTTCCACCGTGACAAATGTGCCTACCCCAGTTGCATGTAAATTCCCAGAATCAGTAATTATTTGCAGCTTCTGCTATGGCTTTTGTTTGAAAATAATTTTCCATGTTAAATTTATACGTATGAATATTATCTTATCTTATCTTATCCGATGAAAAATTGTATTTTTTCTTTTCATATTCCTATAGCTATCCCTATACAATGCTCAATATAAATGTTCCTTTGTTTTGCTCTGTGTTTGTGTTATACTAGTAACTGATCCCAAGAAAACAATATCAGATAAGTAACAGCTCTTGTCAATTTTAAATATTTTTATTTTACTCAATCGTAATTTTTTGTAGAGCAAAGATCTCAACGCAATACGAGAAGAGTTTCCATTTGCTAAATTCTTTGAAAATGCACCACAGGTAAAGTACACAAGCTGGAGTTCCTTATGTTTTCTGAACATGTTCTGTCCAGCAGCTTTGGGCCCCAAGCACCCTTTCTACGCTATCTGTCTAGATACAAGCCTGCCAGCCACTTTCATAACCAGGTATCCACAAACTAGCTAAGAAGACCCAATTCAAGGCTCAACAGAGAGTGGCTGAGTTTATTGGCTAGGCTTTTTGGCTAGTCTTTTTGGCTAGGCTCATTAGCTATGTTTATTTGCTAGGCTCGATGGTTAGGTTTTTTGGGTAGGCTCGTTGGCCAGGCTCGGTGGCTAGGTTTATGGAATAAGCTCGTTGTCTAGGCTCATTGTCTAGGCTCACTAGCTAGGCTCATTCATTGACTAGGCTCGATGGCAAGGTTTATTAAATAGGCCCGTTGTTTAGGCTAATTGGCTAGGCTCACTAGTTAGACTAGCTAAGTAGACTAACCTGTTAGGCTCATTTATTGACTAGGCTTGGTGTCTAGGCTCACTGGCTAGGCTCTGTGGTAGATAAGCTTTGTTACCTCGACGGTAAGGATTCCTAGTGTTAACCAGCTCAAGGGCCCTTAAGGGCTGTCTTAGCCAACCTAGAACATAATATGTCCAGTGACAGAAAATGCCATTCTTACTGTGACATATGATGTTCCATTGCATATGCCATTAGTGAATTTCTCCCTTCTTTTTAGCCCATTTTCAAAGGAGGTTGTTACGAAGAGGACCTAGAAATTGCAGAGGTATAATGAAGTTTCTAGTTTCTTAAATGTTTGATTTTTCTTTAAACAAGCTCCTTGCAAAACAGATTATACTTGTTTTCAATAACCTTATTTCTAAAATACACCGTTATCCATTTTTATGCAAAAGTTTTGACAGTGGGTATTTGAATGTGGCAACATGGTAGCGGATTTTATATAAAAATTAGGGCCTCTTTATCTTAATGTAATACGTCTCAACTTAGTGACATAAAAGCGAAAAGCTAAAGTCATTGGATCACTCATATAACAATGAGCTAGAGCTGGTACCATTCCTTGATGACTTTTTCAAACTTATCTCTTTTTAATTTAGGGTTGCTTCAGACACTTAAAGAAAATCTTCACTGAACTAGAGGTGAGCTGAACATTTGTATTAAAATTTTAATTAACTTCGATGTTTTCCCGACAAATTGATATAATGGAGCAACGAAAAAGGCTCGGATCTAGGGATGATTTTAAATCACCTTTCGGTAAATTTGTTGAAATATGCTGTGATTTTCATCTCTGTTGAAAAACGAATTTAATTGTGTCTTGTTTTCAACATTTATTGATACATTCAACATTCAACACACATCACCTTAAAAACATGCATCAACAGCGAAATTTCACTCCTAAAGGAAGAATCACGAGTTGTTGTTTCCAACCTTGCCTTGAGAACTTTCTCTCTAACAGAAATTCCAAAACATTTCTTTTTAAATTTTTTGTTTGTTTCAACTTACAGGAATATCGAGCATTCGAACTTCTTAGAAGTGGTAAGTACTTTTAAAACATATTACGCTTTTACACAAAATGAACCAGGAAATATCAAACTCCATGAATTCAAAAGACACAAATTAAACTATACAGTATGCGATCGAACTAGAAATAAGATCTTAGTTATAGCTAGTAAACTTTTGATTTGTTGGTCTATTCAGTTGCAACTCAAATCAAGATATCATTAAACCCCTTTATGGAGACAATTGGCTATCGAGCCTTTTTTCTTAAGTCACCAGAGTCTTAGATATCGACTCCGCTCTTTTTCCCTGTACTTACAACGTTTAGAAAATTCCGATTGGAAACGCCCAGTCGTAGTCTAAGAAACCCTTGAAAATCATAATCTTTGTCAGCTATTCCAGATCAACCGGGATTTTAAGCAAAAGAGAATGTGAGTGATTTGGATGCTTATGGTTGAGTGACGTCACGTCAACGATGCAACGTGGCTTTTGAACAGCTGACGAATTTGCGTCTTCGTTTTGCGTGGCAGTTCTCTTTACATTTTATCATAAGGGTTAGGTTTGCTCTATATATTAACTAGTTTTAAGTCATATAAAATTGTATCGTTAGGTACTTTTTACACCTTCCTCTTTTGTTATAGGGAGAGACCGCTCCAAATATCTTTTGATTAAAACAGCAAAAATCATTGCCATGACTTGTACACATGCAGCCTTGAGAAGACGCGACCTTGTTGAGCTCAACTTCAAAGTAAGGACTTCTCACCCACTTTTTGCTAATATTTATAAAAAAGCCTATCATTTGAAATTGTAGCTTCAATTATTGATGGTTGCATCTTAAACTCTGATTATTTTTATAATTGAAATTCTTGTTTAAAGAAAAAAAAATGTTTCAGGCTCCAAAGGGCCTGTAGCGGGTGTAATGAGTCCCCTTTGAGTGCCTGTAAGATCCCTTTCGCACGATATTATCTGTTAGTTCCTTCTTCTAATTTCTTGACATCTTGAATATTGTTATCTTGACACTAAAATGTTGTTTTGGTTTTTTGTAGTATGACAACGTCCTGATGGAAGAAGCAGCTCAGATTCTTGAGATAGAAACATTTATTCCGCTCATGCTTCAGGTATTTTCAAAATGTCTCTTTGATTTTCCACCTTTAAGTACGGATTTCTGTCAAAAGAGTTAGCATGTTATATAGAGAACGAGGTTAGGAAGTATATACGTAAGAGCTTCATATAAGTCGAGCTAAAATTTCCCTTTTGAAAGGAAAATATTTGACATGAGTAACTATATACACTCGAAATCATTTTGTTTTAAGGCAGTTTCTCGTTAATAACCAATGTTCTGATTTTTTCAGTGGCCACTTTCTTTGAACATGCTGAAAGTTAGTTTTAAATTCTTAGATGAAACCATCTAGTTAACTGCATTTTAACATTACGTCTTGATGCGGCCGATTAGCTAAAGCGTGCGATGTTTTTTTGTTTGTTTTTTGTCTCATTGTTTAACTGTTTAAAACCACCCAGTTTACGCACTTATTAGCATGAGTCGTTATTTACATTGACGGAGAAGTTAGAGCGTTTTTTATCAACAAAGTGATTTCATAAATCCAGTTAATACATTGCAGATGCTCCCACTATGAAATTGTAAACATTGAAATTAGTTCAAGGACCAAAATTGCGCTGGTTTTTTATCTGAGGAAAGCATCTTTAGGAATAAGTCTCAAGATCAAATAAGTTATCTTTTTCAATCAATGCTTTTCTCAACATTTCAATTAAAGGTGACATGGATTTCTTTTTCATTGCAATATATTTTAGAATATCTTACTCAGAATGTAAGTGAAGAAAATGTGATTTTTAGTCCATCAAAGCATCGCGAAATCTGTTCCCTACTTAATCAACAGTGATTCCAATATTCATTCTTTGGCCATCAATATAATTTTCCATTTCAGTCTCTTCTTTGAACAAGTTGTTTTACTTGCGACTCGAACAGTTTATCTTTGGGTAAAGGGTGTTTATTCGAGGATTTACTCTAATTGATGAGTGAATAAAAGCAAATTCGAAGGGAATAAAGGGAAATATATCGACAGACACATAATCCCTGTTTTTTTTGTAATTGCTCTGTCAGTGCAAGCCAAGCATTTGTCTTCTTTTTTTACGTATAGAATCCAGAAGATGGCCTAAACAGGCTTAAGAGAATCATATTGATTGGAGATCATCATCAGGTGAATGACGCAATATTAGTTGAAATAACTAGAATGTTAAAGTGGCTTTGTTTGTTTATGTTTATTTGTGTTTGTGTTTGTGTTTGTGTTTGTGTTTGTGTTTGTGTTCAAGTAAAGGCAACGTTTATATGAAAGTGAATGTGACCAAATTGTTTCTATAGGGTTTGTTCCCTGCCCGGGTTCGCACGTGCTGGTCACGCCCACCTTGAATCACTCACTCAATCATGTGCGACAATATACAGGCTTATGCCCATGAGTATACCGGCTGTAAATGGTTGTTTCTTATTCATGACCTATACAATATAAAAAGTGCGGATATTCCCTACCTATGATTCACACATCAAGCAATTTCTAAGTTCCACTGTTCATAAAGTTTCCTTTTGTGTTCAAAGCCACTTGAACATATTAATTATTTCAGTTTATGTTCAGCCTTGCACTGCATGCGAAACATTACTATTTTGTGAATGAAGACTTCTTATAGCGCTCAGTCAGTTCTCCAGAAAATACAGTCATGTTTAAGACCAGCAAAAAATTGTGAAAAAACGCCATTATTTCCAAAAAACACCATATATATTGACATATTCATACTACATTATATATGATCACTATATATATACTTTAAAGGTATCAACAATAAACACTTTTTAAATTCCAGTTGAATGCATTAGAATGGTTTTTTGAACAAGAAATGTTATTTTAATGTTAACCTAGAAAAAAGGGAAAATGTGTCACGTGGTCTTAAACTTTTGGACACGACTGTATGTTTACCAATATCCCATGTCGTTTAATAGCAAAACAACATGGTTCAAGGGCGATAAGGAGACTGCTGACTTCCATCCACACTTGAAGCCGAGGCTAGCGTATCAAACGTTTCTAGTGATAGTTACCATAAGAAAGAATGCTGTTAGAGCAGTTATTGCCATTAGCATTGCACTAGTGCTTTTCTAAGCAATAACAGGCAAGCTCAAAGAGCTCTATGCTGATTAATTAGGAGAACCAAAGTTGATTATGCATTTAGCCAATACACTAATATCGCTGAATTTTTTGAGCTCATTTTAGAATTAACCACAATTTTGTAAATTTTGAGACGATGTTAACTTTGAAAAACTAATTGAAGATTTGTTCACTAAAGTCTTTCCTGATGAAACTTTTTATCCTCAGTCGCTAATCAGGGTCGATATCCTTGTAAAATCTAAATTCTTTTTGTTGTCATAAAATCGATATTTTGGGCACAAGCATCATCAAAACCTACATGTGCACCAGAATTCTTGTCCTTAATCTTGAGTCAAAAGTTTTGTTCATTTAATGAAGTATTTTTTTGAAACCCGGTTGTAAACTGAATTTGAGTATTGGGCCAGAGAATTTGAGCCAGTTGTTATTTGCTTTGAATATATGTCACGAATATCAATTATTTTGTTTTGCAGCTTCCACCTGTCATAAAAAACATGGCATTTCAAAAGTTCTCAAACATGGAACAGTCACTTTTTACTAGGTTTGTCCGACTTGGTGTACCTTACGTGGAACTTGATGCCCAAGGTAGAGCTCGTCCAAGGTGAGCCCGCTTTTGAATGTGATATTATTTCTCTGTTAAATCTGAATTCGTCTTCGTAGCGTTAATGAGCTAAGTCCAATGTTTTGACAATCGACATCATGCCATCAATAGACACCCAAATAGACAAAATAGAACACCCCAAATTTCGTTTCTTTTACTGAGTGCTGTCTTGCTTTTAGAATGGAAAATGCAAATCCTTACTGTCTGGCATGTACAGTTTACCATTTCTATTAGATATCCATCCTTTCTATTTTCTATTACTTCATGCCTTTCAATAATTGCTAGTTTTAGTTTTTAAGTTAATTATATGTTTCAACCCTTCCATATTGAACTTCAGCTTTACATAAATCTGATCCGTCGATTAAAATGTTCTCTTGATTTTCAGCCTATGCGCTCTATATAGCTGGCGTTACAACCATTTGGGCGACTTGCCACATGTGATTAGAACGAAGGAGTACCAGCTTGCAAACCCAGGATTCGTATACGACTTTCAACTGATTGATGTTGGTGATTTCAATGGAGTCGGCGAGACAGAACCTACTCCTTACTTTTATCAAGTAAGCTAAAACCACCGAGCATCCAGTTTTTGAATTTAAGCCTACGTTAATCACAAAAGATCTGCTTTTAGAAAGCAGCTTTAATTTTTAGAGTAATTTGGTTTTGATTTTTGTCTTTTGGGGATTTAGGAGTAAGAGGCATTTAAGACATAAGCTCTTTAAATTCCTTTAAATTTTACTTTGTTGACCATTAATTGTTACACTGGTCGTTAAATTGCATTAGCTTGGAATAAGAAAATGTAATGCAAAGCCATTCAGCAGGATCGGGGACTGAAATTTTGCTGCAAAAAGAAAAGACTTGCTAGGAGTCTTGTTTCAGGAGCCCCAGTAGAGGTTTCTGACGTGCTAAGAAAAGAAATTATGAGTTTTGCAGAAAAGAAAACTTGCAATTTTCCAAAAGAAATTTTTTTTCTTGAATGAAGGTATTATGATAGATATTTTGAAAACCAGTAATGAGATGGCGTAAATACAGAACGTAATACGTTGTCTTCACCAAGAACAGGAGAATCATTGGTTAGGGCCTCCGAAGTTATCCACAGCTAAATGTGCTAGGTACGAGCACACTGTGTTAGTTTCTGTTCCAATATCAATGCAGCTAGCTCTAAGCTGGCTCGATTTAGCGCTCAATTATGTAACTGTAATGACAAATGATAGAATGATCTACCGGGTACAATTTAACGAAGAACAAAGATGGCTTAGTATGGGGTAGTGATGACCTACGAATATATCAGTCTATTATTTTCTTTTCGACGCAGTTTTCTTGCTTTATAGATTGTTCCTTTAAGATTTTTAGGACAAAAATGTGCGATTGTTATGACTTCTATTCACGCTAGAAAAATAACTTTGGTTTGCACTTTGTTGCTTGTCGCCGACTACCAAATCAGCCATTTGTTCTTCCTAGAGACCTACTAGTGAAATAATGATATTTGTCTTTGCAGAATCTTGCCGAGGCAGAGTACTGCGTTGCTTTGTTTATGTACATGAGACTTCTGGGCTACCCCGCTTCCAAAATCTCTATACTCACCACTTACAATGGGCAAAAACATCTAATTAGGGATGTTATAAAGCAGAGATGCGGAGACAACCCTTTGATTGGCAAGCCACACAAGGTTTGTCATCGACGTTTAATCTAGTTGTTTTGATAAGTCTTATTTTAGCTCATTGAACAGGCTAATTGAATAGAAAGCTACTTTATCGACAACTCTTTTTACTAGATCTTGGTTTCGTAATCATCCCAAAAGTATATTTTATGCTTTCAGTGCATACGCGTCATTATTCTAAGTCTTGTGATAGTATTGTAGGATCAAGATAACCTAATTGGACTTTTTTGGTTGTAAATTTTTTGATTTCTTGAATGTGTGCAGCAGGTATATAACCAGACTTTGGTATAGGTGCATTTGAGAGATTAAGCAGCAAAAACTGTTTGAAAGGCGACTGGAAACTGACTGAGAAGTCATTTTCTTTCAATCTGGTTATTGTTTCCAGCAGATTGATCTTAACCAGGGTGTGTTTTAGGAGAAACACTTGGAATTTTGATGAACTTCACTTTAAATTGTCTTAACAAAAGAATACTGAACACAAAATAGATAGATAGTTCTCTCCATGCTTACGAAAATGTGCGCAAGTAGTCTAATCTGATGCCCAAGTGGCAAGAAAGCAATACAAATTTTCCCTATTTAAATTCTGCATCAAAAGGGGAAAATCCTGTATCATTGGGCAGTAAGATAACAGTGGCCAGATGTAGTTGACAGGGAACACGGTGCGGTTTGCTAGATGTCATATTCCAAAAAATGTTAACGCTAACCAAAGACGGCCGATGATTAGGTATTGCTAGTCAACCACCTCCCTAGCTTGTTAGCCATCTAGTTAATCTTATGCTGATTCGCCCTGTTCATCGAAAACTTCTCTTATTGAGAGTTGTAGAAATTATTGCCTGAATTAGACCCAGAATAAAAACATGCTGTCTAAACTGTTTGTAGAAGATTTGATGTTTCTTTTTGTAATGGAAGTTTTTGTCCCTAGATAAGCAAAAATGATTACAAAAACAATATCAGCTTACTTGAAACCATTCACCATGCATACATTTCAATATGTCTTTTTGTACTTCCAAGCAATAACTTTTTTTTCTCTTTTAGGTCACAACCGTTGATCGTTACCAGGGGCAACAAAATGATTACGTCATTATTTCTCTTGTCCGGACAAGGGCGGTCGGTCATTTGAGAGATGTTCGTAGGCTGATTGTGGCCATGTCACGTGCTCGGCTTGGGCTGTATATTTTTGCAAGAGTTAGCTTGTTTCGCAACTGTTATGAACTCTCTCCAGCTTTTAACCAGGTAAATTTGTTTATGTTATTGCATTTTTGTCTTATAGGTTACGAAGTTAACTAGCAAAGCATCGTAGACCTATAAATTCGCCAAATTTGATAAAGAAAACCCTTTGGCACACTACGCTTTTCTCACAATCCGCTCTCTCTCCGTAGCTTTGCGCCAGACCACAAAAGCTGTTTCTGGCTCCTTGGGAATCGTATTCAACCGCGCGGCCGGTATGTATTCTTCCCTTCTCTATAACTACTTAGCGTTGAACTGGCGACAAAGTAGTAAGATATGGATGGAATTTTAAAGCGAAGATTGCGACGTTTTGCTTTGGAAATCTCATCTTTAACTTACATAATTACACTAAAACATCTCGGTACATTTATTAATGCAATTGAAAAATTCCGCACTAATTAAAACCCCGTTAATTTCGTGCTCGCGTAAATTTCTCATCCGCTATTAAATGTTTACCGTTAAATAAACGTCTGCTAACTTCATCCTACTTTAAATTTTTGTATAATTTTTCAAAACGACTAAGAATAGCCACATTTTACGATCATTTCTTAAAAATATTATTTTATCTGAAAAAATGAGGATAATAAAAAGCGTCCAAACCGAATACAATGGTAAGTATTCTTTCGCAAGTTCTTTAAGATCTAAAACATGTCTTCCAAGTTTAAGTAAGGTACAAGAGAAATAAAAAATACTTTTTATAACATTTGAATGTCCTTGTATTCAACGTTGAAAATTTTTCAGGCTTACCCCCACGTGACTGATACCTTTATTGGAATCTCAAATCCACCTTGACTTTGAATTTTCATGCAAATTTTTTGTTTTTTTTTCCTGTACTGAATTTCAATTTCATTAAAAAAGTTTTGTTGATTTTAAAAATTCGCGTTGATTAGATACCATTTCAGTATTTGAATTTCGTCGATTCGCGATAATTGATAAACATTTTGAAATCCAATCTTGCTATTCGCGTTAATTTGTGATCGCATTAATTTATTCCGCATTATTTGGTGTACCGCGTTATTCTCATGTAATAAGGTAGATCGGCATGAGTTGAACAAGCCCATGGATAATCGTTTCAGTGCAAGCAGTGTTTTTTGACATGAAAACAGGAAGATCTACTGGATATTAATTCATCTTTAAGATTGAACCCTACTGGCTTAAAATATGTCACATATTTTCCCTATAATGTCTTTGAAGGTGCCTAACAATTTTGGTTGATAATCAGTAAAGTTCAGCGTATCAAATGAATAGCAGAATGAAAATAAATATGATTGAAATACGGCTTTGTACATGAAAATTTGAAGAACCATAGCTGATGAAGATCACACGAGGGAGAGTTATGCTCGAAACCTCGCAACAATGTCCAACAATTCTGTGTTTGTGTCAAATGGTTGCAACGAAAAGTAGATTTATACATTTTTAGTAGTCCTAATGAGAACTTTGTTTTTGTAAAAGGAAGTATTTGTGTGCTAGGTACCTGGGTCAGCTGTGTCGGGCTTCGGTCTTGTGTTAAAAGCAGAATGCTATTGCTTTCTGCGGACCTCTATAATACATCAAATTCAAGCTGGGAGAACCATTACGGATAAAAAATCATGGCTTTGTTTGTGCGCTAAATGATTCCCGCGGAAGTGGCTCAAAGAACATCATGGATTTTGTTACCATTGTAACGTAACATGATAGATGCTTAAGTTTTCACGAATCTCAAGCTCGAAACAGTTTTCTAAGCTGTTCGGCCAAAAGTCAAAGAGCTACTGGTAACGGGTCTCTGCAAAGCTATTATAAAATCGTCATTCTTAATCTAAAACTAGCAAGCAGAAATATCTGTAAAATTGTTTCTTAATAGAAGTATGGGTACAGTCGCATTGCTTATCTCCCATTCGCAACTGTGAGGTTATCTTTTGTAAACTAGTCCGAAACATGACTGCAAACGCAGGCGGATAAAGGAGACGAATAACAATTCAACGTTTTGAATCTTAGTGAATGGTTTGTTATCCTTCGTCTTTTTTCGTTGATTTCGTGGCAAGATTAAGATCCATTAAGTTGCATTTAATACCAGAACAGATTAAGTTACATTGATACCAAAACAAACGCAGATAGGCATTACGTTCTCACTTGACCTGTTTGATTTGTTCTAACATTGATCTGCTATCTGCAGCAGTTTGGGATCGCCCTTCAAGCTCTACGCGCTTGGATCCGTGTTGTTTGTGATACAATGCTCAAGCGATGACAAGATGCAACAAAGCCACCAGCTACAAAGTCTGTATCATGACTTCGCTCAAGCTCTCAACTGTTCCAGTACAATTTTAGTACGCGAACTGATTCCAATCCGTACCGAATTTTGTTACTGTTTACATTAGGACTGATCCAAAATGGGATTGTACTCATTCGTGCCTGTATCCCTGTGAACGGGTTTTAAGGGAATCCAGTGGGCGGCCTACTATAGAATGAACTATTTTATGTAGGGCCGTTTTTTATTTTCCAGCTGGTAAGGCGCTCCTCGTATTTTTTATCTAACAACGGGTTTATTGGGTATTTTCCATTAACAGAGCAATGGAAGCTTCTTCGTAATTTGTATATCCTATGAAACAAGCTGATTTCGTGGCGAAATGCTGGCAGTGCATTGGGAAAACCTCCAAAGTTTGAGCTAGAATTTGCGGTCCACAATCAACGAACACTCAATCCAGGCCTATGAAACTTATATATGATCCGCCATTTAGCGCTCTGTGCCATTTGCAAACCAATTCTTTTTAATGTTCCACCCTTTTTGTTGTCAACCATGATGGAAAAATGGATCGAGAAGAAATGGAACAAAGTTTTATGAAAAGATGCGAAAACAAAATTGAACCGAGAATTTTCAGTTGATCAATTGAATCGATGAACGGGATGAAATAATCACTAGTTTTGCTGTAAACTTCATCAGAATGGTATCTATATATAAAATGGTGTGTTCCTTAAACACATAGAGAACAGTTCATGCTCGTTAGAACGCTCAGGTTTTTACTTCACTTCTTTTGTTTTAAAGGAGTGCGCACAATTTTATGGCCTTGTAATTAAGACAAAAATTGTTAAGCACTTAATGCATTTGAAGAAGAATAATAAAACTTTGAAGTAATGTACTTTCGAATTATGTGTGCTACATATATCTGCTAAATGAAAATTACTGTTCACTGGTCTGTCATAAAGTGTTTGATGCCGTATAGACAAAGCTGCATACATAAAGCGTCTGATGCATTATCTGCAGCAAAGGTTTAATCTGTTTTGGTTTCGTATCTCGTTATGCGCAAACTGTCTCTAGTTAATAGATCTTCAGTTTCATAAGTCCTTCACACCTCTTCTGTGATCTATACGTTTGACGTCAACAGTTATTGTCTATCTATGAGCTGGTAACGACTGGAGTCGTCTGTAAGTTACTTCATCGTGTTAATGGATTCACTCCAATGGGCTGTGATATAACCAATGTCTATCTATATCAGTACTTATTATCGTTGCAACTGAACTGAGCCAATATATGAATAAAAAATACGGCTCTCTGTTAAAGTTTTTCATTTGCATTTTCTTGATTATTCTGTGGCTATATTCAGCGTTTCTCTAGACCTAAAGCAACGTGATCGGCCAATGAATGGTTGCTGAGACCGACACTGTTTGTGCAATGCTCAATGATACCGTATTGCCTTCAATAAACGCATAGCCACCACTTTTCGTCTTGCGCAATTAAACACATTTTCTCCCGATATAATAACAATAAACACCTTTCCCTAATATGCGCCACCCTCAAAAGATATTAGAAAACTGTGTCTATTAGGAAAGTGCGTAGATCAAAAAATGAAATGCCGTCTTTAAGGTTTAGAAACCTTCGGATTAATAAATAAGAATCGTCTCATGAAATAGATCTAACCTTTTAGGGCCTGTTTACATGAAGTGGGCTAGCCTTCTTAAATTGGCTGGTTAAAGCGGGATCCATGCTTTCTATATGTTATTTAATGACAAATAAGGATAAATTTCAGTGAAATTTCTCAGTTGTTATGTATCTATATTTTTCTTTCCAGAATGACAAACCTCCGCAAGGACAGTTCTTTGTTTCGGAAGATATGCCACATCTTGCTAAGTTTGTCTTTGATATATATGGTGAACGTATACAAGATATTCAAGCTAAGCGCAATGTAAGTGAATTCAGATTGTTACCAGTTTTGATTCGCTATATTTGCCCGTTGCATTTCCTCACCATATCTAGATTATGCAAGAAGGAAAAAGGGCAAGTAAGTGTTCTTTGGCACAACCTTGAAGGAGCCCTTATTTTCATTCCGTTGACTATTTTTCTCTGCGTTTACATGACAAATCTCAACAAAGATCAAGATCCAGTCACACTATTTGATTATCATAAACTATGCTGACGTTTTTTGCCTTAAACATAAGAATATCAGCCCATTCAGTCCGGGCTGAGTTCATTGGGTGTTATCTTTTCGTCATGTAAACGGCATAAAGACTTAAACCGTTAACAGAGTTGAAACTGGGCCCATGTTGATCTCAGCCCTGGCTGACTTTTTTTACGTGAATAGACATATAGATTCTTCTTAATCTAAGCCCTGGCTGACTTTTCTTACGTGAATAGCCATATAGATTCTTCTTAATCTCAGCCCTGGCTGACTTTTTTACGTGAATAGTCATATAGATTCTTCTTAATCTCAGCCCTGGCTGACTTTTTTTACGTGAATAGACATATAGATTCTTCTTAATCTAAGCCCTGGCTGACTTTTCTTACGTGAATAGCCATATAGATTCTTCTTAATCTCAGCCCTGGCTGACTTTTTTACGTGAATAGTCATATAGATTCTTCTTAATCTCAGCCCTGGCTGACTTTTTTTACGTGAATAGACATATAGATTCTTCTTAATCTAAGCCCTGGCTGACTTTTCTTACGTGAATAGCCATATAGATTCTTCTTAATCTCAGCCCTGGCTGACTTTTTTACGTGAATAGTCATATAGATTCTTCTTAATCTCAGCCCTGGCTGACTTTCTTACGTGAATAGTCATATAGATTCTTCTTAATCTCAGCCCTGGCTGACTTTTTTTACGTGATTAGTCATATAGATTCTTCTTAATCTCAGCCCTGGCTGACTTTTCTTACGTGAATAGCCATATAGATTCTTCTTACCAATGCCCGTTGTTTCTACTTAACCAGCAGAGGTGATCCATTTTGCTGCATTCTCTATTATTTCTAGCCTACGAACTTTCGGTATTAATAATCATAACTGTCTAACGCATCCGTCAATGTTTGCTTATGTTCAAGTTTATGACTATTTGTCTCTGTATAACGATTTGTTTTGACTTCATACCTAGTTTGGAACTTCCTAAAACCGATTAAATTCATCTAAGATTTATAGCGTCTATACGTATGGCTGGATTTCTAGCGCTTTTTGTTCCAATATAAAATATTTCTTGAAGTATATTTGTGTAATATCTAATTAGAAGTTGAATTTAATCTGTAAGAAAGTATCTAGAAAGCAGCTATTAAATTGTTTTGCGGCACGGTTAGAGATGATGGCACAGAATAGGTTATGACATTTATCAAAGGCAGTGGAGGATCAAAGGTAGAGGAAACCTGCGCAGCAATTAACTTTTCTGTTATGCAACCTAAAAGTCGAATTTTGCATACACATGAACGGCGATATTTTTTAAAAAGCAACAACAAGTTTATAAAGAATACATCCAAGCTAAGAGCGGGGCAATTAATAATGGATATGATTTGAATATTCTAGTTATGCACAATTCTCGTAATTAATTTGCTTGCAGCTGGTTGACAGGATGCAGTAATACCAAAAATCAAGGCTTCGTAAAATCATAGATACTTATGCTTTTTAATGGTTCTTAAGGGCATCTGTGTGTTACCAAAAGGATATGATATGTGCTTGCCTTGAGCTAGTCTTAAACTTAAACAATGTCTACTGTCTTTGATATGACTGTTCTTTTAAGCAAACAGTGGCTGAAGCCTGAGCAATTCTCGTATTGTTGTTTCTGGGGCTGTGTTTTGGCCCTGAAAATGAAAACACAAATGGCAAGTGCTAGGTTGAAGCTAATGAATAATTTCTGGAGCTAAGTAGTGAATCATTTCAGGTTACAGTCATTACAAATGAATGCATATACTTAAATATCGATATAATTTGAAAGATGAGCAATACTATGCAATGGCAGGTTAAATAATTTTTTTATAAATGTTGATAAACGTATATGTATATTTATATACATTTATATATGTATATGTTTTTGCGTCCTTTGATATCTCAAATATATCAGGCGTTTGTATTGTACCCCTATAACATCCAACGTCTTTAAGTAGCACGAGATGTCTTGGTAGGTTGCTCTTTAAGTAAGAGATCATTAAGAGTTAAATCTCGCGGTGAATTTTCAGCTAATTCAACAGCTCAAAGCAAACAGAAAGAAATTTAGATAGTGCAAGCTAAACAAATTTATGGATTTTCGTTTGTAATGTACGCCCAAAGGCTTACAAAATCAACAGCGTTTTCCAACTGTTCATGTTTATTGTAAAATGCAATTTATTCCTTCTGTCAACACTACATCAGCCAACCAGCTGATTTGTACAGTGCTTTAAAACGTCATTTACCGAGAATGCTTAGAATTTCTTTGCTTTTGATGTTCTATATGCTCCTTATATGTTTTGGTCCTTTAAGAAAGTTTCAAGGGGATTTTGAACAGAAATTGCAAAAAAATATGACCACCATGGTCACTCTGAGCGGAATCTTCCCATTCGCTTTCACAATGCAGTCCCTTCAAAAAGTGCCTATTTTATCTTCATGGTGTCAATATCTCTAATTGCAAACATACAGCTGAATTGTAGTTCTTGTTCCTAAATTTTACCAGAAATGTGTAACATCAAAGATTTTCGAAGAGTCTTGTATGAATTGTGTCTAGAGTTTCCGACTCGATGGGTGTTTTTAGGCCATCTTGTAATTTTTTGAAAGTTAAATGCCTAGTACGTGAATTACGTATTTTTGATGCCCTATGCTTTGAAAAAATTGCTGCAGTTAATGTAAAGATTCATTTCATAAGGGAACTCAGTATGTTTGTTGTTGTAGTACCAGCATTGAATATGTTCGAGGAAGAGGGCTTATTATAGAAGTCTAGTGTACCAACACCAGAACTATCTGCTAGTTCAGAGATTTAATGTTAAAGTGCCAAGAGAACACTAAAGGAAACACAACAGTATCCAATCCATCTTTATTGTACATCGTACACCTCGGTATCATCTGCTTCTCTTTTAGACCAAATCCAAAGATATTGTCAATACAAATTAGGCCTAGTTTGTTTTATAAGTTTGTTCATGAAACAAAATGACACTGAACTAGCAACGAAAGTAGGGAAAGCTGACAAGGATGCCAATTTTACGTGAACTGGCAGGATACTGCACTTTTAACACGAGTATTTATCGACAACAAGGCAGCCAAGATGGCGAAAGGTCTTGATTGGGAGACAATGAAAACTAAATTAGATGAAATAGCCAATCGCTTTCGAGCAAGATACGATGTGGATAAAATTTATCCGGATAAAAGTATTTATAATGTACCACGAACTAATTTAATCCACTTTCCTAGGTGAACTAATTTTGTTCGGATAGCCGCTCTCAAATTCGTGCGGATAGCGTGAGTCTAGTGTAAACGCGACGGCTATCTGAACTAATTTTGACGCGAATAAAATTTATCCGGCACAGTGTAAACGGGGTCTGAGTCAGCCCAAAACGCCGTTAACCAAATCTATTATGGATACCTACACAAACATTAATTACGCAAGCAACTCTATGAATTAACAAGAAGAAAAAACAAATTTCTATGCGAAAAGCATGTGCTGCAGTGCTATATTAAATGCGCTGGCATGAATGAAAAATCCCAACACTCATAAGACCTGCTTTTTTTCTTAAATGCGACAGTTTGTGGTCGTAGCAACGCATTAGAAAACCAACAAAATTCTTGCTAAAGCCAAGACCAAGTCTAACCGATTCTTACTTTTGTATACACCACCTTAATCCTTTATCATGCGCTTTTATTCGTGAAAAATGTGAATCTTTTACTATTTGCTTGAAGAGAATGGTGCTAAATTTTCATAGACACTGTAGAAGGAACTACTCTTACTTAGTAAAATAATAATAGTAGCAACAATTGATATCGTTATAGTTGGCTACTTTAATAGAAGAGGTGCTAGATTATGCCAACTACAAAGTATTACCCATGCAGAAAAGTATTAACTGTTTCTTGAAATCTCTGTAAAAATATATTTGAATCTCTGGAAGGTATAGTAATTGCTCTTCTAGCAGATCGTAATTAAGATATAAGACCACGAAAGATGTAGATAGATAAGGCTGTTGCAAGAGAGCTTTCTATTTTTGAAAACTAGAAACAGTCATGCAGTGTCATATTACTTGCCTTGCTTTGTTGACCAATATCAGTTAATCAAGAACATTAGCAGATTCCTGCAACGATTTGAAACTTGTATTTACCTATTGTTTTTATCTATGAAGCTCTTTCTCTTGTTAAAGAGATCCACAATGAGTGCCAAATTTTACCATCTCCTCTTTGAAACATGTTTGTCTTAAACTGATGAGGAAGTATTAATTTTCATGTGACGAATATGATGTACTGATGTGATAAATGATTTGTTGATAGTAGGCTACGATGATAGTGCAGGTTATATAATGTAGCTCCTTGGCATTTGGTGTACAATATTTCGGGTATCAAATGGTATCAAAAAGTGAATTTTTTTGCGTCAGAAGGCTGAATCGATGTGTGAAGAGTAAAACCTATACATTCGAGTTTGTCACCAGTATGTAAAAATAGCCTTGTTTTGCGTACGTGCACACATTTGGTTGTTAGCTTGTTACCACTTCAACGACATCAAAGAAACGTTTTATCATAAACTCGGTTCTGGAGCCTCCAAGCAATTTAGAAACACTTATTGTTGGTTTGGAAATAAAAAACCTTTCACGCAAATCAAGAGTTTTCCACTGTCATTATGAAAGAGGACTTTGCCATCTTTAAGCTGCTGTTATACAGCAAAATCGCATTGGCGTGAATCTAATACGATCTTGCGATTGATTACTCAACCCTTATAATAAAAAATCGGAAACTTCAAATGTTGAGAATTTTCTTATTTTTATGTAATTTGTTTTTATCGCTAATGATATGCTAATTCGATCGTTATTACAGCCGTTCTGTACCGAGCTCTTTCTTTACTTATCCTTGCTAAGATCGCTCCAGATGTTCTTATCTGTAAATGAAGAATTTCTAGATGGCAGCAATTATTTCGTTGTTGGCGTTGATTTTAAGCTTTCATTTTTCCATTCTATACTTTAGGCCGCATACAAGAAAGTATATTCAGAAAGTCCACGCAGCTTTGATTTCCAATGTTTATGACTCCGTTTACACAGTGCCGGATAAATTTTATCCGTATAGAACTTGTTCGGATTGATTTGCGTTTCCATGCACAGAACGCCCAAAACGAAGTCATCTCTGGGCAACAAAATAAGAACAAAATTACCGCCAAAACGCCAACCTTAAAGGGACTTTCAATTTCTTCAGAATCATCTGCTTCTGTTTCAGACAGAGTCGGAAGATACTGTCAAAACAAATTAGGCAAAGTTAGTTTTGATTATTCGTTCTTTGAAACAAAATGACGCTGAAATAGCGAAGAAAGAAGAAAAGCTGACGAAGATACTGCACTTTTAACACGAGTATTTATCGACTACAAGGCAGTCAATATGGCGAAAGGTCTTAATTGGGAGACAGTGAAACTAAATAGGAAGGAATAGCCAATCGCTTTTGAGCAAGATACGATGTGGATAAAATTTATCCGGATAAAAGTGTTTACAATGTACCACGAACTAATTCAATCCACTTTCCTAGGTGAACTAATTTTGTTCGATAGCCGCTTTCGAATTCGTGCGGATAGCGCGAGTCTAGTGTAAACGCGACGGCTATCTAAACTAATTTTGATGCGGATGAAATTTATCCGGCACAGTGTAAACGGGGTCTATATTTCCAATGTGCATGAGTTGCGCACCTATCACCTTGTTCCTAATTTCTATTGAGCGAAGCTCTGTTGAGAATAGTCAGCGCCTGTCGTAAGCAGCTGCTATCTTCCACTCGTAACCACATCCTTTCTGCATACTAATTCGATTTCCTGTAATGTTGTGTAATGTTTTGAAAAGTTGAAGGGCAAAAGCTCATGCGTAGTTGGCAACTTTCATAATCAAAGCTTTGGCGGCTTTTCATATCTTGAGCGCTAGTTGCGTCAAAGCGATTGTCTGAATTATTCATTATTTCTGACGGGTTTTGGTGCGAACTGCTTCTCGCACAGTATAAATGCAGTCTTAGCTTAGGCATACCTGTCAATTATCTACTGGCCGTTGCTCGAACAGATCAAATTTCGAATTGACCAGTTTTGGTTCATTGTAACCTGCAGACCAAACATTTAAGTGAACTCTTTTGCATATTCACGTTATTTCTCAAGTTGACGGCAGTTGTTTAATGTGCTGTTTCATTCATTCTACAAACTTAATAAATTTGCCATCGCAAGGAGTCAAAGAAGCTGTGAGTAATGGTTTTCATTTTCACGTGTTTCGCCCACTTTTTCTCACAAATTAACGTTGTACTGTCGGCTGTTATAATGCATTGGCAAATGATTCCATATTAACATTTCCAAATGCAGTTTGTCCAGATTTTACGCACGTTTTTCAAGATTTGGCAGCATTAAGAAGCATTTGGCTCGATTCCTTGCAGCTATATTGATGATATCTTGCCATTTCTCTTACAAACTCAATCTGCAAGGCAGCATAATTTTCTTCTACAATCTGTGTCAGCATCAATCAAAAGACAATCGCAACGATGGTGATTACAGTGCTGTTCAACATTGTACTTGGTTTTATAGTTTTTCTCTCTGTTTTTATGAATGTCCTCATGCTGGTAATTTTAAGAAAGACTGGTAAAATACGCAAGGCCATTGGTGCCAAAAATAATCTACTCATGAACTTGGCAATCGCGGACCTCATACAAGCGTTACTTGGTTATTCTGTGCAATTCGTCGATAGCCTTTTATCCACTCACAACTTGAACTTTTGTACCGTAAGCGGTTTTGCGATCACGATGTGTGGACTCGTCTCCTTGACACTTTTGACTATGCTTTCTTTTGACATTTCTTTCCACATTTGCCGTCCTTTTAAAAGCATGCTGTATGAAGATAGATTGCCGATCATTCTCCCTACTTTAGGTTGGCTTTACGGGTTTATTTGGGCGATTGTCCCATTTTTTGGTCTGGGTGGGTACATTGTCGAAGGAGCGAGAAGCTGCTCACTCAAATGGACACAAGACACTTTGGAAGGCAAAATTTTTATATTGGCTTTGCTATTCGGGTGCTTTGTTTTGCCTCTAGCCATCATTGTGACTTGCTTTGTTTGCATTCACGTGAATACAAAACGCACCTTACAGGGAGGCATACTGAAGAAAAGCCCAAAGAAGAGCAGAAACTTAAAAGCAGTCCAGCAAGGCAATGCTAAACTTTGTTTCTTCATGTCCTTTTCATTTATTGCCGCGTGGACACCATACTCGGTAGTCGCGGTCATTATCAGTCTCTCTGGATATGATGCTGTTCCAGAAATCATGCTGTTAGTTGCTGCGTTTATGGGAAAGTGTTCTGCTATTTTTAATCCATTGATTTTCTTCTATATCGATAAAGCAGCCAGGCCGTATGTGCGAAGGATTCTTCAGTTAGGCAACATTTACAGTCGATATTCGAAAAGACATTTAAAGGATAGTGGAAGATCGACAATTTCTAACTACTCAACCCAGTTGTCCACTTTTCGTTATAGTTCCAGAGAAAAAGCAAGCATAGCCTCAACGGGTTTCAGCAAAAGAGAGAAGCGCTAATAATCGATTGAAGTTTGAGTCAGATATCGACTGGATCTTAATGAACCAAGTCTTTTATTTACAAGAAACTTGCACTGGTCGTTTTAACTCTCTCGTTCGTTTCAATTCTCGTACTTTGCCTAACCTGACAAGTATGAACTGAGATACCTCTGCTAACTTTAAATGATAGCCTTTTATTTTTCATCATGTCTCCAGATCTTTATTATTATTCAAATAGATAAATATTTCATTAAAGTTCATTAATATTTTGTGCGCCTTAAGAAAGTATTTGACTGACATTTGTGCTTACTTGAATCGGTATTTGCTTGCCTAAAGCCTTCTTTGCTAAAGAATAACGAAAAAATCGCACGATTGTCAGCTGCAAAGTATTAATTTGGTTTCAATTGAATTGAATCTACCTTAAATGTTTATTTTTAGCCAATTTTCGTCAATTATCTGTGGCAGCTTTCAGTTTCTAGTCATTCAAACATTTTGTTCAAGACTATGTTGATAAGTTACCCCAAAGATAAAGCCAATACTGTAATATTTGCTTTTTTATATTGTAAAATGCTACAGTAGTGCCCCAGTTGTGGATCGAAATATATTTCCTAGCGTAGAGTTTTCGATCTATGTTCTGACGTTTTAAACTCTGAAGAGTGTCAGTCTGTCAGACGAAAAGCTTTAGTTTACTCAAATGTTTGCTTTTTTCAGAGCCATTTTTAAGTTTTGTGCCACCAAAAGATTGATTACAACAGTTTATTTAAACCAAAATGATATTATAGTAATTCTGTAATGATATTGAAATGTCAGCGAGTTGGTACGTAACTTACTAATATTTGTCTTCAAGATGTATACAACAAAGTATTTAAACCAGAGTGATAGTCTACTGATATTGCGGTGATATTACAATGTCTGCAAAATGCTACGTATCTTTGTGACATTTGTATTCATTGTTCGGCGTATGCAACGAAGTACGAAAGCTAGGCTAATCAGTGCGATAGTCGGATAGTGTTACTTCGTATTTTCTGTGGTAGAATTTTTGTGAAACGAAATATCCTGTTGCAGCACGTTTATACCTGCACTTAATAAAGACCACAGTTTGTGCTATAGAGTTCTTTATAGAAAGAGCCGTGCACGATTTTGTGTTAAAAACAGGACTGTCCCTGGGTATGTATGGAGCAGCTTGCCTGTTTTCATTACATTGTTTGTACAACTGATGTTTGTACAACGTTACAGTTACTTCTTTTGTTAAGATATCGATAAATCTTTGTCTATTTACATGTACTATTCAATGATAAGGCTTGTTCACACAGCTGAAAGGCTATTACACACGTTGGAACTACACCATTTCCATTCTTGTCAATATTTTACATGATAAGAATACACAATTTTTGGACCCAATTTACGTAGAGCATTTGTCTCCATTTGCAATATCTTGGAAACCGTGTGCGTTTAAAAATTTATTAGAAAATTCGAATTCATCTTTGTCATTGTCGGCACCTCATCATTTTTATGCTTATCAATCCTTCATTCTCTAAAAAGAAACTTTGATGTCTTGAAAACCTTTGTGTTTGTTGTGTTTGAGAGCAGATGTTAGTAGTTAGCTAGTGAATCAGCCCAGCCTTTACTGCTAAAGTGGTATGCGTTGAATGCATTCTTAAATTCGAACGCTCCTACCAACCTTGAAGGCACCATGTCTCGACGCATTTCGCTGGCCATTTAAACTTCCTATTGGTTGGAATTTACAATAGAGCTATTGTTACGTATCCAATCAGCTAATTCTCAATGTTTTCTCGATCATAAACACGCTGCAAAGCCTATTGTTAATTCTGAACGGTTGATTGATGGGACAAGCTGCCTTTAAAGAAAAAATCTTCATTGATGGAAATACGCCTGGTATTGTTTATATCGTTATGTAGCTTCATAGTGTCTTAGTGATCTTAGCAGATACTGCGTTTTTAACCGTATCTAACACCCATTGGACTTTGTGCAAAGAATTCATAAGCGTTTTGATGTATGGGGCAATGCCTTCAAGTTTTTACTATAATCTGAAGTAATGCAACGTTGGTCAGTGCTAGCATAGAGCGATCAAAAGTCTTGTTGAGCGGTAACATATATGCGTTGTCAACTGGCGAAATGCTGGAAACTGCTAGAACGCTCCTTCGTCGCCCGTAAAAGGTTTATGTCACTCATTTCATACAAAGTATTTTAACACGAAGCACTTAGTGAATTGACGTCTTTGCAGCAGAAATAAAATATAGACAAGCAGAATCTTCTCTGTGAATCGCTTTCGAGATCATTTTACTGTAAATTGTTTGATTTTTTCATGTAATATTGCAAAACAATTCTCGAATATTATCAAGTTTCAAGTATGCAAATTGTTCCATTGCCTTTATCTGTGCATCTTTCTGCATATACTTTATGTTTTCGATAAGTGAATTTCGTGCATGTGTGTGGCTTCCAGTTGCAGGCTTTGAGAAAAATAAGTTATTTCTATACAAATACTCGTGATTGCGCATCGTGTAACATCGTGTGACATCCATTTTGTAATTAATAAAAATCCAACGAAAGTATAGTTTATAATTCTATACTTTCTCAAATTTTGACGAAATAAGTAATTATTTATTAATTAATCTAAATTTAGCTAATGCCAACTAAACAAATAATACAAGTCTAAATTATACTAACTAACGCTACAACAAGCTTAAATTTTGAATAGAATTTTTTTAATTTGTTTTTTAACATGATTGGGAATCTTCAATCTCAAGCGACAGGGACTGCCAAACTTTGTTTGCATGTAGACCTTTAAGTATCAATGCCATATATACTATTGCTAACTCTAAGCAACGCTACTGAAAGGAGATGTTAGATGAATTTTCAAGGCAGTTTTGAATTACTAGATTTCTGTTATGGATGCAGATGATTCGATTGCAGTTTCTTGGGATTTTTCTCATTTTAAGTCTATATTCTTTCGATTTAAAGATGAAGGTCCTTGATGCTGCAAGTAATTTATGTAGTTTTGCAAGTGATTTAATAGACACTGTGTGGCTGCACATCATCAGTTCCCAAAATGCAACCAATTTTGAAGCGGAATGGGGAAGAAATACGGCGAAGAAATCACGTGCATACTAAAATGACCATAGCTGCTTCATGTGAGTGGGTTGAGAGCCGCAAAAAACTATTGTCACGCAGAAATATGTTATAATTGCTATAAACTGTTGTCATATATATAATGTTATAGTATGTTCTGATGATAAGATCGGCATTTTTTATTCAAAGATTGAGCATAAGATGGAAGTTGTGGAGGAAGTGAAAAAGACAACGCAAGAAAGCAAAGAAAGCAGGAAAGACGAGAAGGATGAGAAAGAAGAGTACATTATTAACGAGGTGATAATGGAGGCAAAAAGCACAAAATGAAATAGTTCCGGGAAGTTGGATGTTTCTTTAACTAGTTCTTATTGTAGCGCTGCGAATAGAGCGATGGAACTTCTGCTTAGACTTATGAACGTTTAAAAGAAAAGATGAAGTAAAGGGTAAGAGATTGCCTCAAAACGTAATTGACGTATTTTGTAGCGAATAAAGAATAAGGTCTTTGATGCTTTGATAAAGCTGTTAGATAGTTGCAAGAAGGTGCCTTTGCATAAAGTGATGCTATTTGGTATACCATTTCAATAAGATAATGATTTTTGAGATAAGGCATCAAGCATAAAACGCATATAGCGAAGCAGACGTGCATCTGATTTAGTTTTTGTAGGCATGTTTTTTGTATACTTGACAGCTCGTAACAAAAGGGAACGCAAGGAATTAGGCTTATATTCAGACCTTCAGACACAGTAGTTATTATCGCCGTTTATCTTAACGTATCTGATAGGAGCAAAATGTTTTTTCCATGAGCTGTTAGTTATTGGCAATGCCAGTTTCTTCATTTTCCATCCGAATTCCATCCAATGGATGGTTTGTTGCCCTGATTTGTCGCCCTGCTTTGTCGCCCTGATTTGTCGCCCTGCTTTTTCGTCCTGCCTGGTCTGGCTTATTACTGCAAATTCCGATTTAAAAGCGTGACTGAGGACACCAGGTACCTGTGGCAAAGAGCCGCTGTCAAAATGCAAATTCATTTTTCAAACGACATGATGTTTCAGTATTTGCAAAGTTTGCTTCTGTGCTTCTTCTAACAATACATTTCATGTTACAAAAGGACATCTGGCTTTACAATAGTCTCCCTGTTAGCGTCCTGTTTGTGTGAGCAGAGCAACCTCACCTTGCAGCCCATATGCTTGCAGATTTGGGTGTAACCACCGCACATTTATGTGCAAATTTCACAAAAACTTCAAGCTTCTTGCTTCTTTTTTATCCCACGTCACAGCTTTACGTTCAGATTTCGTTGAACTTCTTTCGCGTGCACAAATTCAGAATTTTATCCCACCTTCATGCTTTCTAAGCGCTGATATTGAAAATTTTCCCACAAAAGGAATCGGGCAAGTTAAGAGCAAAATAAAAGGTTTCTCGTATAAACTTGATTCTACACCCTTGATAAATCATAAGGTAAAAGGGTGAAAATGGGATCCACCAAGAAAAGGACTTCGGATGGGAAGCTTAATCGATGACTATCTTAGTTCTCTCATTTATCTTGATTGGAAATAGCCAAGATGAGAAAATCCACTAGAAAATTTTTTTTGGAAAGTTGTTCCTATACCTTATTCATATTGCCATCTCAGGTTTCGAAAATATTTCTTCTTCAAAATTTGGCTTTTACTTCTGGCTTTAGAAATGATGAAAATGCTTGTACAGGAGATTCTAGAACTCCAGCACAACCAACTATCGCCAGTACAACCAACTATCGCTGACTGTGGTACAAACCACAGTAATTGGATGTACCAAATTGACTGTTATTCCAACTTTCGGTAGTACCCCTAGACTTTCCTAGAAGCCATACCTGTCTGTCGCCAAGGTATTTTCTTGCTGTTCCTTTTTGTTGTGCATTATGATTTTTCAAGTTGTCATAGAAGTGGCTTTTGCTTAGAATTTGTTGCCTCTCGGCCTTTGAATTAGTGATAATTTTTTACCGTACGTGTGCGCGACTGCCTACATAACGTCTTGAAAACGGTTGACAAATCTAACAACGTTCGGTATCAAAAACATCGAGAGAAAGACTTTTTTGATTGCTATCTGCTGTTAAAGAGTGATTGCTTGCAATGTCCAATCTTTTAAAGAGTTCACAACGGGGCTATCAGATGCATATCTGCTTCGGCTGGACCCTTCCTGGTGATTTGGCAGTCAAAACTTTCAAACGATGAAGTCAAGTATACAACACAAATTTTAAAATGAATGTGTCAACCTTGTAATTTTCTTTTTGAATGTGTCAACCTTCTAATTGGTGTGATTTTAAAACAAAAATTGAAGTCACTAGATCACTGGAATTTTCCTTATAGATTCATAGGGCCATGAATACGGTTTTTACAACCATGGGATATCTATGGGCGATCATTTAAACATACAATTTGAACCAAAGCTTGAACCAGTAGTGGTACTTCGAATAATGGCTTTTGGAGAAAGTGACCCTTCCTTTGTCACTAATTTGTTAACACAAAATGTGGGAACTAATAGGCGCGTATCCTTTTGGCCTAGCAGTTATTAGGTGGCAGAATCTCTTCACTCCATTTTTAGCGTGACAATGTGCAGATTTCATAGTCTACAAGTTCCTTTGATCATAACACCTTGTCTGCATTGAATATTCCCCAATCTTCCTTTTTTGCTATGTAAGTTTACGTTGATGACTTCTTTGCTATTCAGCATCGAAAGTCATATTCATTTGCAGATGGAATTTAGCGACAGTCCTCGAACAAGGCAGTCAACCACTCTTTGTGTTGCCGTGCTTTAAAGAACGTTAAATCGAGTTCTCAAGAAACTCTCTTCTGCAAAGAACATTTTTTCAGAGAAGCAATGTTGCTATTACTCCAATTGGCCCGTTCGTTTTCAAGCACCAGCCGAAGAAGACGCAAAGAAATTAATGGTTGAGTTTTATTGTACAGGACTTTTTCCCAAAACCCCTAAGCAACTGCACGAAAATTCCTTTTTTTTCAAGATAGGGCGGAGATGATGTTATGTTACGGTTTGTGTTTCTGAAAAGTAGCTCTTTAGCATTTGAGAAACCTTGAAGAAACTTCAAGCACTGGAATCAACAAAAAATTACGAAACTGGGCACAAATCCTGTGCTTTGTTTCTTATAAAAAATGGGTGTATACCCTTATCTTTCAAACTTTTGGGAGGCAAAGGCAAGCAACTTTAGAGACTTTCACAATTAGGAAAATTGATGGTACCCTGATGCATGATGGAGTGCAGCCTACAACCTAACTTTATCTTCCAGATTGACTACACAAGGTTTGTATTTTACTGTTTATTGTAGTCTGTTTAGTTGTTGCTCTGGCAGAATCGATTCTATAGTTGTTGCCTCTAGAAATAACAGTATGAAACCAAGCTGGAAAATCAATGGAAAAGCAATGGCAGGGGTTCAATATGAAAGGGGGTTATAGCTATACCAAGATACTTAATGATTATGCTTTACAAAAATGTCACTGCCCCCAAAATCAGAATTTTCAAGCTAGTCTCTTGTAAAAAACAGTTCTTCACTCCTTTTTCTTGATACAAGTATGAAAGTTGTAATTACAGCAAAATCACCTTCAACTTTGTCTTTTTACACAAGGGGCATACCACTCCAACAAATCTTGTACCCCTTTGGCAAAAATCTTGTATGCCCTAGAAAACCTATTATGCTAAAAAAATATTGTACGGTGCTTGGCAACAGTGATACATCCCCCTGTTTTACAAGCAAATGGTATGAGCATTCCTGATATATCTATAAAAAGCAAAATATTCTAATTTGTGTGACTAGAACATGTTACTAACATAGAGTAAATATTGATGTTGCCTAATGGTTCATTTTTGCTTTAATCATTTGTTACAATATCTATCTTAAAATTTTTAATGTGATTTTGATATCTCAAAATGTTTCAGGCTATAAATTGCATCAAATGAGCAGAATACTCCATGTAAAAAAAGACTGATCAAACATATAAATACTGAAAAGTAATGTCCTCAAATTAAACAAACAAGCACAGTTTTTTCAAAGAATGTACTCTTAGATACTACTCAAACTTCCATCATAATTCACTTTTGCTCTTTTCTTTAACAGCACCAGCTCCTACAAATTCTTGATTATCAAATTCTACTTTAGCACATTGTTTCTGTTTTATTAGAAAGTCTTTAATGTCATAAGCTTGGCTACCATCTTCAATGTGCAGCAATACACGGTTTTGTGCAATTACATACCTGCAAAGCAAAAATGTAATGAGCTTATCTATTGTAATTCAGGCAAATTGTCTCATTTCATCTCTCCATCGCCATACCATGTTTGTGAAATCACCTTATGCCATAAGCAGCATCATTTACACCACAATGTCATTCCGTACTATACTGCTCACACCTAAAAACACCTGCTGACTCCAATTGTTTTTCATCATTATTTGTGCAAACTCAGAACATATCAATTTCAGATTACCTTTTTAGATAATATAAATATATTGATTGGGTCAGTTGAAATAATAACAAACACTTACAAAAACAAGCATAATAAGTATCAAAGACAATCTATTCTATAGCGCTATGCTCTCTACATCTTGAGAAGAAATTGCCAGGCACAAAACATAAACAGGGTTTGTGGCTGTAAAATACAAAAGGGATATTCCTTTTTGCCTCTTGCATATTTAGCCCCCCCTCCCCCTTAAAAAGTTTTAGCACCCTAATCCAAAATATGCAATGAGATCCCTTGTTTGGAAGGTAAATTTGGTACTGTATACTTTTTGATACAAAGTTGTCCAAGACACATTATTTCTTATTCTCAGTTTATGGTAAATTTATTCTAAAATTTCTGGCAGTGCTTTCACATATTCATACATAAATACAAGGATGTTCAAATTTCTAATCAAGTTTAAAGTAATCTCACAGGTATTGCACTTTTCAGCCTGGTATTTCTCAGTTAACATTCAATCAAATGCAAATCAATTTTCAATGCACCCACCTAGTAAGTTGAAATTGTGCATTATGTAAACCCTGCTGCCATAATCCAGATATTGTTTCTGTTTCTTTTTGTGTAGGATTTCCAGCAACATTAACAAACATCATTAAAGGTTTGCCTTTCTTTGCAAGTTTCAGCATAGCTTGTGGGTCACTTGCCATAACTTTAGGGTCAAATGGAATGTTTGGACCTTTCTTAATTCTTGGATCATCATCTTCATCAGGCTCATAGTCTTCATCATTTTCCTTAAAAAATATGGAGAGATATTAAGACAAAAATTGCAGCATGGAATGTAATATATAAGTCTATCTTTTTTGCAGATCAAATATTTGAAACTGACACTTTTTCAACTAAATGATATCTCTTTAGCTGCAAAAATGGACAATCAAATTTCTCTTTAAAGCACTGAGTCATGTTAAAAGGCGAGGGTATCCCTAAACATACCCAAATCAGCCGTAGGAAATTGCTCCCTAGATAATGGAACTAAATAACATATCAAGATATACATGAACCTTGAACTTGAAACTCAGAATACTTCCATTCTGATGACACGTGAAGTGCTATTGCTATTTGATATGATACAATCACTGCCAAAAGTCTTGGAACACTAACATAGGTTTTCAAAGGCAAATTCAGCCACCCCCATCTCCTCCTAGGAACAATTTTGATCAACTAGGATTCAACTTTCTAGGCACTCAATTTAGCTTCATTAAAAATTATCAATAATCATATTTGGTTTTTCCCATTTTGTTTTTAGACAGCATAAACACCTAGGTGCTCGATCAACTTTCTCCTAGAACTTTCTAGGTGCGTGCAGAGATGCTTGATTGAGCTTGTGTGCCTCTCCTTGCATGGCCTGTGTTCATATGCACCAAGCTTTTTTAGTCTTCAAAAATGAAATTTTTTTAAACATTGCTTTAGTTTCATCTGTTTGATAAGTGAAAAGACTTTTGAAAAGGCTAGAATCACAGCCTTGTTTAATTTGAACATGAACATCCAGTTTGAATATAAAAATCCTGACCAAAGAACAGTTGCTTTGTTATAGAAAGGCAATAAGCTTTGTTTTGTTTGCTTTGAATGATCAAAGAAAAGGAAATTATGAGCTAAATAGTCTTTAATTTAGCCTTTACTTATAGCAAATAGTTTGTAATTTTAATTTGTTTCTCAAGCTAATCACAGTGAACTTAATATTATTTAGACAGAAAGTGTGTTGTCTTTCCATGTTGTGGTGGGCCAATGTGAAATTATTCTTGGATTCAGGGGCAGCAGGCAACATTGTAGTAGAATGAAATTGAGAGGCAAAGAAAATAACTGCACTGTTCAAAAAAATATCTTCCATCCCACCACCCACCATTCCAAACTGGAAGCTTTGTTTCTTGCACAGACAAGTTGAACAATTTGCAACTGGGAGCCTAAAATCATGCACATTTACAAATTTGTAGCAATGTAAACTGTTATTAAATAGGAATTTTAGGGGGCCAATAGGATAAGGCTTGTGGATAGAAAATTGAGTGCACAGAAATATAAATCGGCGCGCAACAAAGTTTCCAGTCCGGCCACCATTAATATTGGTCGCTTAATCATTGAATCAAACTCAAATGTAAAATTCTTCAATATTCAGATAGAAATTATTCTGTTGGTGAGTCAATGAATCCATAAGAACTAGAGTTAATAACAAAGGCGTATTGGTGCAAAAGTGCCAAGCACTGCTTCATTGTCAGGTCTTTCTAGTGTTAATAGAAAGGATTCCTCCTGCTAATACATGGATTCAGTTTGGATCTTCAGTAACTAGAGTGCATGCAGAGGTTGCTTCAAGGTAGGAGCACAGGGCCCTGATATGCAAAGAAAAACAATGGCATTATTTACAATAGCACATTATGTAACACCTTCTGTACCGTATTATCTATTTATTCGAGCAATATTCCAGTATATCAACATCTCCTGAAGAGTGAGTTACTCACGAAACAGGCTTGTAGAGATAAACCATGTAGTTTTACTTTCTTCAATCTATGATATATCACGCTCTACGTGCTAACGTATTGAGCACTGTGCTACGGAAGTATCAAAAGACAAATTTCTATATACATACATATATATACATGTATGCATTCCCCTTGACCCACCACACAGTGTTCTCATTCTTCGTACACAAAATGAGTCTCTTTCATGACTGAACTTTCTCAGTTGGGTGAATGTGTAGAAAGGGGCTGGTCCTTACTTTTGGTCCAAGTTAATCATTATCACAATGAGATTTTTAGCACGGAGAGGAACCCAGATTGTAATTTTTGCCTTGCAAGAGGGATAAATCCCCTGCGCACGTCAAGTGTAGCCAAAATTGCAGCCAAGCAGTTTCTATTGAAATGATTGATCCAGCTGCACAGGGTTCTTTTTTAAATGTAAAACTTATCTTGTATGTACTTAATAATTGACGCTTTTAATAAAGGGTCATTCCATATCAAATCATCAGATATTTTTAAGATTTGTAACCCATGGTCTTAGAATTTCCTGATTTTTTTACCACAAAGAGCCATTTTGGAGAAAACAGCACATACAAAATTTCATCCTTATATCTCTTACGGTTGCGATTTTGTAGCCGTTTCAAAAGTGACCCGTTTTAGCCAAATATGCCACACCCAGTTTACCAAGCGATGGGCGGGGCTTTCTATCAATAGCTGTAACTTTTCTATAGTTGTCAATATTTGCTTGAAAATAATGTCAATTATTGATTTGATACTGTAGATTTCAAATATTGCATCAGAATTTGACAATTTTCTAAGGTGAAGCAGATACTCATATGTTAAAGGTTATCACTTGTTTTGAAAACATTCCCAACCGATGTATATAAATATTGAAAAAAAGTCCTGTAGCTGGAATCATAGCATTAGAAGCTTGCTATATTCTGAAAGTGTATTCTTTGGGCTGTCAGAAAATGTTTAAGATTACAATTGCAATTGAAGTATTTTGAGTTAATTGCACCTTACAAAATGGGTATAATTTTGCAAGAATCATGAGCAAAAACAAATTTGTAATTAAGGTAATATTGCATGAAATAAAAATAGCTGCTAAAAACATTGAATCAATCATGATTTCACATTCAGAGACAACAAAGAATAATTAAAAATGATCCCTAGCCATGGACAAGCTGAGATACTGCTTTATAGTCACTGTAGCTGAAGCTCTAAGTTTGACTGGTAATTGTTTTGGATGAATCAGTTTTGCAAAGCATGTAAATGTGATACCCAGCATATGTCTGATCTGCTTGATCATGTAAAGTTCTGAGTGGGTTCAGGTGGGTGCATGAAGTTCATTTGAAAGTCCCCTTCATCTTCATTAATGTCATAGCAACCCACCCGTCATTGTCATATAGGCAAGCAACATACTTTATCGTTCGAGTCCCAATGCCATTCTCTCCCTTCTTAGAAAGAAAAGCAAAGTTTCCGGCAAAGTCTCTGTCATCAGAAAATTACTTGAAAACAATCTTTTCATCTTTAAGTGTAACAAACTGATTGTAAAAAGTCTGTTTGTGGGTGTACTACATATCAAAATTTATTAATTCCAGTTGCCATTAACAAGACATACAGAGATATGATAGACATGACTGTCTGCTGCAAGGACAGTAAGCAATGTATAGCGCACAGACAAGGCAACTGTTCAGGGACGTCTGTACTTAAAAGGTTTCTTGATCAGTGTTTACATGATGGTGATAGTGATGTTCTATTTCAGCAAGGTGATAACACTAGAAGATCAAAAATAGTAACAAGGTTCTTGAGTATTGCTCATTTTGTTGAGCTGCTGGTAAAGTGTATTGTTGCTTTGACCTCTCATTCTCTTCTTACATAATGGCAGTCAAAATACCTTAAGTGAAAGGAAGAAATGAAGATGATTGTTTTTTGGCTGACTTTGCCGAAAACTATGAATTTTTCAATTAAAGGGAATGTGTCCAACTAAGGCAAGCGACTCTGCAGGCATTTTTAGAAACATGTGATTTTTCATGTCATCGCCCCAGCCATTACGGTCGTTTTGTTTATCTATACTGCTGCGAGGTAAGCTTTTCATGTGAGCAGTTTGGCATCGCAAGAATACTAACCAATCGCAAACCGTTATTTTGATGGGTGGCTTGACAAGTTGGGCATACGCAGTCCTTTTATATGGACACATTACCTTTAAGATGAAATTCAGTCAGCCCATTGGAACAAGCAAAATTGCATGCTACACCACAGTTTTATCTACTTAAAGATGAAAAGATTACTTTCAAGTAATTTTCTGATGACAGAGACTTTGCAGAAAACATTGCTTTTCTTTCTAAGAAGGGAGAGAATGGCATTGGGACTCGAACGATAAAGTATGTTGCTTGCCTATATGACAATGACGGGTGGGTTGCTATGACATTAATGAAGATGAAGGGGACTTTCAAATGAACTTCATGCACCCACCTGAACCCACTCAGAACTTTACATGATCAAGCAGATCAGACATATGCTGGGTACCACATTTACATGCTTTGCAAAACTGATTCATCCAAAACAATTACCAGTCAAACTTAGAGCTTCAGCTACAGTGACTATAAAGCAGTATCTCAGCTTGTCCATGGCTAGGGATCATTTTTAATTATTCTTTGTTGTCTCTGAATGTGAAATCATGATTGATTCAATGTTTTTAGCAGCTATTTTTATTTCATGCAATATTACCTTAATTACAAATTTGTTTTTGCTCACGATTCTTGCAAGATTATACCCATTTTGTAAGGTGCAATTAACTCAAAACACTTCAATTGCAATTGTAATCTTAAACATTTTCTGATAGCCCAAAGAATACACTTTCAGAATATAGCAAGCTTCTAATGCTATGATTCCAGCTACAGGACTTTTTTTCAATATTTATATACATCGGTTGGGAATGTTTTCAAAACAAGTGATAACCTTTAACATATGACTATCTTCTTCACCTTAGAGAATTGGCAGATTCTGATGCAATATTTGAAATCTACAGTATCAAATCAATAATTGACATTATTTTCAAGCAAATATTGATAACTATAGTAAAGTTACAGCTATTGATAGAAAGCCCCGCCCATCGCTTGGTAAACTGGGTGTGGCATATTTGGCTAAAACGGGTCATTTTTGAAACGGCTACAAAATCGCAACCGTAAGAGATATAATGATGAAATTTTGTATGTGCTGTTTTCTCCAAAATGGCTCTTTGTGGTAAAAAAATCAGGAAATTCTAAGACCATGGGTTACATGGGTCTGATGATTTGACATGGAATGACCCTAAAATTAGAAATTGGAAAACCCTCAGATTGCAGATTGTCTAAATCATCATTACTTTTTGCTTGTTATCAAAACGAGGCTGGTTTTGTACGTACAACATATGCAAATAACAGCAAACATTGAAGGATATTTTTATCATTTTCTTGGAGAGTAAACAACATGAAATGTTTTAGTTTTTCAAATTTGAGCAGATTTAAGTAGAAATAATATGTTACAAATCATATCGGTTGGTCCTCTTGGTCTTCTGTATTTATGAGGATTTATGAAAAAA